CTCCTCACCTTCTCTCCCATACCCCTAAAAATCCTTCTTTCAGATGGTTACGGCTCTGCATTCAATCGAGATGGGAGGAAGCCATTCCTTTGGCTCTAAAAATGGCAACTGAACAAGGAAGGATGAAATTTACTCGACCTTTATTCAAGTAAGGCCAAATGAGACCATACCTCATAGTTACCTGAGGAGTAGGAAGCAGAATTGGAAGACATTTCTTGTTAAATGCCTGAGGCCATTAGGTTCACCACCTGGTGCTGCCTAATGGGAAAAATAACGTTGCAAAATGCCACCTATAGCATAATTTTAAGTGTTATTTCAAGTTGACTTTCATGAATAAGGAATTGATACTTGTGACCATTGAAATTTTAAAATAATGTTTGTCATCAGCTGTTACAGAAGCATGATCTGTGATTAGCTACTATAGAGCTAGGCAAGATGAAAAGGAAATAAACTCAAGACAGTCTTAGATGCACAGAAAGATTTCAGAAAGCAGAAAATTTGGCGAGCAGGGACAAGGAGGTGTGTAAAATTAAATACAAAGAAATTTTCACAGAAAGCAAGCTCTTTGAGTCAAGTGTCGTTTGGTACTGGGGTGATTCTTAGCTACTCTGCCGTGACCTTTAACTTAACCTCGGTATTGACACGAGTTTCCTGTCCCTCTTTCCATCTCCCCCTTTGTCTCCTTTCTCTGCAGGGATCTTGCCGCCTTTGACAAATCTCATGGTCAAGCCGTCCGCACCTACCAAGAGCATAAAGCCTGTATGCATCCCGTGACTGCGATGCTGGTGGGGAAAGATTTGAAAGTGGATTAAGGACCTGATTGGTGCCGATTATAAGACGTCTCCCTCCCTCCCCCTTTTTCTTTTTTTAAAATCCAACCTATGAAGAAATACAAAATTTAAAAATGCTCTCGTTGTAATTTAAACTCTCCTTCCTTGGGTTTTTTTTTTTTGTTTGTTTGTTTGTTTTGTTTTGTTTTTATTACTTTCTTATGATTTCACTAAAATTCTCTACCTTTTAAAAATAATGTGGCATATTCTTTGTAAACCTTACTCAACTTTATTCACAAGTTTTAATATTTATTTAGAGGCGCGATCTCACTCCATAGCCCAAGCTGACTTTGAACTTGCCATCCCTATCTCTGCTTTCCATGTGCAAAGATCATAGGTGTATGCTACCACACCCAATAGGAGTTTCAAGTTTTTATATTAGGTTTGTCTTTCTTTTCAGGGTGATTACAAAATATTTTGGACACATTACTTACCTAACGCTGTATTAATGTTCTCTTACCGTACTGACTATTTTTGCACTTGAATTTGCCAGCAGACCAAGACAATCAGATGACCAGTGTTTTGCTTTTTATTTTACTTTTTTTTTTTTTTTTTTTTTGGTGGCTAGGTAGAGAGACAGCCATGGGTGCTGGGGATCAAACTCTTAAACTTTTAGTTGTGAGCCTAGCCTTTAACAGCTGAGCTATTGACCCTAGCCCTTTATTTTGCTTTTTAAAAGTGTGTGTGTGTGTGTGTGTGTGTGCGCGCGCGCGCGTGCGTGCATGTGTCTATATGCAGGTATACATGTGTACACATGTACAAAGGCTTCAGGCACCCTCCACATTTTTTTCTTTTTTAAGACAGGGTCTCTCACTGGTAACTGGACAAATAGGCTAGCTGGGCCTGCAAGCCCCAAAGATCAGCTACCTTGACCTCAGTAGCCCTGAGATTACAAGGCATGTGACACCACTGAGTCTTTTAACGTGGGTTCTGGGGTCAAACTTAAATCTTTGCAAGGCAAGCTTTTTGTCAGCTGCATTATCTTCCCCCACCTCCTCCCCCACCCCCTACCCCCCCCCCCGCACTCCCCACTCACCCACCCCCCCGCACTGCCCCCACCCCCCGCTCAGAGTTCTACTTTTTAACACATGGATTTGCTTATCCCCGGGCAGGTTGTGATGGGATAGGTTCTCCTTCCAGCCGTGTAAGCTCTAGTAGGATTGGAGCCTGTGCTCCCCAGCCTCGCTCCAGCCAGTCCCCTGCTCCTCCCGGGTCAGAAGGCCAGGGCTGCCCCGAACAAGTTCCTCCCAGGGTTCCCTGTCCATTCAGCATTCAGCCTGCTTCGTCACCTCAGTGGCCAGGAAGATGCTTCACTGTCACAGATGGCATGGCATGTGGGGACACATAGTGAAAGATGATTGAATTTGAACCAGTGTTGCTCGGTGGGCCGGGGCCATTTCCACACTCGCCCTGGGAACCTCAGGGCATTAGGATGTTTCAGCTGCCAGGTACAAAATCCAGGTCAGTAAGAGCTGAGGAATATTTAAGACTTACAGCCAGACAGCACCACAACGCCATCGGCCCTCCTGTCTTGTGTGCCTCCCTTACCCACAATGCACTGTGGGTCCCTCCCGCCCTGTGTTATGCATGGATGGACCAGCACAATTCCAAATTCTCCAGTTGAGCCCACTCCTGGTCAAATAAACTCTAGCCAAAGGGAGGAGTGTTGTCTTGGAGTCTAAGCGTGGGTGGGTGTGTATCATCACTGGGTACCCCTTAAAAATGCGAAGGTTAAGAACACCCCAAAGATGGTGCGGGCGTCCTGCCCCGTCCTGGATTCCTGCCAGGTCTTAGTTTGCTCCCTTGGCGGGTTTCCTATGCTGCCTTGTAATCCTGTTTGCCCTCATTCGCCTCTCTTGTAGTTCTTCTCTGGAACGGGCAGAGGGCGCCAAAGACACATCCCACTACAGGTTTACTTACCTAAGACCAAGGAAGTCTTCGCGCACTGGCTCAAGTTCAGCTGTTAAGTTATGTCCCGAGCTGTCTCTGTGTCAGATCAAATACACAAAATCACCAGAGGAATTAAAAGGTAGGAAGTTTCTAAAGGATGCAAAAAGCAAGCACATACACAAAAGGACTGGTTATGCTAACATGGGCTGGAAAAGAATTCCACTTACCTAGCCTTAGGTGGTTTCAGAAGATTCTCAGCAGAAACAATAGAGTGGCAGTCATCCACGAAGCAAAGGAAACTGGAGAGTATGAGAAGAAAGGGTGACGAATTGGCCACCATGATGTCTGGGGCCTGTGTGCAGAGCCCTCAAGTGGCTGAGTGACAAATTGCCAGAAACTGGTATCATCTCGGAATTACTCAAAATCTGGGCCTACCAGGAGCACCAGGAGTTTGGGGGTAGCTGGGCCTCTCACTCTTGCCTGAGTGTGAACGGACCTCATTTCGTCTGCAGCACCTGGCACAGAGCTTGACACCTACCAGCTGTTCTGGAAGGACTTGGGAAGAATGGCGGTGGCTCACACCTAAGGACCACAGTCTTCCCAGAAATGCAAAAGTCTGAGACGTGTGTCTGGGAATTAGATGCAAGTTGAGGAGAAAGGAAGATGTGGGGAGTTCCCTGCAGGAGGCATGAGTCAAAGGGCGGGGCCGCGCATCGTCTGCATGTTACAACAGTCTGCTGGGGTGAGCAGCTGACAGTCCAGCATAAGGACCTGGGGCATGGGTTAATCCCAAATATAGGCATAGATTCAGGCTCACCAAGGACCTTGAAGTTGCTAAGTATGACCACATGAGCGATTGGGGGTAACTTCGTAAGCCCCGGGGTTCAAGAGAAGAAGAAAGGGTTAGCCAGAAGTGGGATTCACCGGCAGGAGATGAATTGGTCAGGGCCGTGTCCTGAAGCTGGGATACTGGAACTGAAGGTAACCGTAAGTCTCTATCAAACTGATGTTGCCAGTTGCAGGGCGCAGTCGGGGTGATGAACACACTCGGATTAGGTTGAGGGTGAGATACCGGATTCAGGTGTGGGTGTTGGCAGAAGCAACTGTATGTTCTAAAATGGAAACGGGCCAGGGCTTCTGTTGGAATGGTCGGATTTCTCTGAGCTGCCACAGTAGCTCATTTCTCTGAGTCCCTTTTCACTCCATCAGCGTCCCTGCATCCCTTCCTTAACACTGGGGGGAGGGGGGCTTGGGTAGGGACGGGGGTGGCAGCTATTTGCAGTGAAGAAGGTTAGTTAAATTGGGGATATCAGGGTGCCAAGATACGGAATATTCCCAAAAGAACTGAGGTCATGAGTGGATGCTAATGTCCAAGCCCCCCCTGTGAGTAATTCTGTGGCATTCCCAATCAGCAGGCACTGATCCTAGGGTTGACACACATGAGTTAGTTCACTTTGTCTTCCCAGCCCACTGGGATAGGTAGCATTGTCTCCATTTTATTGGTGAGAAAACTGACACCCAGAGAAGTCAAACAGATCACAGAGCCCGGGTTTATTCCCGGTAGATGCTGCAAAGCACAGCAGTAAACAGTTTGCCTTTGGATGAGGAAAGAAGCTGATAAATCACTCACCCCGGGGCAACAAGCTGCTCATGCAGCTAGACACACCTGTAGTTTTGGAAATGAGCTCTGGCCTTCTTTTGTGGAGTGGCAGCTTCAGAAGCACAAAACCGTGTCCGGGGAGGCATTGCTCAACACGTGTGTGTCCGTGGGTTCAATAAATAAATGAATGAGGATTGCCACACTCCCGGGTGTCACAGTTGACCGAGAGGATGTGTTTTACCAATTGAGTAATTCCCTGTAGAGGGGAACATGGTGTTTATGAGCAGCTCTCAAGGCAGAACTCAGAAAGGGAGAGAGAACTGGGACCCTAGATAAGAGGAGTACTGGCAGAGCTCAGAACTCACTCTTTCTGCCTGCAGGGCTGCATCGCATCGGAGGTGGGCTCCTCGCCTACCCAGATACCTCTCCCCAGCCCCCAGTTCAACTTCCCAAAAGGCCAAAGGAACATCAGAGACGGCAATAAATATTTGTTCAAAGTGTAAATGAGTAAAGGCGAGGGAAGGGGTGTGTTTTGAAAATCCATGCTCAGTCTCCCTGCCAACCACACCCCAGCAGGCACTCCCCTCCCCGGGAAGGGATAAAGGCTCCCCAGTAAGGCAGGAGCCAGCACTTGGTTGCAGGGACCTGTTGCTCAGAGGGGCTGTTAGAGTAGCCGGGCCATGCCTAGGTACACGGTGCACGTGCGAGGGGAATGGCTGGCGGTGCCCTGCCAGGACGGGAAGCTCACTGTAGGCTGGCTGGGCCGCGAAGCTGTGCGACGCTACATGAAGAATAAGCCGGACAATGGTGGCTTTGCCTCTGTGGATGAAGTGCGCTTCCTCGTGCGCCGCTGCAAGGGCCTGGGCCTGCTGGACAACGAGGACCTGCTGGAGGTGGCCTTGGAGGACAATGAGTTCGTCGAAGTGGGTGAGTGGCCCGCAGGGGAACGGGATGAACTGCCTGGAGGAAGTAGCCCTCGTGTTAGGGAGAATGAGGAGAAAAACAGGCTTGAGTACTCGACTTGGGGAACCTCAAGCTAAAGGTTCTCATCCACCTTATCCTCAGCCCGCAATAGATGTAGAGAGGCAGGTGGTAAGGGACAAGAGTCTGCCTTTGAACCCAAGGCTGAATCCCTTTGCCAATTACAGAATCCTTCCGCCATCAGGTAAGCCTCAGCAGGCTCAGCCAGCAGCACAGGGGTGCTGACATTTCAGATTTAAAAGCAGTGACTGCCAGAGTGGGAGTGAGGGCAGACTAGAACTGATCTTCCACCGATGTCCCTCGCCTACCTGTCTGCCTTTTGCTTTCCTGTATAAAGATGCTCGGGCCGTGGGGAAATAAATGTAGGAAGTCAGCAGCCATGGCTATGCAATGCAAGCTCAGAACACCGAGGAGCCATTCCTGGGTCTGGCAGCCACCCAAATGTGGCTCCCTGTGGTCTGCAAGGCCCCCTCTTTCCCATTCTTGTTTCAGTCATTGAAGGCGATGTAATGTCTCCAGACTTCATTCCTTCGCAGCCAGAAGGCGTTTTCCTGTATCCTTTGTGACTCGGCTTTGGTCAGCACTGGGGGCTGGGCCTGCCATGGTGGGACAGGGCTTTTCCACGCGGCCAGTACGATCCTTTACCTGGCTTCAGATACAGCAAATACCGGGAGCCTGAAAGGGTAAGCTGCAAGCTACTTTTCTTTTTGTGGGGAAGGCGAGGTCTGGTACCACAATACCCCTCCCCTTTCAAGAAGAGAGGGTGCAACCCGAGCGAATACCACACGTAAGGGCAGAGTGGTATACAGGGGACCTGGCCTAGCTTTCCTGACTTTCCTTGCCCGGTCTCCTTGTAAGCCGGGCGTGTTCTTAGCACAACAATAATAAAATAGCTTTGTCGCCGTCAGATTGTGTCCAGGGCCACCCCTTAGGGTCCCCCCACACCCCTGGCTCACTGAGATTCACTCCTTTTGTGCAGTACATTGCCTTAGATGGGGACAGTCTGAGCACCGAGGATCTGGTCAACTTGGGAAAGGGACGCTACAAGATAAAGGTGTGTGGGATGGGGGAGAAGGACAGTCCCTTCCATTCCCACCCGCGTGCAACACTTTCACATGCTCGCTCTGGCCAATGCTTCCCTAGCTCACCTCAACCGCCGAGAAGAAAGTGCAACAGTCCAGGGAAGTCATTGACAGCATCATAAAAGAGCAAACAGGTATCTTTTTCTCGGGGTGCCCCAACATTATTTTTACAGACTAACCTAAGAATGAAGCCTTGGTTCAGTCTAATCATGTGGGTGTCTGCTTGTTTTTTATTTCAGTCGTGTATGGCATCACCACAGGTTTTGGGAAATTTGCCAGAACTGTAATCCCCGTCCACAAACTGCAGTAAGTCTGTGCACCCATCACCCATCTGCCCCAACTTAGAGAGTTCCCATCCACGGAGATCACGTCACTGAGCACTCACGTTAGACCGGCGGTTCTCAACCTTACTAAAGCTGCTACCCTTTAACACAGTTCTTCATGTTGTGGTGACCCCAGCCATAACATTATTTCCTTGCTACTTCGTGGCTGGAATTTTGCTACCCTTGTGAATCATAACATAAACAGCTGGTATGCATGATAGCTGACGTTCATCCTGACAGAACCAGGCCTACTGTTTCGGTCACTGCATGGGGCTGCCCATCTAAAGACTTTACTGTTGTTTCCTTTATAATCCCAGCTGAGGGAGCATGCTCACCCAGGGTGTCTAAGAGGGTTCTCATCCTTCTCTTCCAGGGAGCTTCAGGTCAACTTAGTTCGTTCCCATTCTTCAGGTAAATTTTTCCTAATACAATACTGGGTGCCTGCTAAGTCACGGCAGATCATGTGGGTGACTAGCATAGTGCTACCAGCCACATCAATTGGTATGTGCCAAATGCACTCCAAGGGCTGGGTACTGGGGACCCAGGAGTGTGAGCATATAGCATCAGCCCAGACCAGCCTCGTGCTACAACTCAGAAAGCAGGATGGGCCTGGTGGAGGGATGGGCTTGAGTAGGAGCATGTATCCAATCCTATGAAGAGAGTGGTTCATCTAGGGAAGAGAATGAAGGCTAGCATTTGGGACATGGACTAGGATGAGCCCTGGGCCCATCACACCGAAGGAGCCTTCGCCAAGGCCTCTCTAAGGTATTCTGAAGGCATTTGGGCAGGTGAGGTTCACTGGAGGACTGTAAGGAAGGAATTGAGAAGGAGAACCTTGGTCTGGACAAGGCTTTGAGGAACCAGACAGGCAACGGGGAGCACCATCCAGACAGGCAACGGGGAGCACCATCCAGACAGGCAACGGGGAGCACCATCCAGGCAGGCAACAGGGAGCACCATCCAGACAGGTAATGGGAGCATCACCCAGACAGGCAACAGGGAGCACCATCCAGACAGGCAACGGGGAGCACCATCTAGCTTCAGAAAGCCAGGGGAAGAATGGCAATGATGGGGAAAGCTTCAGAAGGTGGGGCAGGCAGGGAGTGAGGGATTTGTTGTTGCTTGAAGAAAATGACAATTCTGCTTTGTAGGTGTTGGAAAACCACTCAGTCCTGAGAGGTGTCGGATGCTCTTGGCTTTGAGGATCAATGTTTTAGCCAAAGGATACAGCGGGATTTCCTTGGAGACCCTGAAACAAGTTATTGAAGTATTTAATGGTGAGGCAGTGAATCCTTAGTTTGGCCTTTCAGAGAAGTGGGCACACCCCAAAAGTCGATTGGGATGACTAGATGCTGCCGACACTAGAAAACAACCAAGATGAGTATAAAACGGGTTTGGCCAGAAGGAGAACCAGTTTTTAGGTAGCAACAATGGCAGCTCTAGTTAGTCCCATAAATGCCAACCCATCTTGTGGTAACTTTTAAGATAAGCATGAGTCCCACCAACATGCCAGTACATTGAGGCCTACACAGAGCTGTCTAGTCAATGGTGCCCATATATGATCAGAGATATTGCACCAAATCATCCATGAACATAATTCCTGGATTATGTCCATCCTAAGACAGTGGTTCCAGTTGGTACCTGGGAATCTGAATTCCTAATGTCCTCCCCCCCCCCCCCAGATGAGGGACAAGTTGTACTTGCACATGGAAATTTAAGTTCGTAAAAAGGTAGGTCAAAATGTAGAGAGGTTAATAATTGACTTAGCCATGAAGCCATTGTGGTATAGGCTGTGATGCGTCACAACTCAGTCCTTTAAAAGAGGAGGCCAGATTTGAAAGTCTCAGGAAGCTGTCCCTTCACACAGCAAAGGATAAAACATGAGATCAATGGGAACCCCAGGGATCCTTGGGGGGAAGGGATGGGAAAGGAAATAAGGTCTCAGTAGGGCAGTGGTGGCTCCTGTCTTTAATCCCAGCACTCAGAAGGCAGAGGTAGATGGATCTCTATGAGTTCAAGGCCAGCCTGGTCTACAGGGCGAGTCCAGGACAGGCTCCAAAGCTTCAGAGCAACCCTGTCTCAAAAACCAAAAACATACAAGAAATAAGGTCTCACAGTCATGCAGAGAAGACCAGATGCTTGAGCTCCTATGCAGACAGCATGGGGGGCACGTTGACCAGTAAAGGTCACAGTCTACAGGCCATAGGGCTATCTACACAGATCCATAGTGACACAGTACCCATCTACAAGCTCTGCTCCACCCCAAGCCTCAAACCCAAGACAGTAGAACTCCAACCTGTGCTATGATGGATGGCGTTTAAGGCATGTCTGGGTTTCTGTTGCTCTGGGAATTCCCCAGGTCAGCTATAGTCTGGAATCTAGCCCAGGTTGGCACTGATGTGTCTAATTCACATTACTTAGCAACAGCTGTGGAAACAAACACCATCAGGACTTTATTTTGGCAAACAGAAGCCTCCCTTTTGGGGGTAACCTTTGGGGAAATTTCTAAAAAAAATAGCACATGTGTATGCATGTGTAGACATAGTGTGTAGGGTGGCAACTGACTGGACGGAGAGAGGGAGTTTTACTTTTGAATTTCTTGTTAAAGAACTTTGTTAGTAGTACTTCAGTGTGCCATGTCCTTCTAGAACAATCCATGGGCTTTAAAAGTAAACACAGTTTTTAAGCATTCTCCAACAGTTTTTAATGACTACATAGAATCACGTAAATGTCCCTTAATTCTGTATTTTGATGATTCCTAACTTTCTGCTCTTAAAAGCCACAATGTGATGATCAACAGCTAATTTATGGTTACGTTTCTGAGATAGAATGTGGTAGAATCCTAGGAGTTGGGTCACGGCAGGGTTAGCACCATGTCCTTCCCTTTGGATGCCTGCCCCCTATAAACACATTTTCTCTCCTTCCTTCCTTCTTCCTTCCTTCCTTCCTTGCTCTCTTCCTTTCTTCCTTCTTATTTTCTTCTCTCTTCTTCTTCCCTCCACACTTCTTTCATAACAACTCAGCTGGTTCTCCCCCCCCCCTCTCTCTCTGTGTGTGTGTGTGTGTGTGTGTGTGTGTAGACAGGGTTTCTCTGTGTAGCCCCTGGCTATTCTGAACTCGCTGAGACCAGGCAGTCTTCAAACTGGGAGATCCACCAGCCTCTGCCTCCTGACTTTAGGACTAAAGGCGTGAACCAGCTCCCGGCTCATTGGCTTCTCTGAAACATTAGTTGCACCTGAGAAAATATCATTCCCTGATTTGTACGCTACAAAACGACTCTGGGCCCTGTCAGCAGTGAGGGTTGTCTTCACTGGCAGAGCAAAGATAACCAAAATGGCATAAGCACTCTTGAGTTAACGGATGCCTACTTCTCCTGCAGCCTCCTGCCTATCGTATGTCCCAGAGAAAGGAACTGTTGGAGCCAGTGGGGACCTTGCGCCACTCTCTCATCTCGCCCTGGGACTCATTGGAGAAGGGAAGATGTGGTCCCCAAAGAGTGGCTGGGCTGATGCTAAATATGTAAGCCTCACACAGGGGCCTCATGCATAGGGGGCCCCTCACACGCGTCCCGTCGCTTAGCCTTCATGGTTGCCCAGTTACAACTCAGGCCTTGGCGTCAAACCAGGAAAGGATAGTGGCTTCCGCATTCCCCTGGCAGCATGCAAGATATGTGGGCCTAGACAGGAACATATAGTTACTCTTTCAGTTTCAGGAATTTATTCTGCACTCACAAGACTGCTGCTGCCCACCGGGGAGGTCACAGTTGTACTGGGGAGCTTATCTCACAGGTGGGAGTTGAGTTCCTCAAGACAGTGCATCTGTTCTCCCTGATGAGTTCTTCAGAGCAGCATGTTTTACACAGTGTTTTGGTGTTTTCTTCATGAGCAAAGCTCAGCTGAACAGCCTACCACATCATTTGAATTGTCCTCCATGAGCAGGTATGAACGGTACCCAAACAGTGAGTGAAAGAGACAGAGGACGGGGGCTGGAGATGGATGGCTCAGCGGTTAAGGGCACTGGCTGCTCTTCCAGAGGTCCTGAGTTCAATTCCCAGCACCCACAAGGCAGCTCACAGCTGTCTGTAACTCCAGTTCCAGGACACCTGGCACCCTCACACAGACACATAGGCAAAACACCGATGAACATAAAAAAGAGTTGAAAAGAAAAAAGACAGAAAACCAAGAAGGAAGAAGAAACTAGATCGACCTTTGGGGATCCAGGTTCCAGGTCATCTTTCTCCTATGCAGTCTATCTTGGTTCTGTCTCTGTGGACGTTTCCTTAACCACCTTTACATGGAGGCAGCCAGCCCGACCTTGGTCAACATCAAATCCAAACACATTCTAGTTAAACTTCTAGCATTTCGCTCCTCTCTAGGATAAAATTCAGTCATAGTGTGGTTTCACCAGTGTTATTTTCCATGTGATCCCCACATTCCTTCCTACCCAAGGCTCTCCATGGCCGACACTCAAGTTAGCCTGCAGCTGGAATGTGCTCTGGGCTTAGCAGATGGCTCAACACCTTCCCTTTATTTATTTATTTATTTATTTATTTATTTATTTTTTCCTGCTAGGATTCCTCTAGGAATCAACTCTGCTCCTTTCCAGGTCACCACACATAAGTGGTTATGTTTTATGTGTGTCCTCCACATGTCCTCAAGCGTTCAGCCTATGAGTGGCCTGGTTTCCCTGAGCTTGACAGTCTCTACTGCTCACACCCAGCCCGGCCCAACACCCTGCAGAGAGAAGCACCCAGACTCAGAGATGGACAGAGCGAAGTGACCCCAGTCTGCCTTCTCCTGCTTTACCTTCATCTCCCGTCCCCTCCAGGGGACCCTCGGTGTCACAGCACCCCCGTTACTTGAGAGAAAGCATGTCTGTCCCCTTGCTCTCAGGGTTCTGGCTCTACCTAGTTGAGAGGATGTCATAATCTCCTCTTTCTTGGTGTCACACATTTGTTTCCAAGCCCTACTCTGAGGGTCTGTCGATGACAGAGGGTGCAGACACAGTGTGGAGGACAAGATTGGGGACCATGCTTTTGATTCAGAAGCATATGGACAAGCAGCCCAGAGCCCAGTCTTAACTGCAAGTGGGTATAGCTGGGTGAATCTCGAAGTTTGAGGCCCAACACAGAGGAACTTTGAAGCAAAATGCATTCTATAGGCAACTGAGTTCTTGATTCAAAAGTTCACAAGTTATCCAAACACTAAGCCTACTTTCTGACTAAAGAAGTAGAGGTGCTGGCCCTAAGAACCTGGCTAGAACCCGTTTATGTAGGCATAATGTTTTATAAGACAAACTTTGGAACTGAAAGTATTTCACTGGGCTCCAAATAAAATGAAAAATAAGCTTGTATTTCAAGTAATAACCATGTTCATGCTTTTAATCATTCAACAGGTTCTAGAAGCCCACGGGTTGAAACCAGTTGTTCTGAAACCCAAAGAGGTAAGTCAGTCAAGAAAACGCTGTTTGTGTTAACAAACCTTCATATATGCACCGTTTTTTATCCTGAATGCCAGCCTTATTGTGTTCCTTAAAATAAACACAGCTTATGTGTTGATTAACAGTTGCCCACTGAAGGAAATATTTAAGACTAGTCATGCCACAAGTCCCTGAGGGTTCTCTAAGAACATGAATTTCAAATATAATTTTCTAAGGAGTTTGATAAGATCTGCTCAGTCAACCCCTTAACTTTGGACCAGGATGGTCTTAGGATGTCTTGTCTATGATAGTGAGAAGTTAATAAACAACATAACACAGAGACCTGAGGATGCTACATGAGTTCTGTACTGTGTGGTCACACAACTGTCTCTTTGGGAACAGTCATCAGGTACCCTTTGGCCAGATCTGTGCTGATGAGTCCAGATATGATGCCACTCAAGCTCACGAACATGCATGACTGGCCCACACTTGTGAAAACACACAGACCCCCAGCTCAGCTGGCTGGCTCATTTCTCTCCTACAAAAGCAGAAGATATCAGATCGGCTTGTCTGTGGGTTCATTACAATGAACACTGCAAGAAACTTTTCTTCCTTTCTCCACAGGGCCTGGCACTCATTAATGGCACACAGATGATCACCTCCCTGGGCTGTGAAGCTGTAGAACGAGCCATCGCCATTGCCCGGCAGGCTGACATTGTGGCTGCCTTGACCCTTGAGGTTCTGAAGGGTACCACCAAAGCCTTCGATACTGGTCAGCAGGTTCTGTTTGGTTACTCATTCAACCAGGGTGACTTGGTTTTTAGGGACAGAGGTGGAGGGGGAGAGCGAGAAGACCCAGGTGCTTCTAGTATACCCAGTACTGTCACAGTTTCACTTGAGTTCTGACATACTCAGTCCTGTAACATTTGTATTCTGAAGACAGACACTGACCTGGAGAGCTAAGTGGCATGCCCCGGGTCACCCGGTGATCCAGACATGCCAAACTAGGCATTGGTTTAGGAGTCAGACTTGAAACTCTGGTTTTAAAAACAAGGGGGTGGGGGTGATTGGGAGAGCTCAGTACTTGTTTTGCAAGTACAAGGACCTAAGTTCAATCCCCAGAACTAACTTTTTAAAAACTGGGTGTGGTGGTGTGTGCTTGTAATCCCAGAGCTCAGGAGATGGAGACAAGCAGACCCCTGGGGCTCACTGGCCTGCCTAGCTTACTAGATGAGTTTCAGGCCAGTGAGGAACTCTGTCTCATATTGAAAACAAAGGGGGAGGAGAAGGTGGGCGGAGCCTAAGCAATGACATCCACACTTGTTCCCTGGTTTTCATCATACATCATATACACTCAGAATTCATGTGCTCATGCATGCATAGACAGACAGAGACGTGCACACACACAGGCGCACACACACACACATACACAGGCACACACACACACATGCACACACATGCACACACACATAGGCGCACACACACACACATGCACACACACATACACAGGCGCGCACACACACACACATACACAGGCACGCACACACACACACATGCACACAGGCGCGCACACACACACACACACATACACAGGCGCGCACACACACATGCACACACATACACACACACATGCACACACACACACATACACAGGCACGCACACACACACACACATACACAGGTGCACACACATACACACACACATACACAGGCACGCACACACACACACACACATACACAGGTGCACACACATACACACACATACACAGGCACGCACACACACACATGCACACATACACAGGCACGCACACACATATGCACACACACATACACAGGCGCGCACACATACACACACACATACACAGGCACACACACATACACACACATACACAGGCGCACACACATACACACACACATACACAGGCGCACACACATACACACACACATACACAGGCACGCACGCGCACACACACATACACAGGCACGCACACACACACACATGCACACAGGCGCGCACACACACACACACATACACAGGCGCGCACACACACACACATGCACACACATACACACACACACATGCACACACACACACACATACACAGGCACGCACACACACACACACATACACAGGTGCACACACATACACACACACATACACAGGCACGCACACACACACATGCACACACACACAGGCACGCACACACATATGCACACACACATACACAGGCGCGCACACATACACACATACACAGGAACACACACATACACACACATACACAGGCGCACACACATACACACACATACACAGGCGCACACACACATACACAGGCACGCACACACACATACACAGGCACGCACACGCACACACACAGGCGCACACACACACACACATACACAGGCACGCACACGCACACACACATGCACAGGCGCACACACACACACACATACACAGGCGCACACACATACACACACACATACACAGGCACACACACACATACACAGGCGCACACACATGCACACACACACAGGCACGCACACACATATGCACACACACATACACAGGCACGCACACACACACACATGCACACACATACACACACACATACACAGGCGCACACACACACACATGCACACACATGCATGTGTATGCATACAGAGAGAAAGAGAGAGGGAGTGAGAATACAATTGCCCTGATAAGAAAATTGGGAAGTCAGAATGAATGACAAAGGCTCCATGTTAATAATAAGTAGAGCAGAAAATGTCCAAAAATGACTCGATCAAATTCAGCCCCTATGCATCGTCTCTGTGGTCTTCAGTCTAGTTCCTTTCAGGGTGGGCCTGGGGTCTTGAATTAAGTTTCTAAGTGTGTTCTGCAAACAGTTTGCACTCCAACATGTACAATAGAGACAATCAAGCACACACAGGAAAATTTAACCTTTGGGTTGAAGTATTTAATTCTGCAGGCTGGGTGAGAACCCCCAGGAGTCTAGAGGATTCTGCCAGCACCACGGATGATCCTACACCCCCTGTGCAGGATTCGTTCTAATACCAGAATTGCTCAGACTGTTTTGCCTTCCTCAATTCTAGACATCCACGCTGTCCGCCCTCACCGCGGGCAAATTGAAGTTGCTTTTCGGTTCCGGTCACTCTTGGACTCAGATCACCACCCATCAGAAATCGCAGGTCTGGACAAGTTTGTCTGAGTGGGCTCACTGGTGCTGTGTGCCTGGGGGAGATCAGTAATGTGTTGCCTGTTTTCTTCCCTTCCCCCGCCCGTCCTTGCACAGAAAGCCACAGGTTTTGTGACCGCGTCCAGGATGCATACACCTTACGCTGCTGTCCACAGGTAAAGTCAAGAATCGGGAGAACAACAAACGCTCTTTCCTCAAATCCAGAGGGAAAAAATAGAAAAGGGGGACGGTTTTTAGAAAATGATGCTATGGCCAAATGTAATCCAAATCTCTCTGCTGCTACTGTTAAAAATAGTGTATTTTATACTTTCATATTTCTCCTGTCATTATCAACTTCTTGCTGGGTTGGCTAGACTTCCCAGAACAGTACATCCTGTGCTGATGTACTATAATGGCTCAGTAGCATTGAAGAGTCCCACTGGCTCTTCCTGTAGAGAAAAATTACAGTCAGCCAGTCAGGGATGTTAACAGCAAAGTGAACACTGAATCCTGTCTTTCAGAATTCAAATGCCCGAGGGGCGCACCTCATCTTCATCCTATGATCAAATATAAAACATTATAAGTGAATCTCTGACAATCCTTAAGTAAGAAATGGGTACAGCTTTTTTACATAATCTGACTGATGAGCAATTACAATCATCTCAAGAAATGATTTGTCACTCAAGTTCTAGTCAAGAGAATAAAAGGGTGTTTTCCCTAGAGTAAATTCCTTGGTCCTATTTGACGAGCTTATTAAACAATAATTCAAAAACTTCTATGGGGAAGAATTACCAAATTTAACTGAACCATTAGAGTAAGTTCTGATTTAAGAGCCCCCAATACTCTAAGAGCAATGACTGCCTCCAGATGAAGATCGCTGTTATTGGTGTCTTCCAAATACTAATTCGCTGGATTTTTCCAACTGTGAAATTGGTGCTTTCTCCCATTTTGCGTTCAGGACCTGATGAACAGGGTTCAGTACCCTCCTTACCCAAGATCATAGCACTAAATCTTTCTCTCCTGGATTTCTGGGAGAAGCCAGAAAGTGTATCACAGCTGTTTTGGGGCAAAGTGCAAGGTGGCTACTTTCCCCGTGAGCATCTTTAATGTGAGATTTTATGATTCGTGACATCAGACCCTTGTACCATCTGGGTGATCTCTGTGAATCATGTCCAAGAGATGCCTAGAGTATCTTACTTACTTCTTATGAACAGAAAGGTACCTTCCATTGTGTACTTTCCAAATCTCTGTTTCAACCAGAAACCTAACTTGCCTACAACCTACCGCTGGCATGCAAGTGTGCTTCTTAGTGGCTAGGGCTGGCACTTTTTCCTAGATCACAATGTTTTGCATTATCAGTCTAATAGATTTTCTGTATTTATGTTATGTATTGTCTTAATATATTTATTCTAATTTGCTTTACTGAGAACTTACCAGTTGTCTTCATCTCCTAAAGGAACCAATTATACTTTTTTTGATCATAACTGCAAGGTGGTTACAAGGAAAAGCCTGACGATGTTGGCATTCTTATTGGCTATTACTCACATACCTAACTTTCATTGTGCTTTAGGTCCACGGTGTGGTGAATGATACCATAGCATTTGTGAAGGACATCATTACTACAGAACTGAACAGTGCTACAGACAACCCTGTATCTTTTGAATGTTCTATGCATTTGAAGTCTTCTCTAGCTGGCTGTGTTAGGACCTGTGTTGAATTAGTCTGTCTTGTAGGCAGATGAGTAAGTCCCTGAGGCTGAGCACTTGGTGGCTTCTTCTCTGTCAGAGTTGGTAAGTGGTAGAAGCAGACACGTGAACTGATTCCTAGGTTTTGAGTCTAGCATGCTATGCTTTTAAAATTGGCCCATAAAAGATTAAAGCAGCATTTGTGGATACGTTTCACCAAGACCCTGACTGAAAACCCACTGGGGGAAGTTGCCGAGGGTGTGATTAGAGCCTCCTAGTCTGGCCTTCGCTTCTGCAGGCTCCAGGCTGGTCTTCCCTTTGGCAGCCTGGGTCTAGTGATACAGGATGCATTGAGCAGAAAACGACCGACTAACACATCAAAATATTTCTGGTGACGTAAGGCTTCTGCATCCTCAGGTTTCTTTCTGGTGTGGGCTTGACTCGGGCCACAGTGTAGGTATCTGTACAGCAGCAAAAATGCCTTCATTCTTTATGGAGGGCGCTTTACTTCCATCAGCAGGGTCACTTTCCCCTAGAGAGCGTGTGTTCTGGTTTTGTGAGGGGGGGGTTTTCCTTTGAAGCTGAGAAAATTAGTCAGGGTGCAGTCTTCACAGAGGCCTCGCTGCCTCTTAAGAACCCTTCCTTCCCATTCCACAGCTGCTCTCTTTTTCACTATCAGAGAAAAGGCTGAGGAGGGAGCTGTGGGAGGCGGCTCATGGCCCTGGCTGAACAGACAGCGGGTCACCCAGCAGCGGGGCGGGCTGCTCACCCCACGTCTGAGTGCGCTGTTCTTGCAAGCCCTACTTTAGGATTTCACCTTATGTTCTCTGTGATCGCTTCAGGGTGAGTTCAAACCGGCAGTCGATAATCCTTGGGGTTATGAGTCTCACTCACCCCAGAAGGAACTGTGCTTTTCCTGCGTGCTGTGTGGTCTGACTCATGAATTTGTTCCTCAGTGGCCCAAGGGCGATGCTGTACTCCCACAGTTAGACCTTTAAAGGCAACTCAAGAGTTAAAGGGAAGAGAGTAACATGACTTTACTGGATGTAGATGACTGTTTTGTATTTAATCCCCACCCCCTCGCCATAACTTTGGCCCAAAGTCCCCTACTTTCTTAATAATAGACTCTTGGTTGTAGATGAATTTTCAGATAGTTGGGAGAGCCTCTAGTACTGATGTTCCTCGAAGGAAAAGACTTCTCTGGGTTTCACTACAAGTGTAGAGTACTCAGTGCAATATACTGGGTGTTAGGAAGTTGGGAGTTGGTGGAATTCTGATAACCAACAAGGTTGGGAAACAAGAGACTAATACAACATGCTTAACTTCTAAATTAGAGCAGCAATCAGTCGATGTAGGAACTCAGAGGGCAGAAAGAATTCTGTGTCTGTATGGGGGGTTGGCTGTAGGACACTCTTCCCATTGCAAAATCTGTGTGCGTTCAAGTCCCTAATCTACTTGTGGCTAGCCTACACCCTTCTTCCTGTATGCTCTTAAGTCCTCTCTAGATTACCTGTGACACCTAATGCAATGTAAGCACTACATAAGTTAGTTGTTTTATTGTACTATTTAGGGAATAATGATAAGAAAAACCTTGCACACACTCAATATAGACACATATTTCTTCTGAATATTGTCCTTCAGAGGTTGGCTCATGCCACAGATGCAAACTCTGGCAATGAATAGCTAAATATGTTGTTTATATAGCCTGGAGAGAAAAAACATAAGCTTGCAGAACCAAGATGGAGGGTCTTTTACTATCTTTACCTTCGTGCTTCCCGGCTTAAGCAAAGTGTGTGACAGACTAGAGCTATCACTGGGGTGATCACCCTCCATGAGTCCAAAGTTGCCTTCCACTGCAGTGGGTCTATAGGACACGTTGGCTAGTGAACACCCATGTAAGATCTCAGAGGACAGAGTTGGGAAACAGTCCCCACACTGATTATTCCAGACATTTTGATGGGTACTCTATCAGCCAAATCTTCTACTTAGAAGCTTCTCCTACAGAACATGTGCCCACAGCTTCACGGAGGAAATAGAATTTGATTTCAAGCCTGCGGTTTATGTTCATAGTTTTAGCCTCTGACTACAAATGTTAAATTGGCAGATTAGGAAAGTTATAGGAGTCGACATCTCTGATCTCAAGAGAAATTACTTGCACACAATTTACCTTCAGAGTGTGGTGTGGTGTGGATATGTGTATAGTGTGTGTGTGTCTGTGTGTGTCCCTCTCAACAACTGCTTGTGGGAAGACTTGACATTTTATATATCTGTACAATGACTGCCACTTCAATACTAAAAATAAGCAGATGGAGGTAGCAGTTACCTTTACGTGACCAACAGTGCTATGTTCAAGCCTTAACCTCTTTTGAAAGATGGTCTTTGCCAGTCGAGGAGAGACAATCTCAGGAGGGAACTTCCACGGTGAATACCCAGCCAAAGTAAGCTTTCTCTGAGTGTGTGCGTGCTCCTACCTGGAAGTACATCCCAAGGCTTCCTGGGGGTGCTCCGGACCCCGGAAGTACATTCCAATGCGGGCCAGCTGAACTGAGCTGTTCTTTCAGGCCCTGGACTATTTGGCCATTGGCGTCCATGAACTTGCAGCAATTAGTGAGAGAAGAATCGAAAGGCTGTGTAACCCCTCCCTCAGCGAGCTGCCTGCCTTCCTGGTGGCTGAAGGAGGGCTGAACTCTGGATTCATGATAGCCCACTGCACCGCAGCAGCCCTGGGTAAGGACAGCACCCTTAGTCAGAACACAAGTCTGCCCCCCACAGGCCTGCCCAGTTTCCCTGAAAGTTTCTCTGAAAGTGTCAGCCACTGCCTTCAAGTGACCTCTGAAGTGTCCCCACTTTCGTGGGCATCCCGCCCCTCACGCCTAGCACAGCAAGGAGGCTGAATCTTAACACTTTCTTCAAGAAAATAAAACCTAAATAATATAATGCTGGTGAGGCATAGATGGACAGTTGCCCCAGAGGAAGCAATCCGGACTCCGTTTATGTAGCTTTTTTCCACAAAAACTATCAGAGGAAGATAAAGACAGAGATGATGATAGTTGATGGCAAAAGTTGAGCCACACCAAATGATTAAACTTCGGAGATCTTCTATCCACTAGATTAACATGCCCTCAAAACATATAAACAACACTTCTAAGAAGCGGCAAGCCTTCTGGAAACTGAGCTTCAGTGTAGGTGGTTTCTGACTTGAGATTGCAAGGAGTAGGTAACTAACGCATCAGAACAATGCCTGGCACAGAGTTAGTTCCAGTTGCCTGGCTTATTTCTCCTCAGTCACAGCAATGCCAGTAGGGAGGGAGGTACTGCTGGCTCCACTGGTCAGGTGAGTAATCGGAGACCCCAGAAGCTAAGTGTCTTTCCCTATATTGCACAGTAGTTGGATGTAGAGCAGAACTCAAATACAGCCATATTGGTACCCAGCTTTGCGCACTCCAGGGAACGCTTTTTTATCACCACCACCATTATTTACGAACTTTAGTAACAGGTACTTTCAGTTTGGTGACTTAAATCAAGTTGTAAGCTTGTGAACAAGTTAAAAAGGAAACTTTAAAAAAAAATCTCAACCATATGTGGAACAAGTTAAAAATCTTCAATGGCATATTGAGAAAAACCAGACATTAGTAAATAAATAAACTAAGCGACAAAACCCATATTAGTCATTATCCAAAAGAGACATCTTTAGGTAGAAGTGTTTATCTAACCACATGCTTCATAGACAAGGCAGACAGTTCTATCTTATCCGGTCAAGTAACAAAAAACAAGTCCTTAAGGTCTCCAGCTCCCATCATTTTATTTCCTGTTGCTGCAATGCCCTGCCATGTTTTCCTTGTTGGATGACTAAAATGCTTGATAGAACGGCTGATAAGCTGCTGTTTATTCAGGCCCACCCTACTCAGCATAACCAGAGGAGTCCTCCGTAGGCGGATCGCCTGCTCGCATCTCTTTGCCATCTTGTGGTTTAGGATTCTCTGGTTTGTGATTGAAGTTGCAACACTTGGAGGTGGCTACCGACCTTGGGTCTCATCTCCTTGGTTCTCCTTACCCTCACCATTGCTGTCTGCTCTAGGCTCTCTCCCGGGATGAGGGCCCCCATGAATTCACGGTGTGTAACCCCAAACACAGCCTGTCCCACTGATCTACCTTGCTGTCTTGCTCTATGGCTGTCAAGCACCCTCTAGCTAGTCTTCCCGCACAGCGTGGTTGGAATAGGGCAGTTCTAGCATGTAGAAAGGGGGAGGAGGGCTCTGTCAAGAACAGCATGGGCATTGTTGGACCTGGCCTTCTGATCCCTCAGTCTTTCCCTAACTCTCATTATTCTGGTAATCCTGATGGTAACTGCATGGAGGTCCTCTACGGTATAATGAGGGTCTACAATGGTTGTGGTAGGCTACCTAGTGACTGCCTGGGGCTTGGATTCCACCAGGGCCTGTAACCTTTCCTGCCTCTGCACATCTTTCTTGGTGTTACTCTTCTCAATTAAACCATGCCCATTTCTTACAATGAACTACTTTACTGTTCTGAAAAACCTTCCTTCCCAGTCAGATGCTATGGGTATGAGTCCTGGCTGTGATTGCCATGGTGGTGGCTTGGATGTGCCGCAGCAGCCATGGCTCCTAGCAGGGTGTGATGGTCACTGGACAGGTTGCTCAGGGTTCCCAGGAGTCCACTCTCTCTGTTCCTGACTGCTGGTTGATACCAAGAATCTTATGTTCATCAGTACAAAATCTTAAAATAGAGTAGTCAGATTCAACAAACAAAAATGTAGGATGTCCATCTCTATTTGAATTACTTGGGATCCACTTGTGCTAAAACAAAACCAAAACAACAACAGAATCGACCAAAAAGCTATTTTTCATCCCAAATTCCAATTTAGCTGAGCATCCTGTATTTTCTTTAACAATCCTGCCTCAAAGGACTAGGTAACATGATTAATTAAAAGCATCCGGTGGAATCTAAACCCCAGATCTGCCATTTATAATTAGTGTGGTGTCAGGCCTCTTCATCTGTTAATACTTGCTCAGGTCTCTGCTGCACGTAGAGCATGTGATGATAACTGTATCCTAAATCTGGCTGCCTTGGGTGTTAAATGGACTAATTATACTGACAAAGTCTTGGGTCTCTGCTTGGCCTCATGAGCACTAACTAAATACTAATTTCCACTTGACAATAGTCCTTTTTAGGGAGACAGGTTATCCAGCTAGCTAGCCCTAGCCAGCAGAGAACTCGGAGGTCAACCAGGCTGACCTGAACTCACAGAGATTCATCTGCCTCTGACTTCCCAGTGCTGGACTTAAAGGCTCCTCCCTGTTCAATGCTTCTCTCTAAAACTCAATACAACCAAGAAAGATGCACTAGTTCCCTTCTCCCCTGGCCTGGTATTATGTATTTGCTCAGTCAAATTGTCCCCAAAGTACATCCTAACACAAAGACCTCTCACTTTATGGTTGTCATGGGGCAACAGCAACTGATTTCTAGAGAAGATTATGACCTTGGAGAAGGAGGCTTGGATGAGTTCAGCCTCGTAAGCTGCCACTGAAGACAGACTTTCTTCCTGAAGATGCTCCGTTTACTTATTTATTTAGTCATCACTTACTTGTAAGTTTGAACTTTCTATAAAGGTTCTTGTCAACACACTTATTGTACCAGGATACAGTTTTCAGTGCCAGAACCTGAGATATCTTGGACAAGTCAGGACAAAGCTGGTCCCCTAGTTTAAACCTAGATCCTGGAAGGGTAGGACCCCTTATGTCAATGGTTCTTAACCTTCCAAATGCTGCAACCCTTTAATATAGTTCTTCATGTTGTGGTGACCCCCTAACCATAACATTATTTTCATTGCTACCTCACGACTGTAATTGTGTTACTTTTATGACTCACAATGTAAATATCTGTGTTCTCTGATGGTCTTGGCTGACCCTGCGAAAGGATTGTTTGATCCCCGGGGGTCACGACCCACAGGTTGAGAAACCAGTGCCTTACATCATAGCTATTTTCTAGGTCCACAGAAGAGGAGAAAAGACTTTGAGTTTGACCTTTCCTCACATCTAGAACTGGGAACAAGGAACTTGGTTGGTAGTTTGGGTCTTCATTCATTAAGATATAGTTGTCAGTAGGCATTTGAAGCATGCCATATGGCATCACGTGGGGACTCAGAACCTACTCCAAACTCAGTGTCTGCAATGTAGCAAGATTATTGACGAATGTGGGAACTCAAGCTTGAGAGACCCCAGTATAGGTGCCCCTCACTTCCTAGACATCACTGCTTATCACGAAGACCACCTTCAAGGCCAGAACACCTACTTGCACGGTCTTGGAACCATTTCAACTCCTCAGTATTGCCCAAGATCTGCAGGCCGGGCATCGGTTCTCATTGCCATCCCTAAATGCTAATGTGGCTCTTCTCCCAATGTAAGCAAGTTGTTCTTGAGTAGCTGAACGCATCCATCACACTTCTACCCCACCCCAGCCCCACCCATCTTCCAGGCATGCCAAATGCTTCTAGTTTTTGGCATGGTTTTGTAGTATAAGCGTTCTCACATTCTCATCCCTACCTTATCTCAGAACTCACCCGGATCTTAGGAGAACTTTGGGAGAACATTGACCGGTCTTTCCACTGTGGCTCTGCACCACCTGGAGCTGGGGTCATGGTCCAGAGCCCCTGGAGTGGTCCCCCCACGCTGTGGACACTTTGGGGGAGCCGTGCACCATTTCGGCAGCGTTTCTTCTTTGGGGTTGCTACTTCACCTGCCCTGGTGTTTTGCAGTGTCTGAGAACAAAGCTCTGTGTCATCCTTCATCCGTGGACTCTCTCTCCACCAGCGCTGCCACGGAGGACCACGTCTCCATGGGAGGATGGGCAGCCAGGAAGGCCCTCAGGGTCATCGAGCATGTCGAACAAGGTAAAGCCTGCACTGGGAGGCAGGCCTCACTGGTAAACTAGTTTTCTGGGTCATTCTCAGAATGGAATCACTGCCCACAAAATCAGTATTCTTCAGAAACTCATTTGAAATGCAGGCCCTCTGGCCACTCCCAGAAACACTAGGGAGAAGAGGGGACTGTGGCTAAAGAGCTTTCTGGGCGACTCCGTCCCTTACTGAAGAGAAGAACTAAGCAGCCATGCAGAGATAAGTTGGCTCCTTGTAGAGCTTTATTCTAATGAGGCAGGGTTTTGTTTGGTTTGTATCTGAAAGGGAAGAGAAGAGGAACCATGAGCCCTAGCAAGCCTCAACTGATTCAAAAGCCCAAACATCTGCTTCCTGGTTTTTGTTTTCCCCAAATTATTTTCAAGCAAATCTCCATGTTGTTCATATATACTTTCTCTCTACAATACAAATAGTTCCAAGGCTGGAGAGATGAGATCGCTCAGTGGTTAAGAGCATATAATACTCTTGTAGAGAACTAAGTTCAGTTACTAGAGCCTATGTCAGGTAACTGCCTGTAACTCCAACTCTGGAGGCATCTGTCACCTCTGGCTTCCATGAGAACCAGCATCTATGTGTGCGCGCGCGCACACACGCACAGTCTAAAGAATAAATAATAATACATATTTTCTTGAGATAATTGCAGCATGTCTCCCTTCCCTTTCCTCCTCCAAACCCTCTTATCTACCCCTCATTTCTCTCTTTTAAATTCAAGGTCTCTTTTCTCATTGTTACTACATGCATATATGTATATACATATATATTCCTGCGTATAGCCGCCAGGTCTGTACAGTGTTAATTGTATGTATGTTTTCAGGGGTGTTGGGTATCGGGCAGCCAGCTAGTTGGGTGTTTCTCCGTGGGGAAGGGTTATTCCTCCCATTCTCAGCATTCCTTAGTTGTCTGTAGCTCTTCGTGTAGGCTTTTCTATCCACATTTACATGTGGCGTCGTCCTCCTTCAGCTCGTGTTATCAGCGCTTTCCTCTCATCCAGGACGCCGTACACACCCAGCAAAACTAAACAGCTGAGCCCTGGTATCAGCAGCAAATACAAACTCGGACTCTCCCAGCTGGAGCGCCTCAGCTCATCCCATTGGGTTTGTTCCAACGGGGTTTCCCGGCCCCTGTTTTAAAGTCCACAGTCCTGATCCTGAGCTCCCTTTACCGTAAAGTCATCCCCTCTCCCTTGTTTCTCTTCTGGCTTTTGACTCATCAGCAAGATGGCAGGCTAGCCCTCCTGTGGCAAGATGGATGTTCAGGAAGCTTCTTTGTGATATATCGCTTCCACGTTTTCTTTTCCCTAGGCATTTCTGATGTAGTGACATGGATTTGAAAGATTTAGTGAGATTTAGATTCATCCAGATGTCAGAGATAAATCACTGGGAGGGTTGTGTGAGGCCACCCTCTCTCTGCCTTCCCGATCGCGGCTTATCTTTGGTGAGAGTACAATAGCCTTCCTTTAAACATAGTCTCCTTAAGTTCCCGAGCTATCACAGAATCGCCCAAGCCCTGTCACATGAGGAAAGAGTAACATAGGCTAAAGATAAAGTGAGTTGATTTTCTTATCGAGTTATTTTCTATTACAATTCACCTCACCCCTTTAAAATGTATGGATCAATGGTTTTAGTAGATTCACTAAATTGAATAGCCGTAAATCTTAGAACATATTCACCCCAAAAGAAACCCTAGTCTTTAGATCATCACGCCCCCTTCTCCCTGTTTCCCCCAGCCTTAGGCAGCCACTATTTTAGGTCCCTATAGATGTTTTCTTCCGTGGACATTTGCTATAATGGAACCGCGCGCTGTGTGTTCCTTTTTCTTTTACCTAGCACACTGTTTTCAAGGCTTATTTCTGTCCTAGCATGTGCTGGCAGAGATTCTGTTTCGGCTTAATTGTCCTGAGTAGCACACTTACTTTATGCACTCGTGGTGGAAAAGCAGGTTTGTTTGTGCATTTTGGCTGATAGGCTTTAGTTTTTGTGGGGACAGATGTTTTTGTTTGTCTGGACTATACAGTAGTCTGGGCTATACAGTAGCTCTCCACCCATCTGTATGGGAGCTGGAGATGGCTCTCCACAGTAGATGCACAATGTTATGTGCCTACCAGCAGAGGTTAAAGACACCCATTTCTCCATATCATCAGCTGCTCTTGTTTCCGGTCTATCATAGTATTTATCGAAACATCCACACCTTGGATAGTTCCCCACTGGACACATAGCTCTCACCAAAAGTCTGAAGTGTTGCCCTTATCTATCCATACCTCTCCTATCTAAACCATCAGCACAGTCTTGCAGACACACCAGATCAAGCCTATCACCTCCTTCTGCTTACTATCTTATGCAGTTGCCACACATTACCAGGGCGAGCCTTTTGCAAACATATTTAGACCACACCATGCCCCAGCTGGAAACTTGCCGGTTACTTTCCAGCACTCAAAACCACATCCACCCCACTTCCTTAGGCCCAGAAGCCTGGCAAGATCTGGCATCTGCCTCTCAATGCTCCTTCTCTCGTGCCCTCTCCATCCCAGAACCACAGTTTTGTCCCGTGGTGCCAGCAAACACATCACCTGCAGCTCCAACTCCAAGGACTCCTGGTCCCTTCTTGCTCCATCTATGTAGCTGCCCAAATGCCTCACACATCTTCCTTGGCTCCAGTTAGAACAGCAGCTGGCATTTTTCCTTCCTTTGTTTTGTTCTGTTCTGTTTTATTCTGATAGTGCTCAGTGACTCTGGTACAGCTAGGCTGGGTTGTCTTTCCACAATGGCAAGGATCTCCTCTACCTTGGTCATATTGATAGAAGCACCTGGTTCAGATATATGGCTCAAATGTTTGCGTGGCAGTAAATGGTTGCCTAGTTCATCAGTGCTCTTCTCTCTGTGTTTATAAAACGGAAGGGAAATCAGCAACAAGTAAGTAAGAACCAGCTATATTACAAACAGGTTCGTTACTTATGTTTGTTTTGCTTACAAATATCCAGCAAATACCTTCAAATTCTGGAATCCAGTAGTGCTGGCTGTGTGTGATGCGAGCCTGCTTGCCACATGCCCTCTCACTATCAGTAACCATCATCTGAGTATGGGAAGTGTAGAAAGGCACCTGCCACTTGAGCAGAGTATGTAACATAGTGTGCAAGATGTACCCATCTCTTGCCCTTACAGAAACCAATGTCTGTTCAGAGAAGCGGACAATGGCCAACCTGGTAACTCTTTGTGGTAATTAACAAAATGCTGAAGGGCAGAGTTACAGGAGGAAAATGTAGAATCCGATCAAGTCTAAAGGGACCAGAAATGGTATCTCCGAAGGAGAACCCATGAGTAAGACTGAATAGCATATGGCCAGGCGTGTGTGTGCGTGCGTGCGTGTGCATGCGTGCATGTGTGTGTGTGTGCGCGCGTGTGTGTAAATTACTGTTGTGAGGGAGAAGGAAGGGGTATGCAAAAGTAAGTTGTTTTAGGATGCATTACAGGGGTGACATGGGACATCCAAGGACAGATACCAGAGCTCAGGGAAGAGCTGCTGGGTGACTGGCGGTCAGTGCTCTGTGGAGAGGTAGCTGGAGTATGAGGTGCAGCTGCAAGGCCTTGATGAAGAAGTTGCGTGGGGAATGGAAGAGGACTTGAAGTATAATGGCGACTGGAAGATGGAAGGAAACTGGGTCAAAGGGAATGCCTTTAAGAACACAGAGCAGCAGAGTTCTGAAGGGAGGGAAGGGGTATGAAGTCAAGACAATTCTAGAGAGAAGGCTATGCACTTAAATTAGCCCAGTGGTCGGTAAAAGCACTAGAATGTTTTCAATGTATCTAAGGAACATATACATTTACAATATAGCTAAGGACAGCTGTTATTTATTTGCTTAGGACAGTTGTAGTCTTTTTTAATTCAAAGTAAATTTTTAAAAATGTATTTATTATGTATACAGTGCTTTGTATGCCTGCAGGCCAGAAGAGGAAACCAGATCTCATTATCGATGGTTGTGAGCCACTGTAGTATTTTCTGATAGTTTCCCCTCCTTCATCTCCTCCCAGATCCTCCCCACCCATCCAACAAGGCACCTTCTTTCTCTCTCCCTAGAAAACAGAAAGGCCAATAAAACAAATAACAAGCCAGAGTAAAACAAAGCAAAGCCAGCAGATGTTCCCTTAAAGAAAACTCATTTTTCCTTTGCAAGCAGTTGTTAATTAAAGATAGCATCTGGGTTAGGGATGGGGGCTTGTGTCTTCTCTCTCTCTCTCTCTCTCTCTCTCTCTCTCTCTCTCTCTCTCTCTCTCTCTCTCTCTCTCTCTCTCTCTCATGGAAAGTTACCAGTAGACTTCGAAATGGCCTGAATTGTTTAGGGCTTCCTTTGGCCAACAACTCAATTAGATGTGGCCCGTTCCTGGCACTGGAAGTTTCACCTGCTGGTATGAGAAGTCCAGTTGGGACATTATCTCTCCCATTATTTGGTGATTCCATTTATATTCCTTTCATTTATGTGTGTATTATAGATGCGCATATATTATATATCTTAAGAAACTTCTATTGTACTGTTTCCATATGACCCCCCCAAAGGGCCCTTAGTGTTTGCTGACATCCCCATATTTCCTGCCATTGTTGTCCCTTCAGCCTGTCTCTCCATAACTGTGTATTTTATTTCCCCGGCCTTAGGATTTCCCTCCCTCTCCTGCCACCCTAACTCTGTACTTAACCTCTGTGGTTATAAAGATAGTAGCATGCCTATTGAAGGCTTCAAGGCTGCATGCTTCGGATAGTTTGCATTCACGTGAATTCCACTAAGGTGAAATCAATCCTGAGACTAGATGGCATTGCCAGGATTCACCAGATATTTTCAGGGTGCTTGAATAACCATTTGCACAGTTCGGATGGTTCGTGTAAATGCACCCAGATGTGCCAAAGCCCAAGCTTGCACAGTTGGTAGACTTGGCGGGGGTGTGTGCTGATTGCAGAGCGAAATGTGTCACAAGTAGTAGTTTAGGGTTTTCCTAAGTGTGTCATGCTTACCTTTCAAACATGTGTTCCCCTGTCACTTCCTGTCTTCCTCTGTTCCTGTCACAACACCACTGCTCTCTGGAGGTCATAGTACGTTACTAATGTGTACCATACATTCTCCTGACCTTGTGACTCATTTAATTTGTGATAGAATGATATAGTATTGTCTCCCTAAGGAGGCATGCACTGTAGTCCCATCTGACAGATCTGCCGCCAAAGAAAGCAGAAGTCAATGTTCCCAAAGCGATACAGTCTCAATGTCCGTGATGAGATCTAAACCCAGGTCCAAGCCCACTATCTTCATGCTCCCTGTCAACATAAGCAACAGCTCTCACTTCAGAGGGGATCAGAGACGGTTTATTCTGTGAATGGCCGTAGCCCAGGAACACAGATTTAGGTCATTTCGGTCCTCAAGCCAGGCATTTTCCAGGCACGTTGGTGGGAGCATCAGGTAGGTGGGTTATAGCAGGGCAGGGAGTTCTCTGCCCTAGCCCCAGGGGCTACTTGGAGCCATGCTTAGCTTGGGATATGCTAAGTTAATATATCCCAGAGGGTTTCACAAGGTTGTCAATAGGATGTGACATCAAACACAGAGATAAGGAGTGCATGGCTAGTAAGTGGACTAATGATGACCCAAGATGTAGCTCAGTTGGGAGAGTACTTGCCTCCCTAGCATGCACAGGCCCTGGGTTTGAACCTAGCACCACATAAACCGGTTGTAATAGGTAGGTGCATACCTGTGATGGCAGCACTAGGAGATGAAGGCTGGTGGATCCTCGGCTATAAAATGAGTTGGAGGCTAGAGAGGGATACTTGAGATCCTGTCTCAAAACAATAACAAAAAGCCGAAAGTATGGCGATAAGGCTATTTTATCAATACACGGAAAACCAGCTGTCTGTGTAGTCGGCTCCTGATAGTTGCCACTAGGTGGTTTCAGCCCCACGAGGATGAAGCCAGGCTTTAACCGACTGTTGCTTCCATACTGTTTTAGTATTGGCCATTGAGCTTCTTGCTGCCTGCCAGGGCATAGAGTTTCTACGCCCCCTGAAAACGACCACTCCGCTGGAGAAGGTGTATGACCTGGTGCGCTCCGTAGTCAGGTAAGGTCTGAAATGGGAACTTACCCATTTCCAGAACAGTGGGTCTCTGCAGAGGCAGGTTTGTGGCTGATGGCTTGATCTGCTTTCTCTGTAGGCCCTGGATAAAAGATCGCTTCATGGCCCCGGACATCGAAGCAGCCCACAGGTTACTCCTGGAGCAAAAGGCAAGCTGACTACACTATGGCTGTGGAAAAGTGAAGTGTGGCCGGGTGTGGAGTGTGGCCCTCTTAGCCATTCTCTCCTGATGGCTCCTAGGAGAACACAGAGGTAGAGAGCTGATTTGCAAGGTAGTTCCCCAAAGGCTCAGCTTGGACCTAGATCCTGACTATGGAAGGATTGGAAGTGGATGTGAGTTTTAAGTGGAGTGTGGAGACAGGATTCATGGGGAGACTATGAGGGTGGCAGCTCATTAACCTTCTCTAAGATGTTGTCTGCCATGCCAACATACCTTTCTCAGGTTGATACTACCACAGCTGTCACCAGCAAGTAAAGACACTGTGAGGTCCCAGGGTTCCACCTGCCTGGCTTGGCGAGATAGTTTTCTTTACTGCTTATCTCTTTTGGTTATATTAACTAATTGATACAGATACATAAGAGACTGGGACATATTTTAAAATAATACATACATAAAAAATGTGCATACGTCCTATGCAAATTAATACATGTATATATTTTAATATATATATAAGTATATATACTTATATGTGTCTAATATAGAAGATTATGCATATGTATGTAATACAAATATACCTTTTACATATAGGTCACATATATATATAGATAGATATTCACACATTTTTTTCAATGCTTTAAATCTTTGAGTCATTAGCATCCCATTTCCTGGACTTACTTGATTCCCTTTGAGCCTCGACTCTTTTCTGGGGGAACAAACTTGCCCTTTAAACTTCACATCTCTGATCTCCAAGTGCACCCTCGATACCTTTGAGGGGACACATTGTCTGTGAGGGGCTAGCTTGTGAAGAATGCATGTTCTTTTTCCGAGTTTGTGTTTAGGCAGTATGGTATGAAGCTCAGGCTAGCTCAGGACTCCCTGAGCAGTCCCAGCTGGCCTCAAGCTCACGGAAATCTTCTTCCCTAGGAATATTCCAGAACCAAGGGTGTTAGGATTCAGGCGGGAGCCACCACACTAGCTAAGAGTAAATTTTGTGAGTTCGTAGTATGGGAAATATTCCTTGGCTGTCAGGAGCCATTAGCATAAAGAAGGGAAACGTCACACCAAAAAAAGGAGACTTAAGAAAATAGTTTGGCAGATGAAGAAGAAAACCCGGCCATGTGTGTGACAGCCTCAGCATCGTATGCAAACTCAGCTTCCATCCCATAGTTCTCGGGTGACTCTGGCTTATCCCAGGTGGTACTTATGACCGTATTTGCATACTTGTGGCCATGGAAACAAACACAACCTTGGGGAATTAATTCACTGTGCCACCTTTTAGCTTCCAAGCCTTGTGCACTGTCATATCCACCATGCCCCAGAGTAAGCATCCATCCAGATTTTTGCTCTGAGCTGCCAAGGTTCTGTTTGTTTTTTTGTGGGTTTGCTTGTTTTGCTGTGGAGTAGGAAGCAGCTTTAAAAAAAAAAAAAAAAACCTTTACAACGTGAGCTTGCTTTTGAACTTTGTATTTTAAATCCTTTAATGTATCAAGCAATTAATTGACACAGACTCTGTGTCAAATGGCTCAAAATACAAGCAAGCAAGCAAGCTGTTTGGCCAGGTAGGGAGAGTGATTTGATTTGGGGCGAAGCTCATGTTTCATCACAGCATGTGGAAACAACCTTGTCTGTATTTTGACTTTGTTCCCTCCTGTCTCTCAGGTTTGGGAAGTTGCTGCACCGTACATCGAGAAATACAGAATGGAACACATCCCAGAATCCAGGCCACTTTCTCCAACTGCATTTTCATTGGAATTGCTGCGAAAGAATTCAGCCACAATCCCAGAATCTGACGATCTCTAGTGGGCTTCCTTGTGGTCGGGCACCTTAGACATGCCTGAACCCGGAACAGGAGATGCCGTGTTCTGTAGAACTCATCTCTTTTCAACCATGCTCTGGTTAGACCTGTGGCAGCAGTGCAGTCCCTGAACCAAGAGCCTTGTTCTTGTTGCTGTGGTTTGAGTTCTGGCTGTCTTAGGGTTGAGTTGTTTTCTTTCTTGACAATATAAATGGGATACTTACTCTTCTTCTTTTTCTTTTTTTAGTGGTTTTTCAAGACAGGGTTTCTCTGTGTAGTCCTGGCTGTCCTGGAACTCACTCTGTAGAACAGACTGGCCTCGAACTCACAAGAGATCTGCCTGCCTCTGCCTCCCAAGTGCTGGGATCAAAGGTGTGGGCCACCACCATCCCTCCAGACTACTTACTCTTAAGAATGGCCACAATTCCATAGGTCTGTTTTTACTCTTAAAGTTAAGAAAATCAATTCAGAGGGATCTTCTTTAAAACATTAGATTTTTTGTGAACTTTTTAAAGAAAAAGTTGTCTTGAGAAACTGTCCACTAGTTGACTTTCTTTGGCTGATTGGACTATACCATAACCTGACAAATATGCCTCAAGTCAGAATCTGTTCTCAAGCCTCTCCCCCTTCTCTAACCAAATCATAGAAAAGAGGCTTGAGCAAGGGGAGCTACTTCAGGGGTGCCTAGCTGAGTGAGGCACTCACTGAGCTAGGAGGATCCAAACTGAGTTCCTGTCTCTAGCATCAGTGTCAAAAGCCAGGTGTGGTGGTGGGCTCCTGAACCCCAGAACTGGGGAGCAGAGACAGGCAGCTCCTGAAGGCTACTGCTCAGTCAGTCTTGCAGAAACAGTGACTTCCAGGTTCAGTGAGAGACCCTGCCTCAAAACAAAGATGTAGTGAGTGCTAGAAGAATGTGTTTGAGCATTCACTCTGGGCTCTGCATATACCCACAGGAGCCATTGCACCTGTACATACACACACACACACACACACACACACACACACACACACACACACACACACACGAGAGAGAGAGAGAGAGAGAGAGAGAGAGAGAGAGAGAGAGAGAGAGAGAGAAGAAGAAGAAGAAGCAGCAGCAGCAGAGAGGAATAGGTCTGAAGCCATTAACTACAGATGTTAACACTCCCTTTTTAGTTGCTTCCTGTGTCCTATTAACTGCAGGAGTGTTTGAACCAACCCTCCAAGAATGAAAAGGAGTTAGGGGATGAATATAAAAGATTGTCTTTGCCTAGCTGTGCCTTTCATATTTCTCAAATCACTACACACATCTTTTAAATGCTTGGTGATGTTCACACATTGAAGTTGGAAGTTATTCCTGTCATTTCCCATAACTTAGTCCTCCGTTCACCTGTCGGTAGTAAGTTTAGTGAGCAGCCTTCTGTTACACAGATGAGCCATTTGGGGGCAGGGGTGGGAGCCAACCCACTGCCTGGAATAGGTAATCATTAAAGTTTGCTTTGTTGACACAGGTCAGATGGGGCCTTCAGGTGTATTACCCAATTTGTTTCTCCCCACGGTAGATAAGGAATCTTGTGGGAAGGCCTTGTGTAATTGTTCAGAACGGTCATGTGACCTCTTGACATTCCCAAGGCAAAGATCAATGACTCTGCACCTATCATTGTAAACGTGTGCAAAACCCTGAGTGCGCAAGAGTCTGAAAGCATGGCTAGAAAGACTGTAGTTGGTTAATTAACACTTGCCAGCATCCCTCGCTGCTCACAGACTACAGGGGCCCAAGATGTATTGCCCAGTCCATCGTCAACTCTACAGAGCATATCTTGTTCACAATCATTGCCTTCAGCAATTCAAGAGGTGAAAATGGTCCCAGGAACAGGCTTGACTGCAGGTTGTTCTTCCTGTTAGTTTTTGCTGAATGTCAACACACACAGAGAGAGAGGGAGAGAGAGAGTTTACACATTTTTCTACCCAAATTGCAGGTAATCGGGGAGGGCAACCTGTACCCATGGCTTGCTATCACTGTGTTCTTTGACTGGGGAGGACCTGCACCTAGGAATCTGCATGTGCTAAGCACATGCCCTGGTGCTGACTTGCACTCCTACCTCTTAGTATTTATTTTTGAGCAAAGTTTAACACCTAATATTTGCTTTGCTGATGCTGTGAGGAAATACTGGGAGCAAAAGCTGCTTGGTGGAGGAAAAGGTTTCTTCCAGTTTACACTCCCACAGACATCCATCGCTGCTGGAAGTCAGGGCCGCAACCTGGATGGTCACTGCTTACTGGCTGTTGACTGGCTCACTCTCATCTTACACAGCCCAGGCCCACCTGCCTAGGTTCTATGCCACCCACAGCGGCACCCACAGTGGGCTGGGTCTTCCCACAGCAATTATCAATCAAGATAATCCTTCACAAAGGTGGCCACAGGCCAATCTGATGTGGGCACAGACTTCCCAGCTGTGTCAAGTTGACAGCTAAGGCTAACTAGGACATACCTCTACCTCTTTAGAAAGAGTGATGATAGCTAATCAAGTTTCTAGAAGATTCAGTCAGAAAAAAGATAACAGATCTGAGACAACGTGCTGAACCCAGTGCCTTTCCTGTGGAGGGGTGGCAGATGAGTGACATATCGGGGTTTCCTTCCCCAGGCTCTTGCCTGGGTTCCTCCAGTTTAGGGCAGTAGGAGACATGAGGTCTGCCAAAACTGTGTTCTAACAGTTGCTGATTCCCTTGCGGCCAGCACAAGCCGCGTGGCAAGCCAGAGCCTGAGACCACAGGACATGGACACATGACTTAGTAAAACTGTGGCCATATCAAACAAACTACCCAATTTATAAAATCAAATAAATACCTGAAAAGAGATACTTTTCATACTATTATACTTGTGCTTTATTTTGGAGTCTGGCCGTTATAACACTTTTTTTGTTTGTTTGTTTGTTTGTTTTTGGGGACATGGTCTCTCTTTGTAACAGTCCTGGCTCTCCTGGAACTCACTTTGTAGGCCAGGCTAACCCAGAATTCACTGAGATTAGCTTGCCTCTACCTCCCAAGTGCTGGGATTAAAGGCGATAATTCTTTATTAGGGGTTGTGTTATCATAAACCTATGAGTCAGGACCTTTTCGGGGTTAAACAACTCTTTAATAGGGGTCGCTTAAGTCAGAAACCATAAATATTGACTGTGATTCATAACAGTAGTGAAATCGCAGTTGTGAAGGAGCAATGATTTTTATGGTTGGGGGTCACCACAATACGAGGAACTGTATTAAAGGGCTGCCGCAATAGGGAGGTTGAGAAAGACCGTCATAAACAAATGATAAAAAAATAACGGCTTTGTCCTTTTTTGGTTACTTTTGTTAAAGGCACTAATTTGTCAGCTGTTACCTGGGAACGCTGGAGAACGCGCTCATGGCTTACAGGTGGACCTGCTTAGCGCAAACCAGTCCTCTCTGCTACCGGCTCAGTTCAATCAAGAAAGGCCTCAGATTGCACCTGAGCTAATGACGTGGTGAACTTTATTGGCCACCTCTGAGAAAGCTTTTTCTCTCCCTGGAGCCAGGGCAGTCATCTTTCTCTCCTGCTTGACCTGGATGAGGAAACACAGAGCTGGCTGTTGACTGACAGCCAGATCTAGGCCATTGCTGGGTGGCAGAGCAGAGACAGGAAGGGATTTGTGTCATCTGTGGCCGAGGTGCTGTATGTACCAATGGGACTTGCCCTGCTTCTGACTTTCCAGTGGTGAGCTGAAAAGGCTGCTTTCCCCTCCATCTCTGTTTTGTTTTTTCCTGCCTTTCCTCCCTCCCCATGCCTAGGCAAGTGCTCTACCTCTGAGCTAAATTTCCCCAATATTTTTTTTTTTTTGAGACTGTTTGGTAAGGGAAGAACGAGGTAGAGCTCTGGTTTCGTCATAGACTGGCACTAAGACATATGAGAGGTTAATTATGTTCTTTGACAGCACCGAGCACAACAGGAGAAGCTACAATGAGAGATTTAAAAAAAAAAAAAAAAAAAAAAAAAAAAAAACAGAGCGAAGGGAATTCTTCACTTTACAGACTTGGCTAGGACAGCTTCTCTGGTCTGACCACAACAGGCTATTGCTAAGTTATGCAGGCTGATCTTGAACGTACCCCATAGGCAAGGCAGCCTTCAAGTCCAGATCCTCCTGCCTCAGCTTCCCAAGTAGCTGGGAATACAAGCTTGTACTGTCAGGCCTGACCTCCTTCGCATATTCGCATACATTATTTTCTATGTTATGTGTACAAATGTTTCACCTGCATGTGTGTCTGCGTAGTTGTGTGCCATGCCGCTTTGTGTGGAGGCCAGAAGAGCACATCCGGTTTGATTATTGACAGCTGCATCCTTGGGAAGAGCCGCCGGTGTTCTTAACCACTGAGCCATCTCAGACACCGCCCCCCCCAACACACACACACACACACACACACACACACACACACACACACACACAGAGTCAAGAAAAACACTCGTTCAAAAACACTCGTTCACATAACAAAAATAAATGTTTAAAACAAAATTGATATGACCTCATGTAGCCCAGGCTGGCCTTTAATTCACTGTGTAGCTGAAGCTGACCCTCCTGATGTTGTAGCTTTAGTGCTGGGATTACAGGCACGAGCCATCACACCTGACTTAGTGGATAAATTTTAAATAAGTAGCAACTAACCTCTGAGTTCTTGTCCTTCTAACTTACAGCCCGGGCGGTGGACCAGGTCAGAAAACAAATGAAGGGAAAGTTAGAAATACCATGGGGAAGTAATGGCAAGAGCCAGTCAGAAACCAGATCACAGCGAGCATAACTAATGCTAACAGCATTCGTGGGTCGTCGGGTGGGGTAGGGTCTCTGAACTCCTGAGAGTGCCTAAGTATGAGTTCCAGGTGACCCCTGCCCACCATAGCTTCTATAGAACCATCCAGAAGACATGTGGCTTCCATATTTCAAACTCTAAAATTTAGATTAACTTACCATCGGAAGGAAGGGAGGAAGGGAGGGAGGAAAGAAGAATTCTAACTAAGTGGCTGGCATGGCCTTTACCTTCCAATGGCTTATTCTTACACCTCTTGGACATTTCCAGAAAAAAACTAATCTAAATTTGTAATTAGTGTGTTTTACCGTGAGTTATTCTTCCTCCCCCTTCCTTACTTCCTCCCTTTCTTCTTACTTTTTTTTTCTTTCTTTCTGGAACTCCTCTCTAGACCAAGGCAACCTTGTACTCGGACACTGCCTGCCTCTACATCCCAAGTGCCTGTGGGTTATTTTTTTTTAAGGGAGCGAGCTTTTAAGGCTGTCTGGCATTGGCTTTCCTTTCTAATGTCCATTTTAGCCCTAAGATCATAAATTCCCTGAAGGCGATGCCCAGCTTAAAATTGGAGCTTCAGACAGAAAGGGAACAAGCTCTCTATGTTCCAGGCAGATGAAAGAACTCGGTGATCAAAGTCTCGTGTGTGTGTGTGTGTGTGTGTGTGTGTGTGTGTGTGTGTGTGCGTGCGTGTGCGTGTGCGTGTGCGTGCGTGCATGTGTGGTGTCTTTTTCAAATATATTAGTTCCCCTGTCTTGCACAGCACCCAGCCCACACATACTCTTTCTCAGAAGAGCGATACCTCCTCCCAAAGGTGAAAACTTCTTAGCGGGCCAAAAGTTAAATTGAATTGAACTAAGATGACCTGTAAGTCTTTAGGGTTCCTTTTCTTTCTCCTTTCTGGGCTTTGTTTAGTTTTGTTTGTGTCTGAGACAGGGCCTCACTATGTAGCTTAGGCTACTAGCCTGGAACTGTTAATCCCCCTGCCCCCACCTCCCAGTGCTAGAATTTCAGGTGTCTATCACCACCCTGGCTCTCCTGTGGTGGAGGGTTGTCTTTGAAAGGCCACCAGGTGTTGGTGGCGCACACTTTTAATCCCAGCACTCGGGAGGCTGAGACAGGCAGACCTCTGAGTTCTAGGCCAGCCTGGTCGAGAGAGAGAGAGAGAGAGAGAGAGAGAGAGAGAGAGAGAGAGAGAGAGAGAGAGAGAGAGAGAGTTCTAAGATAGCCAGGGTCACACAAAGAAACCCTGTCTTGAAAAACCAAAAGGAAAGGAGGGGACAGGACACGAACTCGCTTCTCCTGGGGCTGCGGATAGTTGCTTAGAGGCCTTCATTATAAAAGCCTGGCTTTGATCCCACCTCGCCTCTGTCTTCTGTGTTGGGCTGTGGTTGCTTACTCACCATCACTCCCTCCACAGCAAATGGGCCAGGCGTTGACCCAGCACCAGGGGTGGGGGTGGGTGCTCTCCAGAGCCTGGACCGCACGATTCGGAACTTGAACAGACACAACCAGGAGCTAAATAACCCTTTTCACTCCACAAGTAGCTTGCCCCAGGTACATTATTATAACAGCAAAACCTCATTAATTCGGTATCTTGACTTGGTTTATACTGAACGTAACAACACCTCATCGACTCAGGCTCTGAATTTGATAATGGTTTGGCAACTAATGTTTATTTGTGAAATCACTACCTTGTAAATAGGACAGTGTTTGATAATGTTATGACTACATAAGTACATGAGTAAGCTGACGTGGTGTTGTGAATAATAGTTTGTACAAATCATTCACTCGGCAAATGATTTTGTGATTTGCTCTTTGAACATTTCAAAACACTCTGTAGGCAACGCTGCTGATCTGCTGCTGATCTACTTCCGGGGCTGTCAGGAACCACAACGGTAATAACGTTTATTGAGAACGACAAATATTTTCCATGGCTTTGTGATAGGAAAAAAACCACATCAGCGTTGTTTTAAATGAGTTCATATAGGACAGTTTCCATGTCTGTGCAAGATATCAAGTCTCGAACTGTGGTGAAGTTTCATTTCAAGGGCTGACAAGATGTTAAACATGGGGCCTCTGCCCCAGAAGGCCCTCACTGACTAGAAAAAAAAAAAAAACTGTGGGGAGAGAAGATTCTCTTGGCTTCTTAGGAAATAGTACCATTGGCCTCAACGTGGCAGATCACTTACAAAAACAAAGCAGAGCTCTCAGGCTTGGTTTCTCCCACAGAGGAATTTCTGGGCTCTCATCATAGTTAACCCAGAATACCCGTAGCCAATCTTGGAAAGACAACTCTCCATTTTGTCACAATAGGTCTACTGTTTACACATCCAGGAACACGTGTCAAGTCAAACAGGTCACCCCTTGGGGTTTCAAGTGAACAGTAGAGTATGATATATGTTTAGGCTTAAGTGACATAGTTCTGGCAAGCCACGAAAGTGCTTTAACCTATGTGGACTTATTTGATACAGAGAAAGCGTCTTCTCTTGTCTTCCAGATCTATCATTTTAAACTGTATTTTTATCTTACTACATTTATCTGTGTGGTAGTCTGTGTGTGTGTGGGGGGGGTGTCCGGTACATACCACAGTGAGTGTGTGGAGGTCAGAGAGTAACTACTACATTTATCTGTGTGGTAGTCTGTGTGTGTGTGTGCGCGGGGGGGGGGGGGGGGGGGTACATACCACAGTGAGTGTGTGGAGGTCAGAGAGTAACTACTACATTTATCTGTGTGGTAGTCTGTGTGTGTGTGTGCGGGGGGGGGGGGGGGGGGTCCGGTACATACCACAGTGAGTGTGTGGAGGTCAGAGAGTAACTACTACATTTATCTGTGTGGTAGTCTGTGTGTGTGTGTGGGGGGGGGGGGTGTCCGGTACATACCACAGTGAGTGTGTGGAGGTCAGAGAGTAGGGGTTCTCCCTTCTACCAAGTGAGTTCCAGGGATTGAACTCTGGTTTGGTGACAGAAGACCTTGCCCACTGGTCCAAGATCTGTTACTTTTTATAGATGACTTTTCCTTTAGCTATAACATAATCAATTAAGTCATGGTGGCCTCCAAACTGGTAGATCAGATGTTCCCATCTAGAAAGAAAGCAAACAGTTGCTCCAGGGCACGTAACTCAAAAACATCACTGTGTTAGTAAGTGATAATTTAAAGTGAATTCTGCATGCACGTGTGTGTGTGTGTGTGTGTGTGTGTGTGTGTGTGTATCTGTAGGTGCGTATGTGTGTGTATTCATGTATATGAGTACATGCCTGTGGGGGTATGCCTGCCCACATGTGTGGGTGCACTTGGAGGCCGGTGGGCCACATTCAGTGTCTCCCTGAATCACTGCCCACCTTGCTTTTCAAGACAGGTCTGTCACTGAGGCTGGAGTCAGTCAGTTTGACTAGACAGGGTGGTCAGCAAACCCCGGGGATCACCCACCCCGCCTCGGTTTCCGGCAGTGCTGAGTGCACAGGGCCCCGTCGTGCCTAGCCTGCCTTTTGACATGGGCCCTGGGGCTAAACTTCAGGTCCTCATGTTCCTATAGCAAGTGTTTTAGGAACTGAGCCAGTAGCCCAGGCCCTGAACCTTTAAAAAGGGGTTCATGAGTGCCACGTGCATATTATGTTTGATGGAAGGAGGCGATTCTTCCGGAAGGAATTACATTGTGGACCTGCTCTCCTCTGTAGAACATGGGACCCAAGGGCTGTGACGGGCTTATGAGAGTCAAAGAGACACAACATTGCCATCATCTAGATGTAGACACTAGGACCCAACTGCCACCCAGGTGGCAGACCTCGGGTGAGAACTAAGAACTTAGGAGTAGAGCAGCCTACAGAGGCATTAGGAGCCATTTGATTCCGTGAGTCAGAGAAAGAATAAGTCAGAGCCAGAGTGACAGCTGGAGCTGTGAGGAAGCAAAAGGTCCCGAGGCTAGTGTAAACTCAAACACACAGACCGGAGGCAAGTTCAAAGTCCAGGGAAACAGCAGGAATTGGAGGCCAGAGAAAGATGCAAGGCACCCGAAAAGACTCGGAGACTTGCTTGGCTACACAGTTGAGGACCTCAGGGGAGACTTTCTGGTTAGGAAGGGGTAAAGATAGAGGGCACTGGGACATCTGGAGTCTACCTAGTACTAATAATAACATATGGCAAAGGTCTAAAGCTTGTCTACATGGACGTCAAATAAGACAGCTAATGGTTACTACGGTTAGCACTATCTTGGGAGGCCTCTCACCTGGATGCATTGATGATGATGAGATCCCCCTGCTTGCCAACTTCCAAAGATCCATGTGTGTGAGATTTCCCCAGCGCATAAGCTGCATTGATGGTGGCAGCGGCCAAGGCCTCGGGCATGGACATCCTCATGTTCACACAGGCCAGGTGCATGACCATTGGCTGAGGCAGGACAGAAAGCATTGGAGGAGAAAAACAGAGCAGCAGCAGTTGCCAATCAGACTACTTTTCCATGAAGCACAAGTAAAGACAATTACATTTGTGTCTGGAAAGAATAGCCCAGAAACAGTTTGTGCTTAGTATGCAAAGGCCTCAGGGTTTATTCCACTCCCCTATCCTCCCCCCCAAAAATATATATATAGTGGAATATATATTATGAATAGTATACAATATATTATGTATAGTATTATATATTACACACATATAAGTTATTTATATATATATTCTATATAGCTAAGTTGCTATGGAAAGTGCAAATTTACACATAAGATTCTTAAACTTTATTACTGAATAGTACTGTGGGTTTAATATTACCAGTTTTCAAGAAGGCCCTTTGCTGAATAGGAAGTTTGCCTCCACCCTTACCCACAAAAGCCCCGCTGTCTCCGTTACGCCCAGAGAAGGAAAATGGCTCATTATAAAACCTTAAGTCTCAAAGCTGAATGAGGAGACTGACCTCTTCAGTCCTGGATGCAATGGTGTGTACAGAAAATTCAACTAAGCCTCTGATATAGCCTTTTCCTCTCCTCAGGGAAATACTTTCAGATTCTTAAATACATTTTCACAACGAATAGAAAACTTAAATGTATATGTTTCATGGTTCGCTCTGTTCAGAAAAATATCTGAAAAGTAATTACCATTGAAAAGCAGTATGCATTAGGGTTGAAATCGCTGCCCAGGGCAACTATGACTCCCTCATCTAGCATCTTCCTGGCTCGAGGCTGCTTCAGCCTAAGGGGAGAGGGGAAAGGTGACAGTCTCCAGCTGGAACTTCCGCAGGAACAAGGGGAGCGTTTCACATTCTAGAAGAGGGGAGGAAGCCCCAGGGTAAGTGGTGAAGTGGAGGAGCGCATTAGCATCCCCAGCATTTATGGATTTATCAGTTGTTTGCACCTTAGGATGACAACCTTGTACCACTGTCGCTGCATCTCTTAGCATCTAAGTTGCTGCCATCAGCATTCTCAGAGTTTGTTCGCAACAATGCCTAGGCACCCCCTGAAGTCTCACAACCCGTACTTGAAGGCAATGTGTCAGGCTGAGAAAGGCCCTTACCTCAGCATGTAGGCCGTGGTGGGCAGAAGGACAGCAGAACACCTAGCCGCAGCCATGGCTGTGATGCCTTCGTCACTTACTTCCTCCAGGTGACTGATTGCCTGTGCTCCTAGTTCAGCCCCAAGCTGGGCAGAATGGGCGGAGAGAAAAGGCTTACTGTACAATTCATACCGTTACCACATTGCTCTGTGAAGAATTCTTGCCAACTACTTCAGATGAGCACGGGCCCCCAAATAGATGTAGGATTTGTCATGGAGAACCATCTGAAACTAGTGTGATGGTAAAAACTAGTCTTAAAGTGGGGTATGGTGGATCACATCTGTGATCCAAGAATTTGGAAGGAGAGTTGCCAGTCTAGGCTGGCTACATAATGAGTTCCAGGCCAGCCAAATCAATAAAGACCATTTTTGTTTTTGCTTTTTTAAAGGCAAACACATAAAAAATGAATCTTAAACACAATTATTTTCTGAATCTTAATTTTGTGACTCTCAGAAATCAGAATAAAACCAGGGAATAATATTGATAATAACATTTAATTACTCTAGCATTAACAAACAAAAGCCAAAAACAAAAAACCAAATATGGCTGTCTTGGAATGTCATCCACCCTGGGGGGAAAGTTCAGTTAGAAAATAACAAAAACCTTTAAATAATTTGAGGCTGTAAAACTTGGGAGTGGTTTTTCTGCAGAAGAAGCACTGGGATTTGATAGAACAGAAACAACTGCAGAATGGCTGTGTGATGACTGGGCAAACTTTACAATGGGCCTCTTCTCAGCTTGGTCTCCCATATACTTTATTCCCAACTGGACCAGTTCCACACGTACACACACAATTCCAGGCTGAAGGCTGGCATGTCGTCAACAACCCAAGGGAAAGAATCCAGACTGTCGTTTGCTGTCACACTGTGGCTGTGTAGGCTGTCATATCTTAACCTGAGGGCGATGCTGACCTCTGTATCAGCAGTGTGCTCCTGTCTGAAGACGTCTGGGGCCAAGGATCTGGAGGGCCTGGAGGTCCACAGGAAACTCCTTAGGGGGTGGGTATCTCTCTGACTCTGCAATCACCCTTGCTTTCCAAATCTGACTTGCTTATCATGGATACTGGGGTCTCTCAGTTTTATCCGCTAATTGCTCTTCTCTGACCAACAGTAACTCATTGACCACACAGTTACATCCATTCGACAAAGTCAGCAACCGTTTATTTACAAAAGCCTGTCTGTACCCCAGGAACTGTACTGACCTCCAGGGGTAGAGTTTCAAGTACTGGGTGCAAGTTTAGCCAGAGGGGAAAAAACAGGGTGAAACCACAATCTAACATTAAGGAGATTTGGGATGGGGTGCCAGAGAAGTAACAGCTAAGATGAAGTGTGGATGAGAGTGTGAGTAGTCCAGATTAGAGAAACAGCACATCCAAGGTATGGGATGTTAGCAGTAGTCTGTTGTGGTTGGTTCGTGACAGAGATACAAGAGAGAAAAGGGAAGAGATAAGAAAGATCCAGATCCTGGTACCCATGCACATAGGCAAGAATTCACACTAAGAGCAAAATTCTAAGCCTTGTCTTAGTTAGGGTTACTATTGCTGTGATGAAACACCATGATCAAAGCAAATTAGGAGGTATTTGGCTTACATTTACACAGCACTGTTCATCAAAGGAAATCAGGACAGGAATTTAAACAAGGCTGGACCTGGAGGCAGGAGCTGATGCAGAGGTCATGGAAGAGGGCTTCCTCCTGGCTTGTTCATTATGGCTTGCTCAGCCTGCTTTCTTATACCATCCAGGATCATCAGCCCAGGGGTATTATCATCCCTGGTGTGTTGGATACTCCCTCATCAATCAGTAATCACCGGCCCTACAGACTTGCCCACAGGCCAGTGTTATAGAGGCCTTTTCTCAGTTGAAGTTCCTTCCTCCAAGATGACTCTAGGTTTTACCAGATTGACCAAAAAAAAAAAAAAAAAAAAAAAAAAAAAAAAAACTAACCAGCGCGATTATCATCTTGCCCAGACTTAAAATTATGTTGGAGACAATATCTACATGCATCTGTGACAGCATTCCCATCGAGGTTCAACTGAGGAGTAATGACTGTCCCTGGATGTGGGTGACAATGTCCCATAAAATCGGCTCTTAGATTGAATAAAAAGGAAATTGCAAGTGGATTCCCAGCATTCCTCTGCTTCCTGACTGCAATGTAACAGCTGCCCCACCATAACAGACTGTGTCCCCAAACCACAAGCCGAAATGAGCCCTTTCCTTCTAACACTGATTCAGCTGGGCCCTTGTCACAGTGAAAGAAAAGTAGCTAATTCACGTACCAACCACAACATTAGCAAATGAGATCTCGGGGATGCTTCTCTTCTCTGTGACTGTAATAAAGTCACAGGAGACGATAAATGAAGTAATCAAGCTAGAGGTAGCACAGCACTTAAGCATCTGTTAGCCAGCGCAGGGCAATAATGGGCAAACAGCAACAAGTTGTGTGTGCACATGTATGTGTCCACCTATGTGTATAGGTATAATTGTACATGTGCCTGTGTGGATCTTTCCATGTGTGCATGACTGGGTGTGCGAGTGTGCATGTGGATGTGTGTGTCCTGTATGTTTGTGTCTGTGTGTATGTCTCTGAATGTGTTGGTATATGCCTGTGTCTATGTGTATGACCCACATGCATGTCTCTCTGTGAGAGTGTCTGTGTGTGCATGTATGTGTTTGAGTGTCACTGTGTGTATCTGCTGTGAATGTATAAATGTGCATGTGTGTTTGTCTCTGTGTGTATGTGTGCAACTGTATTGTGTGTGAATGTGACTGTGGAGGTCAGAAGGCACCTTCAAATACTGTTTCTCAGGCCACCTGGTAGTCCGTCCGTCCTTCCTTCCCTCCTTCCTTCCCTCCTTCCTTCCCTCCTTTTTCCCTTTTCTAGCCCCCCAACCCTTTGACAGGTCTGGAATTCACCGAATATTCTGGTCTAGAGCTCCAGAATCTGCTTATCTCTCCCTCTCCATGGTCAGGATTAGACGCACATACCACCATGCTTAGGCTGCTTGGGGATCAGATCTGAGTCTGTACTTCCAAGGCCAGCATTTTACTGAAGGAGCCATCCCCCAGTTCCTCAAGAAAGTTTCTACAGTGGCCAGGTGTCCCCAGGCTCAGCCAGACCATGGACTTCCCATTCTACCTTTCCAGAAGGGTATTCCTAACTGAACAAATTTCACTTTTTCCTGTAGTGCCAGAACGCAGGAAAGAGCCGACTGTCATCATACCTCGGCGGCCTTCATCGGGTGGAGTTCATCCCCATGGAAGTTAATCTGCAGCCCCATCTTCTTTCCTCCTTCAAGAATCCTTCTGGTGGTACCCAGGTCAAAGACACCCTTCTCACAGAACACATCTATGTTGTCAACGTGAAGTTCCCCAGTTTTGCAGAGTTCCTTCAGCTTTGGCAGGTGGTTACTGATGATGTCATCAGCGGCTTCCATGGCGGTTTTTCCTCTAGTGGAAGGAAGTGAGGTAATCATGGGCATAGTCTTTATATATGTGACATATATACATGTATATTCTTTAATGTGCTTGCTCTTTAATAATTGTGATATGTAATATATTGCTTGATAATATACTTATTACATATACTACATATACATTGAAGGATATATATATACATATATAGTAGGAGAAGAATAACAAGCCCAGAAAAGAAACCAGAGCATTTGGTAGTTCTGTCATGCTCACACAGCAGGGGTAGTGATGAGACTTCTGTTTGAAGGACCTCATTATACATTAGACACAGATATATAAACGGCTCAACCTCCCTGGGCTGGTCATGTGCCCTTTGGGGATGCCAGCAATGCCTGTGGCAGCAAAGCTGAATGTTTCTATCGAGGACACCCTGAGCTCCAGCTTTTACACTTCCTTTCTCTCCCTTTCTATTCACAGGTTCCCCCGTAGCCTTTACCTAAAGTACCCTGCCTCCCTAACAGGAGTGGATCAGAGAGAAGAAAGCTCTGAAAAGCTCTGTAGAACTCGGGAGTCGTTAACAAGGGCAGAGCTGTGGAAGTCAGGCAGACATGGAGCACTCTGTCCATAACTTTAGACACATGGCTGTGATCTGCACACCAGGCATAAATCATAGGGGTCAGAGGCTTATTGGCAGCTGGAGACTGTTTCTAGAAAACTCCAGCCCTGTGTTTGGCACAGTGGCTCTCACTCAGCAACACATGTAGGTGGACCAGCAAAGGTCAACAAACAGGGTATCTACATGAGATATTTCTACTTCTCACAACAGTGACATAGAGCAGGTATATGCAATTCTTTATTACATGATTGTTCGTGTTTGGAACAGTTAAAGAACACCCTTAAAATCACTTAGCAGGGAAGCTTCACTTAAACTCAGGTTTCAATATTTAAAAATTATTAAAAACCAGGCTGTCCCACACTTTATATTCCACTTGAAACCATTTACAACTCCCTATTGACAGGCTCTTTTAAAAGTCTCAGTTCAAACTTTAGTAGTTTCAAAAATAGAAATGCTAAAAGCTTGAAACAAATACTAAATATCTGCATAATCAGTTATATCTTTGGGTTTTTTTTTTTTTTTTGTCTTTTTTTTGTTGTTGTTGTTTTTTGATTTTGAGACAGGATCTCACTATATAGCCCTGGTTGTCCTTGAACTTTCTGAGTGAGATCAGGCTAGACTCAGACTCACAGAGATCAGTCAGCTTCTGCCTTGAGTGCCGGCATTAAAGACGTACACCTTCATGCCTGGAGTGTTCTTTGAATACAAAACTTTAGTGTTAAGTTTTTGGTTCCTCTGATTGGAGATAGCAAGTGGATGTCAGCATTAACAATCATGTTCCTGTACTACAGTGACGTGTAGTGACTCTGTACTCTTTTAAAACACTCCAAAACAGATTTGAAGCCTTTTCCCCACAAAAAAAAGGGCTAAAAGGAGTCATACATGTTAGTAAGTGATTCAGCCACTTCACAATTAAGTTAAAAATGAATTGAAATGGTTTAGACACAGTTTGTATCGTAAGTCTATGACGGGTGAAGACTGGGCAAAGTTTGGAGACAGCTAGCTCCTCTGCCAACCTTTCAGATCTGGACGGAAAATCCTTCCTGCCTAGAAGTTCAGGACAGAAAGACCTGCACAGCCAGGCTGTAAGAGAGTTCTCTTCATAAAGACAAGTAGCTCAGATTCCTTAGATAAATCAGAGGCTTAAAAAAAAATCAGATTAATAAAATGAAAGTATTTGCCGTTGAGCAAACAGATTAATGAAGCCCTTTCACCGACACTGAGACTACACAATTTGATCTCCTAGAGGAAATAACGAGTGATTTTTACAGTGGTTTAAGCTAATGGATTATCCTGGGACATTTTTTGAATTAGCAGCTGTGTCTTGAAAGGACTCGAAAGGAGCCATTCTTTATGAAAAGAAGGCTTGAAATATTTCCTCCTTCTTCGTCCTATTAAAGGACTAGGAATACTGAAGAGGCTGTCGGAATCCCTTCCTTAAAACCTGGGCACCACCGTTTTTAGAAGCAGAACATCTTTCAGCAAGAGCTGAAGTGTTAGAGCGCCTCCACCCTCCAGAGAACACAGACTCTGTTTCCAACCCCCACCGCACACCCCACCCCCTGCTGCCACTGAGATTACTTGGGGACTGAGTGAGCCCCGCAGTAAGTAGCAGACAGACTCAGGTTCAGCTCCCTCCGGGCACACTCGATTACACGCAGCATCTTGAGCTCCGTCTCCAGGTTGAGGCCATAGCCGCTCTTGCACTCTACCAGCGTGGTGCCTGCCCTCATCATGCACTGCAGCCTCTGCTGGAAGGAGCGGAACAGTTCCTCCTCCGAGGCTTGGCGAGTGTGCTCCACCGTGAAGTTGATCCCTCCTCCGGCCTGGTGAATGTCCATGTAAGTGGCCCCTGCCAACTGAACGCATGGCTCACTCAGGGAGGTAAAAGTGGGTCTGCAGACCCTACCTCCAGGAGCGGTAATAGAAGACGATTTACGGGTTCGGCAGTGATGCTGTTACAGAGGACTGGGGTTCCGTACCCAGCATCCACATGGCAGCTCACAATCACCTGAAACTTCATCTCCAGGGGAATCTCTCTCACCACACACACACACACACACACACACACACACACACACACACACCAATGAAAAAAAGCTAAGATAAAATCAATTTTACAAGATGGTTAAGAGGCTGCTAGGCCTGTAAAGCCAGCCCTCAAGAAGTAGAAGCCCTCAAGAACTTAAGATGTATTTTGGCTGTATAGGGAGTTACAGGTCAGCCTGGTCTACATAGACCCCGCTTCAATCAATCGATCAGTTTAAGAAGCAATAGGGCACAGGCACTAACAGCCAAATCAGAGAGGCACACAGTCCTTAAAGACAACCCCCCCAGGTGTGCAGAAGCACGTTCCAGAGAGTACTTGAGGGGTGGAGATGGGCAAGGTGGTGTGTGGGCAAATAGGCAGCTGGAGGCACTAACAACTAACTAACACTCAGATAGAGGGGTATTTTGATGTTTTAATAGTGAAGTTGGTCCCAATGCAAAACCAGCCAAGTGTCAACAGATTCTATACCCCTCACCATGGTTGAGAAAATAAAGCTTAGGGGGTTATTCTGCTTTCTACTAACCAAGGGCATCCAGGCACCAGAGTTTGGAGCCTAATTTCTGTCACTAAAACAAAGAGGTTCTTTCTAGAATCCCGGTAGTCACTACTTATGTGGACAGTAGGAAGTGTGATCCACACCAAGCATGTGTCTGGCCCCGCCATCCCCTGATAGTCTGCGGCTCCCTTCCCAAACATCAGTTTCTCCATCATCACAGGGTAATAGCCTGATCATAGGGTGGCTCCTAGCTCTGAAATTCAGTACAATAATACAATTGCCATAAAAGCAGTTCTGATTTGTTGAGGAAGGTACATGATAGCCAGAGAAAAGGATCTTTCTTCTGTTTTCCAGAATAACCTGTCACTGCTTAGGCTGTGCTTTTTTCCCCTTAAAAATGAGATAACAGTTTCATTTAGGAGCTAACTATGGCTGATGTAACTGATACAACTACATTTTATATTCTGGGGTTGGGGGGGAGAGAATAATGTAAGGCCTTTTTGTTATTGTTGTTGTTAGCAGTAAACAGTGATTTTCAAACTATTTCTTGAAACTCATTCAAAATTACAATTAATGATTACATGGGGGCGGGGTCAGCCACGAAGTTGCTGAGCTCTCTGTCTATAGCTGAAAACCTTCAGATACTCCTTTCCTTAAACCGGTTGCTAGCTCTCTACACGTCATATAAAGATTTGGGGTAGTTTCAATTAAGTCTACTTTGTAAGGATTCAGGCATTACGCTGGCCTGCCTCTGTCACCTGGCAGAATGCACTCAGGCAGTGCCCTGGTCAGCCCAGGTGCAACAGACCTCTGCCCACCTTCTCTATATTCCTGGGGCAGATAAGACTTTTCCTGTCTCCCTCTTCTCTTCTGCCCTCCCTTTCCCTCCTTCCCTTTCCTTTCTAATAAAACTTCTCACTTAAGCCCTGTCTGTCTGCCTGTCGTGTTTGTCTCTCCGCTCCAGTCACCCTCGCCTGCCATGGACTCCACCGAGGTTACCCTCGAAATTTATCATAACATTAAGGCTTCCCACACTCTTTAGCCTAACATGTCGTATTGCCATTTGTGTTCTTTACTGAGACAAGTAAAGACGTCCATTAAAAACGATAGGCGGCACTGGTTGACCTCTGTCATTACAAGGGGCAGCCTGCTTGTGCTTCATCACGCTCCTGTCACTCATGTTGCAGTTACCTTCATTGCAAACTCATGGACTCTTTCCCCAGCCCACACAGGATGTGTGTGTGCGTCCACCAAACCTGCAACGGAAGTTGAGAAACGGAAGATGCTTAGACGGTGCTAGAGCCACTGTTAAAGTCCTTTTCAGGGTTTTATGAAGAAGAGTGTCAGTACCTGGTAAGACACATTTCCCAGAGCAGTCAATTCTTTCTTCAAAAGTTTCTCCAGAAAACTGTCTCTGGATAACGTCAGCAGGGCCAATAGCTTTTATAAACCCATCACTGGGGGGGGGGGGGGTGGAATCAAGAAATAGTTACTTGGTTTGGGGAAGTTTTTCTGAAGAACCTGATTGATGATTTAAATGTTCTTTTGGATGCCCTGATGTTAGCCAGCATTTACTGTGTTTCCCTTCTGACCTGGGTTTTAAGGAAAGAGATGGTGGGTTACATTGAAGACAGAAGCTAAACCATGTGTAGAAGTCACTGCTATTCCTTCTCTAAGATCACTGTTCCCCTTTCCCACGGTACTGAATCCCTAAATGATGCCCAAGCACATAACTCCTCTATGCCCAGTTGGCGTGAAGCTGAATTAACCAGTAGCCACCGGGCAAGCAGTTTGACAAAGGACCCTGCACACAGTGGACTGTTGAAGCACACTGCTTTGGTTGTGAGCCTAGCCTTCAATGGCTGAGCCATCTCTCCAGCCCAGCACACTGCTTTAGGAGTGCTGTGGTGTTTCAATGAGTTCAGCCCTGAGCTGGAGATCCCTGTCTGCATCAGTTTGTGTAAGGATGCTAAGAGCACAGGGCTTCTCTTCATAACCACACTAACGGATCTCTGCCTTCTAAGAATGTGAGCTGCCATTCAGCCGTAGGTTCCCAGTATTGTGACTGAACAAAATACACATCCAACGACACAGTTACCAGGGGAAGCTAGAAATCATCTTGCAAAGGTGTTAGGGTTTTGTTGCTATTGTTGCCCCTTTGGTAGCCATTAAACATTCTTAGCTGAATTTTGAGGTTTCACCATTTACTAAGTGGGGAGGGGTGGACTACAAAATAATACACACCCAAAAGGTGTGGGTATTTGTGCGTTTTTGCTTGCTTCAGAAAACAATGGAAAAACCAAGTGTGTAAACTACTTGTTAGCATTAGTTCCCTAATCCTGGGCTTGAGTGATTTTGCAGGTCAGAGTGCTGGTGTTAAAGGCGCAAGCCACTATGCCTGACCACATAATGCAGACAGACAGCAGGTGCTTTTAGAAGGAGTGGAGAGGGGAGATGTGATGTTACTGTTATTTGAAAGTATTAATTAGTTCTTGTTTATTTTTTGACACAGGGTCTCATGCGCAAACTCTACAAGCAGCCAAGGATGGCCTTGGACTACTGACCTCTCCTTTTGTATCCTGAGTGTTGGGATTACAGACCTGGGCCAATATCTGAACTTTAGGGAGAAAAAGACTACAGAATCTTCTAGATTATCCAGCCAAACACCATAGAAGCTATGGTGACATCGATGATCGTCGATGAAAGTTGCTTTGAAGGTATTTTGTTGGAGAAAGAGCTTCTAGCTCCGGGACCCCCTCGGCCCCCTCACCCCGGTACTCACGTGCCCACCACCAGGCTGGCACCCTCCAGCACCGCCAGGCTGCGCAGAGCGGGCCCGGCCAGGAAGCGCTCGCCCTGGGCACACACCAGCACCACTTGCCGCGCGTTCTCCAGCAGGAGGCGGTGGCCGGTCGCCATGGTCGTCCTAGCTGCTGGCCGGGTACAGAGGACGCTAGAGCCCTGCCAGCTGTGGCTGCGGGCGGGCGGGCGGGGCGGGGCCGCGCGGGGCGGGAGCTCGCTAGCAGCAGTTGACCAAAGACAGAAGCCAACAAGAACAGCTCTTGGCAATAAACTGTTCTGTGGACGCCAGTCCTTTCAGGTCTCCTTTTCAGGTTTTAGGCAAAGGAGGTAAAGATTGTATCCAAGCCCTAACTTTTGGATCAAAATAAAACTGCAAATTAGCCACCTGGAGAAATCAAGTTGGACTAGGTAGATGCGGTGGCCAAGCGAAGTGTAGTCGGTTAGGGCATGCACAGGGGACTCCAGTGCAGGGAAATCTCTGCCCGGGGGACCTGAGATGGGGATGCAGGAGCAGACCAGCGCGGGCGAGCTGTGCTCGAGGCGGCTGGGGCACGGGGCAGAAGGTTGACGGTGTCTGAGCAGCTCCTGCGGGTGCCACGTACTGTTCGGTTGGCCAGCACGACTCTAGGGTCCTGCTACCAGACGGTCCCAAGATGAAGGGTACCTGGGGCAGGAAAGGATGGAGCTGAGACGCAGGGTCTCTGTTTGGCGCCTCTGTCTGCTTTGTCCCTAGCGTCTTCGTGAAGGATAGTTCTCAATTCTGATCCAAACTCGTTGAGGTAAAATCAGATTTGATCTGGGTATCTGCCACGCCCACTCCACCCGATCTGGTACCCTCTACACAAGCTGCACTCAAGGTCCTTGACAACATCCAGTTTGTTTAAGAAAGCCTGGCAGGCACCAGGATTTGTTCAGATTCCTTTTTTAACTTTTTGAGATTATAATTACGTCACTTCCCCCTTCCCCTTCCTCCTTCCAAACCTTCCATGTAACCCCCTTGTTCTATTTTCAAATTCATGACCTCTTTTATCTTGTTACATATACATGGTGTGTGTGCATTCTTAAATACATAAGTACAACATGCTTAGTATGTATAATGTTACGTGTGTGCATATGTTTTGGGAGCCTTTTCCTTTTTCTTTTTTTGAGACGAAGGCTCATACTACATAGCCCTGGCTGTCCTGGAGCTCTCTGTGTAGACAAGGATAGCCTTTAACTCACAGGCCCAACTGTCTCTAACCACCCACCTCTCTCTCTCTCTCTCTCTCTCTCTCTCACACACACACACACACACACACACACACACACACACACAGTACAGGGATTAAAGGCATATACCAGCAGCTTTATTTTATTTGGTTTCTATGGTACATTTCATTCAAAGACAGGAATGTTGCTTTCCATGCCCAGCAGACATTACAATAGAAAGAAAAAAAAATTTGACAGAAATAATAATAAGCCATGAAAATAGGCTTATCTTGCAAAACACAAAGGTTAATTTTGGAACACCTTAAAATCATTATAAAACAGACAGCAAAATGTCTTTAGATGGACAGATTAGAAACAAATAGAGCTCCACTCTATGTCTTCTAATAAAAGATATGGGGTAGAAAAACAGAAAGAAAGAAGTTACAAAATAAGTAAACATTGTGAAGGAAAGGCCCAAAGGCTACTCATAAAGTAGAAACACAATCCCAATCATCCATGGTGCAGAAAAGAAAAAGGAGAGAGAGAGAGAGAGAGAGAGAGAGAGAGAGAGAGAGAAGAGGAGGAGCAGGAGGAGGAGAAGCAGGAGGAGGAGCAGGAGGAGGAGGAGCAGGGGGAGGAGGAGCAGGGGGAGGAGGAGCAGGGGGAGGAGCAGGGGGAGGAGGAGGAAAGGTGGGGACAAGGGAAAAGTGGAATTAGCAGAGGACAGACACGCAGTCACTTATGCGTAGAGAATTACTGGATTTTCATATTATAAAATGTCTCTCGACCTGACACACTTGGCAGGCAAATGCACCCTGGCGGATTTAGGCAACTACAGGTGTAAAGGAAGGGTTCCAATTGGGTTCAGCAAAAGTGCTCCCACCTCTGTCATTTCTCCTCTGAGCTGACCTGGAAATCTATTTAAAATTTTTCAAGGCACAGTTTTCTTAGCCTTACATGGATGCACTTGTTTGTATTTTGTGGATTTGTTTGACCTTCAGATAAAATGCAAGTCATTTGGGCTGACGCTCATGTATGCGTAAGGTGTGGACATTCCCGTTGTTGCTTATTTTAATGCTGTTTTCCCTGATTGTCAGTTGCGTATTAGACTTCAGGCTGTAGTACAGTTTCTCCCCTGGCTTCACAGAGCACGCCATATACTATGCCTTGACCTTTAGTTGTGTTTCTCGGTTTGCCAAAGGGTCTATCAGGACCGTCAGCAGAAAAGCCCACACAAAAGCAGCCAGCCTGACGTGAGCAGGGCCAAGAGGTCAAGCTGACAGGCATTTCCTCATCCTTCTGATGTGGTTCTGACCTAATTAAGAGAGGCAGGCCCTAAAGTAGGCCAAGGACCCAGGGGCCCCTGCCTTCCAGGTAAACAACAAACTGCTGGCTCAGTTATGTCTACACCATTCAAGGCCACAGTTCACAGCTTTTCCATGGTGGGTGGGGAGGAGGAGGCGTTGGGTCAGGGAGAATTATAAGGATGTGGGAGACGCAGTGTGTGTGTGTGTGTGTATACATGTGTGCATGTGTACACACACACACACACACACACACACACACACACACACACACAGTCTTATATGTATATAAAAGACCCCTAAGGGGATCTGAAAACTCATTTTTCACTGAGTTGTAAGCATAGAGTTATGAAAGCTGGATACAAATTGCTTCCAGCAGTGTCTGGTAATGAGTGGTCTGGCTAATGGTATTTAAAATTAGTCCAGAACGCTGTGATAAGACCTGTGAAACTCTAGCTCTCCCTCTGACCTCATGAGTCCTTCAGGAGATAAATCCAAAGGAAGGACAGGTACACTGGGGACTTCCAAAGACAGTAGCATTTGCCATCAACTTTCCTGTATTCATTAAGAATTAAAAAAAACATTAGCATATTATTTATCTTCACAACTGAGTTATTTTCTCACGATGTTTTTCTTTTCACTTTTTATTTATTTTTTGGGAATTCTTTTACAGCTGAAGTAAGTACCTCCCACTCTTAGTATTCAGGCATCTGCACTGGCCTGTCCTTGGGGTCCTTACAGGGTGCGCTCTCAGCTGAGGCCACTAAGAGCACCACCTGTGCACATTCAACACGGTCTCTTTTAAAATGGCCCTGTCCCCTCCCATCCTTCTGTCTCTCTCCCCCTCTCTGTTCTGCCTGCTCTCGCTCTCCCTCTCCCCCTCCCTCCCTCCCCCTCCCTTCCCTCCCTCTCTCCCCCTCCCTCTCCCCCTCCCCCCTTTCCTCTTTCCTGCTGCTCCTGTCTTCAGTGCCCGGTCCCCTTCCTCACCTTCCCTTTCCACTACCCCTTTCCCTCTGCCTGAACCTGTCTCGTGGTGTCTTTCTCTCAAGCACTGCCTTCCTTAAATTACCACACCCACCAGGCCTCACCCCAAGCCTGCCTGGAGTGGAAGGAGCAAGTGCAAATTAATTTCTGCAGACGCTGGCTCATCAGCCTTAGGAAACCCAGACTTCACGCGCAGCTCTCTCCACCCACGCCATCCCTATGCCTTGGAAGTGTATTGATTGGTTGACTGACTGACTGATTGATTGATGATTGATTGATTGATTTTGCATGTGTGGAGGTCAGAGGACAGCCTGTGGGACCCAGCTGCCTCCTGTCTGCTGCTCACGTATCCCTGGGATTCCAACTCTAGTTACCAGGCTTTCTTGGACGCGCCTTTTCCTTCTGAGTCATCTCATTGCCTTTTTTTTTTTTTTTTTTTTTTTAATTACAATAAGTGGACCCCAGGTCGAGTGACCCCGAATCATGTTAAGGATCACTAGGCAGGGCAGTTTAGTTTATGGCATGCCACAGCTACTCAGTCAACCCCCAAGTTATTAAATTGTACCAAAAGAACACTACAGCTCATACACTTTTTGCTCTCGAGGTTGATTATTTCCTGGGGTGAAAGTCCCTGGAATGGGGATTGCTGGGTTTGTGTGGTTATGGTTTTAAAAGCCAGGAAAGTTGCTGGGAAGCCGCTGACAGCTGAATTTAGCCACTTTTATACAATATATACAGGGTGGTTGGTTTGTTCCTTTTATTTAAGACTTTATCTTGTTTTTCCGGTTGAAGAGATGGATCAGTCATTAAAGGATAGGCTCACAACCAAAATGTCGCAATATTTCTTTTGTTTTTAATTGTGTGTATATGTGAGTGCATGCATGTGCACACACATGAGTAAAGGTGCCTAAAGAGGTCAAACAAAGGGTGCTCGAGCCCACAGAGCCGGAGTTCCAGGCCCAGTGTGGGTGCTGGGGTCCCAAGTCAATTCCTCTAAGAGAGCAGCTCTCAGTGGCTGGGCCATGGCTCCAGACCCTATATGCAGACTGCTTATACTTCTATTATGGCTCTGTATTTTATGTTGAGTGTATCTGCTTGTGTTTACAGGATTTTTAACAAGTGTATTTCATTCTCTTTGAACAGGACCACGAGACAAAATGACATCCCAATTTTTTCAGACATCAATGAATTCTGGAGGTAAAAATCTATCTGTCAATATGTTCTTGCATATATATCTGGTGTGGTTAGGCTCTGTGATGACTAAGGGGTAAGGGAGAACGCAGCTTGCCAGCAGAAGAAAGAAAGGATTTGTTGGTATTGCTGAGGTTTGATTAGTCAGAGGGCGTTAGCTTGTCATAGTTAGCTGTTGTGTAGCACGGATAATAAAAACCCAGAGTCAGATATGGAGGTTAGAGCTGAAGAACAGAAAAGCAAAATGGCCAGCCACTAGCTCTTACCTCTACCTCAGACTGAAAGGGGTGATCCTGCCTTCACAAAAGCTCTGGCTGCAATGCTCTCCACCAAACCTCAGCCTGCTCCTCCTATAACCCTCCCTAGAGCTGAGCTGCGATTAAAGGCTTGCCATGCCAAGTGCTGGGCTCAAAGGTGAGAGCTCCGTTTCTCTTTTAGACTGATCCACTCTCATGTAGCCCAGGGTGGCCTTGAACTCACAGAGATCCATGTGCCTTTGTCTCCTGAGTGCTGGGATTAAAGGTGTGGCCACCACTGTGGCTAACTAATGGCTGTGTGTGTGTGTGTGTGTGTGTGTGTGTGTGGTGGATTAGCTCTTAACTAAGTTGTGTTGTTTAGTGGCTTATCTCTGCACTCTAGTTTTTAGGCAAGCTTTGTTAGATCTTAAAATATCACACTGTCCTGGAGAATGGGAGAGAGCCTGAGCTCGGTGGAAATCTGCCATTTTCTCCCCTCATCCTGCAGAGCCCAGCCCGACAGAAGGAATCACTTGATTATCACCTCAAAGCTTGACAAAGATTTAACACCTAGCATGGGTTCCTGGGCACTCTCTGCGAATGTGAATGCTCCACACCAGAATTGGTTAGAATTGCCAAACTTGACTACAGTGACAGAAGTAGAAACCATCACCTTCAATGAGATTCCACTCTCTCAGAGATGGAGACAAGGAGAGAGAGGGGCAGAGGGGTGAGGAGAGGAAAGAGGAGGCTGGTTTGGGTCTCCTGGGGGCACTGAGCCCTGAACTTGTGTCATAGACAATGGACTCTTACCCAGGAGACCCAGGACCTGTATTTCCAGTTTCAGCTGGAGGGTAAGATGTGCTTGCATCCTGCCTTCTCAGAGCCCAGCATGCCATCTCTTTACTCCAGCTCAGGGGAGACTTACTAAGCCTAGATCCTTATTAGATGAACTAACAGCTCCTGTCCTCCCTCCCTTCCTCCCTCCTTTCTTCCTTTTCTTTCTCTCTTTTCAGATAGAATAAAAGATGACGCAATCAAAATGGAACGACCCTACAAGATCTTTTTCAAAGATCTCTTCCTTTTCAAGGAAAATGAAATGGCTGCAAAGAGAAAGGTAAGGGTTTTTATTTAGATCAAAGTCCCACAAAGGTTAGAGTTATGTGCTTTTAGCCATAGTTCTTACCAGTTTTAAGAGTTTATTTATTTATTAAGTACACAGTGTTCTGCCTGCATGTCTGCAGGCCAGAAGAACGCACCAGATCTCATTACAGATGGTTGTGAGCTACCATGTGGTTGCTGGGAATTGAACTCAGGACCTCTGGAAAAGTAGCCAGTGCTCTTAACCTCTGAGCCATCTTGCCAGCCCTCTTACCAGTTTTTATGTATTAAGACATGGTGTTGGGGCCAGGCAGGGTGACACATGTCTTTAATCATAGCACTCAGGAGGCAGAGGCAGGAAGATCTTTGTGAGTTCAAGGCCAGATCGTTCTACAAAGTGAGTTATAGGACAGCAAGGACTGTTACACCAAGAAAGCTTGTCTTTAAAAAAAAAAAAAAAGGATGGGTGATGGTGGTGGAACACACCTTTAATCCCAGCAGAGGCGGTTGGATCTCAGGGAGTTCCAAACCAGCCTGGTCTACAAAGTGAGTCCCAAGACAGTTAGACAGAGAAACCCTGCCTCGAAAAACAAACAATGAAAAAAAGAAAACAACAACAACAAAAAAGACACGATGTGTGACATGTAGGTTACTGGTACAGCTGGCCTGTGGTTGTCATCGCCACTCTGGGAAGACTATGCATGCAGAACACAGGGGTAAGCAGAGACCTTCAGAGGTCATCACCTAGTGGGGAGAGGCAGCTACACCATCACCAACCGGTGTGACAGCCATGGTCTGCCCTACCTCACATTGTCTGACACCTACAGTTTTCATATTGCTACATTTCTGAAATTGGGACTAGCTGCTCGCACAGGTGGCTGGTGTGTCGTGCATCATTGGCCAAGTACAAAAGAGACGTGCATCTTCCCGCAGGTAACACCTTAGAACTGACAGACAGGCCATGGACTCAGATATGTAAAGGAGACACATCAACATCCCTGTTGATGGGAACAGAAGCAACGAGAGGAGGGAGAGACAGAATTCACTGTGTTGACAGAGGTTGATTTCTTAGGAACAATCCCAAAGGCGTCAAAGCTGACATGGATAAACAAGTCTCTCTCTGGTGAGAGAGAAGAGAATTATTTTTAGAGTAATCTGGAATAAAGTTAGATTGGTAGTGAGCCTGAGATTCAGTTTTTCTTACCAAAGATAAAAGGGTTCTCCTAGCCCTACTATGATGAGTAATGTATCTGGAAAGACTGCGTAATGTTCATCTTGGGGTGGCTTTTCTCCAGATGTTGGAGAGCCTTTGTTGAGCATAATGCTATATTAAACTGAGAGAGAGAGAGAGAGGTTGAAAGAAATCCAAAGGGTGGGATTTCACCACCTTCCCTGTGGTCCATCCCCTCTTAAGTTTTCAGTCCCAGCAAGCCAACCTTTGGGGTTTCCCTGGAAAGACATTTTCCTGCCTCTGGGGTAGCCTGTTCTCCCTTGTCTCCATAAAACAAGGAAGGGGATGCTGTGTGCACTGCTTCCAGCCTGCGCTCCCCAGCTGCCTGAGGCCAAAGGTCTTTGCTGTTTGCACATGGCCACTATTACAACAACATGCTACTCTGGTGTATTGAAATGCATTTTGTGCTTTTGTTCCTTGTGCAGGAAAGACTCATGAGCCGCAGCATGAAAATCTACCAAAAGACTACGTTTTCATCTCGCATGAAAAGTCGCTCGCACCTTGGCCAGCTGGCTTTTTATGCTGAAGCAGGTGGCGGCTCCTATGACAGTCTGGGGCTAGATCCTACTCTTATCCTCAGACTGACAGAAGGTGAGTCCGTGTTACTCTAGCTTTAAATTTTTGTTTTTGATATTTGCTATTCATCATAGGTTTGGGAGATTTTCTGATGGTGAGAGAGACAGAATCTATGCTGTTTCAAGATGAAATGGCCAGAGACCACAGTGTAGACATTCTTATGGAGGGCGGGATCCAGACAGGGTTCCTCTGTGTAGCCCTGGATGTCCTGAAACTCACTCTATAGACCAGGCTGGCCTCGAACTCAAGAGATCCACCTACCTCTGCTGGGATTAAAGACATATGGCACCTCTGACCAGCCAACACAGACATTTTTAAAAAAGATGTATTTATTTATTGTGTGTACAGTGTTCTGTCTGCATGTATGTCTGCAGGCCAGAAGAGGGCGCCAGATCTCATTACAGATGGTTGTGAGCCACCATGTGGTTGCTAGGAATTGACTTGGAACCTTTGGAAGAGCAGGCAGTGCTCTCCAACCCCAACTCAGACATTCTTAAAGGCAAAAAGAAAGTCTTTATTGCTGGCCAGTAGCTGCATGGGGAACTTGCCCAAATCATGCAGCCCCAAGCCCCACAGTCCTTTGTCTTTTATGCACAAAAACTACATCCTGGTTTGTCACACTTCAGTTAGCAAGAAGCAGAGCTTACAAAGACCAAAAAGTACGGTTAGTACTTGTAGCGACTTCCTATTTGTGGACTTCTGTAGAACTATGGACTAGGTCTTTGTTCCCTTTTTGTCAGGGGTTGGGACCTGCATGCTGGGTTTTCAGGTCAGAATGGCGCCTCTAACACAGTGGCATTGATGCTACGTTCTTGGGCCTGTTACAGTATGACAGGTAAGATCTTTGCCACAGGCTTGAGGGTCAGAAGAAAGAAGCTTGGATACAAATACACTTTTCCCAAGATCATTGCTGCTTCTCTTGCTTTTGGGAAGGAAGGAAGCCATTGTCAAAACGGCAGTGTTGACCTTGGCAAAGATGGATACAATGAAGGCAGCAGCCCTAGCTGTCTGTACTATTGGAGGTGTGTTCCTAAGGATGGGGGAGCTTTGTAGATCAAAAGATATGACTCAGACATTCAGTATCAGGAAGCTGTTATGGTGAAAGAAACTTGTCTGCAAAACATACCTGGTTTAAGGACCAGGTTGTCAGAAATGTCCTAAGCATTTCCTACACATCATAGGTCAAGAAGTGCCTGCAAACGAAAGCACTTTGCAGCTAATAAGGCCAGAGTGTCTACTGAGGAAGGGGGCATTGAGTCTGTCGACTCCTGCAGAGAAAGCAAGCCGTGAAGCAGGAGAGACAGCTCAGCAGTCAAAAGTGCTTGTGATTATTGTGGAGAACTGGGGTTCGGTTCCCAGCATCTACATAGTGTCTCACCACCAGCTGTAGCTCCAGTTGGAATGGATGGAATCCCCTCTTCTGACCCCGTCTGGCACCAGGCAAGCATGTAGTGTATTCATGAACTCAGGCAAAATATCCATACACATACAAACAAATAACAACCCTTAAGAAAAAGAAGGGCTGTCTAGATAGCTCAGCATGCAAGAGCATTTGCTGCCCTTCCAGAGGAACCAGGGTCGGTTCTTAGCACCTGCATGGGCTCACAATTGTCTGTAACTCCAGTTCCAGGGGATCAGGCCTGGAAAGTATGTGATCCCACACCTCCTGCAGGGGGAAAACACTTTACACGTGAAATAAAAACAGATGAACCTTTTAAAAACACTTAGGTTTGTTTATTATTGTATGGGTGTTTCCTGCATGTTTGTAAGAAGGTGTCAGAGCCCCTGGGGTTAACAGTCGATTGTGAGGGTGTTGGGAATTGAACCTAGATCCCCTGCAAAAGCAGCAAATGCTCTTCATTCCAGAGCCAACTTTCCAGGCCCCAAATACATCTTTAAAGAAGAAGAGCAAGCCACATTAATTACTTAGACCATCTTGGAGATGCAGATGTAGCTGAACAACAGGAGCTGGCAGGCAATAGTGAGGGCGTGGCTACACCACCAGATCTTGGAGATACCTGGGTTCCATCTCGTGCCTCCATGTTGAGTCTTGGGCCATCGAGAACATTTAAAATGATAGGTGACGTGCCAACATGTCACAGAACGTGCAAACGAGCTGACTGCAACAATCCTTGTATCTTAGTTATGATTTGTACTGCTGTGAAGAGATGCCATGACCATAGCAACTCTTATAAAGAAAGCGTTTAATTGTGGTGGCTCAACTGCCATTTTAGAGGTTCAGTCCATTATCATCATGATGGGGAGCATGGGAATAAAACACAAAATGCTAGGATGTAGGCACAGGAAAGTGCACACACATGCACACACACACACACATACACACACCATACACATGCATGTGTGAACATGTACACATGCACTGGTGTGCTCAAGCATGTGTATACATACACACACACACAGGGTGGATATGAGATGGCATTATGGAATTGTCAGTTTGTTTGGAGTGAGGATAGGAGGAGCATTATTTTTTTAAATATGTATAGATATAGATATACATATATGTGTGTGTATGTATACATATATATATATTCTTATTTTACATATCAATCCCAGTTCCCTCTCCCTCCCTCCCTCTCATGCCCCCCTCCACTTCACAGGGAGGGTGATGCCTTCCAGGAGGGATCATCAAAATCTGTCAAGTCATTTGGAGTAGGGACTAGGCCCCTCCCTCCTGTCTCTAGGCTGAGGGAGAATCCCTCCATGGGGAACGTGCTCCAAAGTCCTTTCCTGCATCAGTGATACATCCTGGTTCCACTGTCAGAGACTGCCCAGGCCTTCTAACTGAGACCCACATTCAGGGGGTCTGAGTTGGTCCAATGCTGGATTCCCAGCTATCAGTCTGGAGTCCATGAGCTCCCCCTTGTTGCGGTCAGCTGTCTCTGTGAGTTTCTGTAGCCTGGTCTTGACCCCATTTTCTTATCACTCCTCCCTCTCTACAACTGGATTCCAGGAGCTCGGCTCAGTGTTTAGCTGTGGGTGTCTGCTTCTGCTTCCATCAGCTACTAGATGAGGGCTCTATGATGGTAGATAAGTTAGTCATCAATCTCATTATCAGGGAAGGGCATTTAAGGTAGCCTTTCCACTTTGCTCAGATTGTTAGCTGGGGTCATCCTTGTAGGTGTCTGGACATTTCTCTAGAGTCAGTTTTCTCTGCAAACCTATACTGGCTCCCTCTATTATGGCATCTCTTTTTTCTCTCTCATCTATTCGTTCCCTGACTCATCTTCCTGGACCCACGTGATCTCCTCTCCTCCCCTTCTCTTTCTCCTAACTCGCTCTCCACTCACTGCTCCCCCATCCCAATAGAGGAGCATTATTTTTTAAACTTTCTGGTAAAGTTACATACTAAAGCTCTTAAGGATGAAATAGTTCCAAGATTTTTTTCCCCAAAAAATATTCTAGTTGGGGGAAAGGGAGGGATAGCAACAGACAAGACAGATGAAATGTCAATGATGTTGAGTCAACTGAACTTTGGGTTGCACTGTTACGAATGTCAGTGATTTCAAGATGGTATAATTTTTAAGGTATTAAAACTATCTCTAAGTGATAGTTTTTGGGTATGTTATATTTGACCTGCAACAAAATGCTGCTAGATGTTTCTGCCTCCTCTATGCAAATAGAAATGTCTCAATGAGGTTGAGTCACCTCAAATCTCTAAGCAAATGCAGAACTCAAGTCAAAGCCTGCCCAACTCCATTGGTTACTTCCCAATGAACATTTGCTAATGACTATAATAGTTATTGCTGCTTTTATGATTGACCATAAAATGAAATGACTCATTCCAGGAGTATTATTTGAATAATAGCAGCTAATAGTTATTAAGAAACTTCTGTGTGTTTTTATATTTTCTGGTCTCATTTCCTTTTCCCAACACCATTGTACAATAGAGGGATATTCCTACTTGGGCTACCTTATGCTTTCACAGTAAGTCATATTGAAATTTCAGTGGCTTCCAATCCCAGAGCTTTAATTCTCTGTTGTTTTCCCTGAGTCTCTGCTGAAGGGACACTCCCTGTCTAGGACACTGCAGGGGCTGCAGCTAAGGGCTCTTGAAGCTTCTACTCAGAAGCCACATAACTCCATGCCTGTTTCATAAGCAGATCACGGTGATGGCCATGAGCTGAGAGTAGGAGGGAACAGGGTCAGAGAGTGAATGGGCTTACTCATCTCCCAGCTAGTTAGAAGTGGAAACATCTTTAGGGGAGACATAGCCTTCCCTTCCAGGGCAGCTCAGGCCCACTGCTGATTTAGGAACTATTTTCTATTTACTTTACTTTTGAGAGAGACTTTATTCTATACCACATTACACGCCGGTAATGTGGAAATGTAGCATTTTTGCAATTTTGGCTTGTGGTCTCTAAAAGACATGTGGCCTGAGGACGTTAAGATCCACGTCAGTCTACAAACACAAACGGAAATTTAAAGGCTCGGGGACCACTGCAGAAAAAAATGGGGCAAAGAGATGCTAAGAGCCTGAGGTCAGAGAGGACCAAAACTAGTATCTTCTAGATATGTGAGGGTCATCACACCTACGAACACTCAGCAGCTGTGGTTGCTTCCACAAGACCTGTACAAGATCAAAGCCACAAACATTCTAGCATGGAGGAGGGAGGACCTCCTAACTGAGAAGCTATCCACGACTGGTAACTTCTTAGGGAGGGTGGCACCAACTACGAAGACACCAGTTGTCAACTCGTTTATTAAGGAAGTTAGCCCCGCCTTTATACCGCTTCCCAAGGTCCCATTGGCTCAGGGGGCTGACTCTGCCGGGTTTCCCTTTCCTCATTGGTCTCTGCATCAGCAATCTCTGGGCATTGAGGCAGGCATGGCTCAGAGAGGAAGTGCCCGCGCATGCTCATGTGAGCTGGTTTGGGCAGGACAACTGCGGCTTGGGTAGGCTGGCCAGCAGTTTCTCCTACAGGTGGGTTCCCTGTAAACCCCTGCTACATCAGCTGTGTTCCCGTGGAGGGTCCAGCATGGACTGGACTCGATGAGTTTTTTTTTTTTTTTTTTTTAAGTTTTTAAAGAAGATACAAAGTTAGGATGGGTGGAGAGGCAGGGGTGGTTCTGGGAGAATGGAGGGGGGAGGTATGAAGGTGAACATGATCAAAATACAATAGTTGTATATGGAATTCTCAAGGAATTCATAAAAATCCCATATTTTAAAAAAGCTTTAGAGCAGTGACTCACGGGGGCCTGCCCATCTCTGTCACTTGTAGCTGTGGGATCTTGGGCAAGAATTTTGGCATCCCTAAGTTTTTAGCACACAAAGAGAATTCGATAGTAAATTATTCATGATAAAATAACATATTTAAAATCCTTATAAGCTTCCTGATGTATTAGAAGACACAAATTAAGTGGTAGCTACTGTCGGGGCAGCTTGAGTGCCAGGGAAATGTCATTGGAAGGCAAAGCTCTTGTGCTTAGCCTGCGTATGCAGCGTGTATGGTAACTTGACCAGCTCTGGTCCTGCGCAGTATCTTTGGAAGCTAGCAAACTAAACCTACATCTGTTTCAATGTTCTCTCCAGGTGCAGACAGAAAAAGGACTGTGCACGAGTTTATTAATGACCAGAGAGACAGATTTCTACTTGAGGTATTAAACGTGACTTCTTTCTTCCATTAGCCAGGAATTCTTCCTACATAGTATTGTCAGATACTGAGCCTGGAGTCATGTTTTTCCATGACATGCTGGGCAGAGTGGCTTGTTCCTGTCTTTATTCACTTGAACAACATTTGTTGAGTATTTACTATGTGCCCAGCCATTTCAAAAGTTCCTCCCTTTGGAGAACTTACATTCAGGTAATCTATACCCGTAAATCCAGGAAGCAGTTTGTATTTTAGAGGACATTGGGCCCCAAGATCTCTCTTTCCCCTCAGTCTGAGAATAGCCTCAATAGCCCTTGAGAAGCCTAATTTGATTTAGATTTTCCTGACATTCTGGCTAACTATGGTGCAAAGCAGAACATTCTGGAGTCTTCCAGCTCTCTCGATATACCCACTCATGCCAGAGAGAAAGGGCTTGTTACAGAAAAAGGAAATATGAAAATCAGCCAGAAGAGCCTCCTGAGGCAGGTTGGAAAGCACTGCTGGGTCTGCCTGTGGTACCAGCTGCACCTGTACCAAGCATGCAGCGTAGACAACCAGGGAAGACCTTGCAGTATCATATAAACTACAGTCGGTAACCTTGAACTAGAGCCCAGGCCATATGGCACATATTACTTATTATGCTTGTATACACATTAATTTACCATGGATAGCACAGAGACACTGTACACATTAACAGTGAAGGATAATTACAAAAGGAATCAACTGGCTGTTGTTTACACCTCTGTCGTCAAGCCCTAACCATTTAAAGATAGTCTGTTTCTTAAGGTCTTGAATGTGAGTGAGTAAAGGAAAATGTATCTGATCTGTCGTAATTCCATAGCACATGCTTGGAACTATAGGCCAGAGCTAATGCTTTTCTATGAGGTCAGCTGCCATCAACAGATGTCACAGAAACCACATCACATAACTTTGAAGAGAACCCTGTGCCTTTGTTTGCTAGTATTAGTTCCTGGGTGACTTTTGGCCTTCGTCAAGAAACCTGGGTGATGTAACTAATGTCTTGGTACCTCAAGATGGTGCTTGGCAGATTCTCTGGAGTTCGGTGGGTTTGAAGTAAATGTGCTTTGTCCACTGCTCTGGTGTTTTGTCCAATCCCTCAAGCAGGTTGATAACATGCCCCAAGAGATAATTAAGTCAGCTTATCACTAAAAATTGTAGCTAGAAAAAAGTTGACCTTGCCAAAAACAATGTCTGGCTCCGGCCTTGTCTTCTAGAAGGATGTCTTTAAGGTGAGGCTCACCACACCCGCCAACCTTAGGATGGCCATGTCAGAAAAGCCAACAATGTGGAGGTTTAGGGTCACACCGAGAGGGTCTGGGGACTGAAGACAGGTCAGCCAATCAATCATGCCTATGGAATGAAGCTGGGAACTCCAGCTGGTGAGCCCAGTTGATTCCCTGGTTGGCTATAGCCACATTTATTGTTGGCAGATGCAGGAATGGAACCACAGGCCGGATCCATGGGGAAAGAGTCCCAGAAACTTTGCATCTGGAATGCCTCTAAATCAGTGGTTTTCAACATGTAGGGCGTGACATATCAGATATTTACATTATGGTTCATAACAGCAGCAAAATTACAGTTATGAAGTAGCAACAAAATATCGTTATGGCTGGGGGTCACCACAGCAGGAGGAACTGTATTAAATGGTCGCAGCATCAGGGAGGCTGAGAACCTGCTCTAAACTCTGCCTCAGGGGGCTCTTCTTTTGGCTCGTTTTAATGTTTCTTTCCCTTGTAAGAAACTACCCAGGAGTTTTGTGAGATCTCCCAGAAACATGAAGGTATTTAAGGCGCTCCTCAAGTTTGCTATTGGTGTCAGTATTGAGGGCAGACTTAGGGATGAGTAACTTAATTTTAAAAAACTGAGTTGGGCCTGGCAGTGACGGTGCACCCCATTAATCCCGGCACCCACTCAGGAAGCAGAGGCAGGTGGATCTCTGTGAGTTCGAGGCCAGCCTGGTCTACAGAGAGAGTTCCAGGACAGGCTCCAAAGCGACACAGAGAAACCCTGTCTGGAAAACCCTGAATTGGTCTCATACCATCTTGCCTCGTTTCTGTCAGCCCTTTTTCTCTGCCTCCCTCCCCCCCCCCTTCCTTTTCAAAAAGCTTATTGTGGCAGACTTGGGGTGTGAAAAGTCTCATTTAAAATGTAAATGTTAGTGTATTACAAGTTGAATGCTATGAGCAATTTTATGCCAATAATTGGACGTGGATGGAACAGGTTTCTGGAAAGTTACAAACTGACAAAGCTTATCCAAGAAGAAAGCAGATACGTAGCTTCACATCACTCTAAAAATTGAACTAGTAGGCAAAAGAAAGAAAAGTCCATATTCGCTGGTTTAAGAGAAAACCATTCTAGTTTGACATGCCCTGTTAAATACCGATAAGAAGAAGGAACATTTCCCACACTCACTATGACAAGAACACTGCCCTGGTGTCTAAGCCGTAGACGAAAGGGAGCAGGGCCCACAGGATGTCTTAGTGGGTAGAGGCACAAAGGCTCCAAGCCGGATGACCAGAGTTCAGTATCTGAGATCCGCATGGTGGAGCCAGAGGACTGACTCCTACAAGCTGTCCTCTGACCTCCACGTGTCCCTGCCCATGCACCTATATGAACGAACTAACTAAATATAAGAACTGCCTAAAGAAGAAGAAAGCTAGAGGCAAGCATCACAAACAATTTTTAACAAGTCTAATAACACGCAAAAGGGTAATCCACTATGGCTAATTGGGGCTTATCCTAAGCATATGAAAGCAGCTTAACGTTTGAGAATGGATGACAATGCACAGCAACAGATTAGAAATGGAAACTGTATAATCATCTCAAGCAATGTAGAAAGAGCGTTTGTCTATATCTAAAATTTATTCTTTTAAATAATATTACTACCCTTTGAGAATTTCATTCAATGTATTTTGATGATTTCACACACACCTCAACTCATTCCAGATCAACCTTCACCTCCTTACCTGCTCACTTTTGTGTGTTCAGTTTTTTTTTTTTAAGTTTTTTTTTTTTCTTACAGTCTTCTTTAAGCCTGGTTTGTGTTACCCAACCACTCTTGGATGTGGGGCCTGCCCTGTATGTGGTGGGCTTACCAAGAGTCACACCGTTAAAGAAAAATAACTCTCTTCCGAAGCAGCAGCTAAGGGAGAGATTTCATGCCCACCTCCAGTCCTCATGCTGTGGTTTTGTTTTGAGTTTGCAAAGGTCTTATGCTTGCTCTTGCAATTGCTGGGGGTCCATATGTGCAATTTTCCTGTTGTGTCTGGAAAATACTCTCTGTGTTCTTGACATCATCCACACCACTGGCTCTCACTATGTTTCCGCTCTTCCATAATGACCCATGAGCCTGGGGGGGGGTGTTGGGGGGATGGGGTGGTAATTGATGTCACACAGATGTTCTATTTGGGGCTGAGCATTCCACAGTCTCTTATGTTTGGCTTGTTAACCACTTGTGGGTCTCTGTGTTTGTCCCAATCTGCTACAAGAAGAGTCTCTGGTGACAGTTGAGAGATGCCCCGATCTCTGGGCAGAGCAACATGCCATAGGACTTGTGCTGGCTACCTCTGTGTGAACTTGACTAGTGCCAGTCTCAGTTGAGAAGATGCCTCCATAAGATCCTGCTGTAGACAAGCCTGTAGAGCATTTTCTTAATCAGTGATTGATGTGGGAGGACCCACACGGTTTTTGGTGGGACCTGGGTTTTATAAGGAAGCAAGCCAGTGAGCAGTACCCTCCATGGCCTCTGCATCAGCTCCTGCCTCCAGGTTCCTGCCCAGCTTCAGGTCCTGCCTTCACTGCTTTTATTGATGAATTGTAACTGAAATAAACCTTTGTCTCCACAAGATGCTTTTTGGTCATGGTATCTCAACACCACAACAGTAGTAACCTAACTGTCTTAGTTAGGTTTTTATTGCTGTGAAGAGACAACATGACCATGGCAAGTCTTATAAAGGAAACATTTAATTGAGGGTAGCTTGCTTACAGTTTCAGAGGTTTGGTACATTATAATCATGGTGGGGAGCATGGTGCCCGAGCTGAGAGTCCTACATCTTGACTCAGAGGCAACAGGAAGTCGACTGACTGTCACACTGAAAGAAACTTGAGAAAAAGAGACCTCAAACCATACCGACACAGTGACACACTTCCTCCAAGAAGGCCACACCCACTCCAACAAGGCCACACCTCTTTATAGTGCCACTCCCTATGAGATTATGAGGGCCAGTTACTAAACTACATGGAGACAGGGGTTGTTTCAATCTATATCTACTTAGCAGAATAATAGTAGGTTCTCCCCTAGGACCTATCTAGCCACAAGTTCTTGACCCCAGTAACTGGGCGAGGCGAGGGTTCTACCTAGTGGAACAGACCTTAGGTCCAGTCAGAAAGCACTTGGTTACTGTTGTACTATATGTGCACGCATGGAGTCCATAGCCGGCTGAGAGTGCTGGTTACTTTTCTCCACTACCAGCCTGCTTAACACTCTCCAGCACCATGAAAGTTATTGAGAAAGGGTGAAGCGTCACACTCCAGCACCATGAAAGTTACTGAGAAAGGGTGAAGCGTCACACTCCAGCACCATGAAAGTTACTGAGAAAGGGTGAAGCGTCACTCTCCAGCACCATGAAAGTTACTGAGAAAGGGTGAAGCGTCTAGGTCGGTACCAGTTGGTTTCTCCGTGGTGGTGTCTTCAGTGATACGTTCTGCCTCAGTTCCTTTTCCATTGGTGTGGTAAAACACCATGATCAAGAGAAAGGAAAGGATTCATCCCATCTTCCTCATCCAGTACATCACTGATACGGAGGGGAATTAGCTTGGGAACTCAAGCAAGGCGGAAACCTGGAGGCAGAAGCCATGGGCTTCCCCCCCCCCCCGCCCCATAGTTTGCTCAGCATGTTTTCTTACCCAGGGGGTAGCATCACCCACAGTCAGGTGGGCGCACCCACATCAATTATTAATCAAGAAAATGCTTCAGGTGGTGGCACATGACTTTAGTCCTAGTACTCAGGAGGCAGAGGGAGGTGACTTTCTGTGAGTTGGAGTCCAGTCTGGTCTACAGAAAAAGTTCCAGCATAGCAAGGCAACAGGCAACACAGAAAAATCCTATCTCAAAAACAAAACAAAACAAAAAAGGAAAAAGGAGAAAGAAATTGCCTCACAGGCTTGCCCGCAAGTCCATCTTAGGGAAGCATTTTTTCAGCTGTGATTCCTTCCTCTCCGATAACCCTAGCTTGTTCCAAGTTGACAGATAACTAACCACCACAGGGTCTTAGTTCTGGAGGGTTACCAAGGGAAATGGCAATAGCTCATGATGTCTGGGGGGTCCATGGGACCCCACTAATCAACAACTCAAAAAGAGTGGCCCATTTCTGGCACTGGGCTTTTGCTTTCTCACACGGGGTGTCTAGCTGGGGCATTAACACTAAAGGCCTTTGGAGGAATCTTCCTACAGAGTATGCACGCACACAAAGGGGTACAAATCCCTGTGGTGCCATATCTCATATGTTGTACTTAAAAAAAGTTGTCAAAACGTACACTTGAGAATCTAAACCAGTCCCTCTGGGTTTCGTTAAATAACCCACGGCCTCTGGTCAACTTGGAGAAATCCACCATTGTGTCCTGAGCTGAAACTTATTTCTCTTATTAGAGAAGATGGGAGGCCTGGTAGCTACAGACAGCCTGCTTTTTTGTGTGTCCAAAAAACTGAAGTGCATCATGGGTAACACGTGGACCTACTCTTTGAAGAGCACCGGTGGAAACAGCCATTTTAGAAGAACACAGAGTCTCTTCATGAAAGCTATTGAGAAGGCTCCACTTGCCCCTGACTGGCCCCCAAAGCAGTCTCCCCTCATGAGATAAAGCTCCAGCTGTGTGCATGTTACTGTTACTTGTAATGAAAGCCACTATCTTGTTGCAGGGCCCACTAGCCTTTATGGAGATTGTGTTGAAACGTTACCAGTAACATGTGAATGTTCCTGACCCACTCTTGTTTTCCTTATTCCCAGTATGCAGTGTTAACCAAGAAAAACACAATTCAGAAGTTTGAAAAACTCATATCCGTGAAAGAAAATCAACTCAAGAAAGCCGAGAAAAAGCTCCAAGCTGACGCGATGTCCTTTGAAGAGTTCCTTCGGGAAAATGACCAGAGATCTGTAGATGCTCTTAAAATGTTAGTGTCTCCATCCCAGCCACACCCTCCCACCCCCGCCCCTGTCCCCAAGGCTCTGCTTGCTTGTTTCAGTTTCTTAGAAAAATTACTAATAGATGGGTATTTCTTTTCAGGGCAGCACAAGAAACAATAAACAAAATCCAAATGACAACAGAGCTCAAGAAAGCGAGCATGGAAGTGCAGGCAATAAAGAGGTGAGGGTTGCTGTCCTTGCTCAGCCAATTCCCACATCCCATCACCACCTCCTAGGCCCAGCAAAGGCCAAGCAGGGGCTAGACTTAACCAGCTGGCAACTTGGTACGGACAGATTCAAAGTGAGGGACCTGTCTATCAGAGATTGCGGCTGTCTTGATGTCGGAACAGAAGCCTCTCTCTCTGAATGGCTCTCTGACTTAGAGATACAGAAACAGGAGTTCATTGAAAAGAGGCAAAAATGGTATCAGGAGTAAATACATTTTATTTTCTATGCACCTCCTTTTTGCTCACTGTGAGAAACCCTTCACCCACGTTTGAGCCTCTCACCTGGGACGCGTTTGACAATCACCCTCCGTTCGTCATTGGCAGTCTTTGTACTCAAACTCCTTAGTAGAATCTCAGGCCACTGTTAAATTTAAGATCTATACTGAGACAATTCACAGGGCCAGGGATTGGGGGGGTATTATTACATTGTCAGTCACCCCTTCTCAAACTTTCTGTGTTCAAGGAAACCTAGTTGAATGATTTTCACTATCTAAAAGAATCTTGTGGCTACTGTGGGACAAAATATGTGTCAACAGATATGGCTCAACAAAATATGGCTCAAACAGAGTCTGGCTGTTACAGCCTCTTCTATTTAAAAATCTAAGGTTGAAGGTACTTCAAAATAGATTGTGCCTTGCTATATTGACCAGGCTGGGCTTGAACTCATTCTGTAGTTCCAGCAAACCTTAAACATCTTGCTTGAGCTTCCCAACTAGCTGGGATTAGAGGGGTGCACTACCAGGGCCATTTGAATGATCCTATCCATTTAATCATATATACATGATACTTGTCTATTATCCTACCCATCTGGTCCCATGTGGAAGCAGAGTAGGGGCCATGCTGCTGGTATTAACTACTATGTTCTGCGTAGTACCCACCTTTACATCCCTAAACAACCTTGCCATATACCTTGCTCACTACTTATGTGTCTCAACATTCTAGAAGGGTGATCGAGATAATGGAACAGATGTGTGTGTAGATCCATCCAGTAAATAGGAGCTCCTTCCTTTTGTGGTAAGATGGCTTGAGAATGGAAAGTATTTGACAAGAAGAAATGACTTTCTCTGGAAACCTTTCCATTACAGGCATGCAGTCCTAGCCAACTTTTGTCCCATGATGTTTGGGGCACTCTGGGAGGTGGAATCAGGGGCTTCCACCAGCTCCCAACTACTGAACATGAGGAATTGTGTGCTGACCCTTAAAGACCACATATTCTGGGTTGAAGGAAGGATGGATATAGGATGGAGGATAGAGTTTGAGATGATGCAGCAGTAAGATGGTACTAATGGGGTTCTAAATGAGGAAGACTGGCTTGGGCCTTGCTGCCCCACGTTCAGCTCTGCGTATGGGGCTGTTTGGATCATGACTGAGATAAACCAGTAGGAAACTGAAGAAAGCATACAGCTCAAGTCTCTAGGTATTGTTGGTGAGAACATAAGCATTCGACAGACATCAGCCACTACCAGAGGGAAGCAAGTAACCCGTTTCTTTGCCCCTAAGAGGGAAATAAGAACATCTGTTGCTTAAAAGATTTTTTAAAATTTATTTTATTTGCATTGGTGTTTGCCATGGGTGTTAGAGCCCCTGAAACTGGAAATACAGACAGTTGTGAGCTGCCATGTGGATGTTGGGAATTGAACCCTGGTCCTCTGGAAGAGCAGTCGGTGCTCTTAACCGCTGCAGCATCTCTCCAGCCCTTAACAATTTCTTTTTAATTATGTGTTGTGGTAGTTTGTACGTATTTGGCCCCCATAGTCACATAGGGCGTGGCACTATTTGGAGGTGTGGCTTTGTTGGAGTGGGTGTGGCCTTGTTAGAGGAGGTGTGTCACTGAGGGGGTGGGCTTTGAGGTTTCTCACGTTTAGGATACCATGCAGTGTTAGTTGATTTCCTGTTGCCTGCAAGATGTAGCAGCTTCTTCTCCAGTACCATGTCTGCCTGTACACCGCCATGCTCCTTACTGTGATGATAATGGACAGAACCCCTGAAGCGTAAGTGAGCTCCCTTAATTGTTTTCTTTATAAGAGTTGCCATGGTCGTGGTGTCTCTTCACAGCAATAAAAGCTCAAACTAAGACACATGTTTGTGCAAGTACCTGCTGGGCTGGAGACATTGGGTCTCTCTGCTGGTTGTGAGCCACCTAACATGGCCTCTAGGAACTAAACTAGTGCACAAGAGCGGTGTGCATCCTTAATCTCTGCTCGGTGTCTCTCGTTCCTAGGATACTGGGCTGGCTAGTTTCTAAGTCAGCCTGACACAAACTAACATCATCTGAGAGAAAGGAGCCTCAGCTGAGGAAATGCCTCCGTATGATCCAGCTGTAAGGCGTTTTCTCAGTGATCAAAGAGGGCAGGCCCAGCCCATGGTGGGTGGTGCCATCCCTGGGCTGCTGGTCCTGGGTTCTATAGGAAGGCGGGCTGAGCAAGGCAGAGGGAACGAGCCAGTAAGCGGCTCCCTCCACAGTCTTTGCATCAGTTCCTGCCTCCGGGTCCCAGCCCTCAGACAAATTGGCATCAGTGTAGTAGGTGTTGCTGTGACAGATCTGACAATGTGTTTTGGGCGGATTGTGGAAGGACTGTGGACTAGGAAAGCCACTGAGTGTTGAGACCTCAGTGTAGGAACCTGGAATATAAGAATGTTGAGAGCAGCCAGTCGTGGCGCACACCTTTAATCCCCGCACTCGGGAGGCAGAGGCGGGCAGATCTCTGTGAGTTCCAGGCCACCCTGGTCTACAGCGCGAGTTCCAGGACAGGCTCCAAAGCCACAGAGAAACCCTGTCTTGGAAAAAAAAGAAAAAGAAAAAATGTTGAGAGCAGTGCAGGAAGTAGAGGCCTGGCTTGTGAAATTTCAGGAGGGGGTGGGGCTTAAAGACTATCAAGGCTACTCGTTATTCTGAATTAAGATCCAGTGGTTTTTGCTAGCTGGGGCTGAAGAATCAGCTGTGATTAACAAGATAGCAGAACCACTAAAGTGAAACCTTAACGTTACTGGGACAATTGATGCTGGTCAGCTGGAGCTAAGAAATTAGCATCGATTAAGAAGGGATCTTCGTGGTTGAAGTGAAATCTGGGAAGTGTTTCCTGAGAGCACAGGGCAGCTGTGTTCCCTAGATGGTCGCGGTTATACCTCGTGTTGGCAGCCTTAGTAAGAGTCGCCCAGGTGGTCCTGGTTTTGAAGTCATGAAGGGCTCATGGAGAGCAGCTGAGGCCAGCATTGAGAGGCCAGGAGAGGCCATTGAAGGTGCAGCCTCAGTGGCAGTTGAAGGCACAGTACCAGAAGGCTCGTGCAAACAAGTTGAGGCTTGGCACCAAGAAGAGGCCCTATGAGATATTGGTGGTGAATGTGGAGCCGTTTGCAGCAAAGGGCGGTGGCATTTTGGAGATGGCAGTACCATGGGAATACCAGTGAGAACATTAGCAGCCGTGGAGTGGAGCCAGCCAAGCCTAGAAGACAAGCTCTGTGTGCTTCAGCGGGTAGGGCTGGAGAAGGACCTGTCCGTCCGGTTTCCTTCTCGGGATTGCTCGGGATGGTTAAGTGTGGAGGACTCAGACCTCCCCACTCCAGGTTAGCAGGAAGAAACACATGCTAATCCAGGAGGCTGTGGAAGCAGGATCTGGGTTTACTGCATCAGCAGGGTTGAGGTGGGGGAGGGCTAGAAATCTTAGGATGGGGTAAGGTGATATAAGGAGAAAGGGCCAATAATATTCCACCAAGCTAGCGGTTAGCGAGGCAGGGGCAGTCTCCCATCAGGCCTTGCTGAGTCACTCCCACGTGGAGGTTACAGGCCAAAGACAGGCCGCCAAACTCTAGGTAGGCTCAGCTCGAGCCCAGGCCTCTTTAGGCCCAACGAAGGCAGAGCCAGAGAAGCGACCTGAGCCCTTTGGAGGGGTCTAGAAGACAGTGAGTGAATGGTTTTGCCTGGTTCAGGTTGTGACAGTTTCTCATTTTAATTTGTAAAGGAGCCCGCCGATTAAAGACTGGCGCTTTTAAATAAAATTAGATGTTGAAAGAGGGCACTGTCAGGAGCAGACATCTCTCTCTGTCATGAAAGGTCTTATGCTTTTGGAATATCTTAAATCCCGGACTCAAAGCTTGCTACAGGATATTGTAAAGAGACTGAAATTTTAATGTGTTTGAGTGGGACTTTGGAAGTTATTTGTGATTTTTTTTTTTTAAAGGAAGTTCACCATTTTTAGTGTTGTACAGAAAAGTATGAGTAGGACAGTTAGTGAACACTGTCACATGTTTACACCACTATCTAGTTCCTATTAATTTTACTCTTCAAACAGGTGGCAGCTTAGGGAACAAGGGACAAACCCAAAAATCTCTACAGCCCTTCTCTGCGTGTAAGCTGTGCTCAGAGATGGCTTCATTGCTTCTGTGTTGAGTTGTGTAAAACTGAACCTGCCCAACAACTGAGGAAGACTAGAAGTGATGGGTCCATTCCTGTCGCATTGTCATACGCTTCAAACAATGTATGACAAACAGCTGCCAGCTTGTAATTTTCCGGGACCGCAAACAAGGCTTCCTCTTGAAACTGAACCAGAAATAACTTCTTAGGCTCCTTGGGCTTTGTAGTATGTTCAGGAATATACAGATACTGAGGAGGCTCAAATTTTGGTCTCCACCAGTTAACCAGTGCAGCCACCAATGACCCAGTCTTGAAGGAATCCATCTTGATGACCCAGCATCTCTGTCATTAAGCGTTTTAGTCCTTCATCTTCTCCTGGGTTAAGTTCACCGCCAGTTAATGTGAAGAAAGGTGTTCCCGGCTGTACCCGTGCTTGTGTACAATCAACCCCTTGTATCGTCCTCCCGGTCCCAGTTTTATCAAATCCCTCCCACGTGCGCTGAAATCTGGCTGCAACAGAGCTAACCTTTTCTTAGAGGGGCTCTTTTGCACCAAAGGTGTAATCGTTAAGTGGGCATAGGTTAATGGTTTGCTCCAGGGTGAGGGGCGTGGTCTGCCGTATGTACTTGTTGCTGAACTGGTTGAAGTCCCGGGGCCAGCCCATCTTGGAACGATTCAGCATCAGCACCACAAACATGCTGAACAGCTCTGATGCTGGCAGCAAGCAGAAAGCTGGGCCAGCGTAGGGGTCCAAAGGGCGGGCAGCGGTTACCTGCATCCCGCTCGGCAGCCGCCGCCCATCACTGAGAGCGAGAAGCAGAAGTTTCATTTGCGATTTTAATGTGAGATCTTGGGGATGTATAAGAAAGGAACGATTGTGGCTTAATAGTAATGTGTTTGTGTGTCAAGTTGACAAGGGGTCCCTTGTCCTGGCTAGTTTTGTGTGTTCAGTTGACCCAAGCTAGAGTCATCAGAGGAAAGAGCCACAGTTGAGGAAATGCCTCCAATGAGGTTCAGCTGTAAGGCATTTTCTCAATTTGTGATCAAAGCGGGAGGCAGAGCACATGGTGGATGGGGCCACCCCTGGGCTGCTGGTCCTGGGTTCTGTAAGAAAGCAGGCTCAGCAAGCCATGAAGAACAAACAAGCTGGTGAGCTGCATCCCTCCATGGCCTCCGCATCAGCTCCTGCCTCCGGGTTCCGCCATGTTTGAGTTCCTGTCCTAACTTCCTTCAGTGGTGGACTAGGATCTGGAAGTTTAAGCCAAATAAACCCTTTCCTCCCCAACCTGCTCTTTGGTCATGGTTTTTCACTGATGCAGTAGAAACCCCGAGACAGAGACCTGTTTTTAAATGCTGTACTGGGTGTGCAAGTATGCGTGCCGGGCATTCTGCACACTGATGACACAATCAGGTGCCAAGCCTTTGAGGAATGGCTCTCTTGCTTCCTCTCATTCACCCACGGTCTTTTTCCCCTTCCAATTCCCCCACGTGGCTGAAGCTTAATAGCCATTCTGTGTGTCCGTGCGACTGGGCCTGTTTTAATCAAAGGACTGCCTCTGGGTTTCTTGCTGCTCATATCTTTCAGAAGTGCTGTGTTTAAAAGTTGTATTAAATGTGCTGTTGTGCCAAAAAATAATGGGGGGGGGAGTGTTTTCACAGCCGTGTAACCACGCCCTCATTTCTTTTGAAGTGAAATAGCCAAAACGGAATTCCTCCTCAAGGAGTACATGAAATACGGATTTTTCCTGCTGAAGTTGTCCCCAAAACAGTGGCAAGTGCAACAATCACAAAAACGAGCTCAGGCATCAAAGAGTAACGCCATTCTCCCAAGAATCTTAGAAAGTAAGTCACGGGTCTTAAGCTAAGCTAAACCCCGGATTCTAGAGTGTTCTGCTCAAAGTTTATTTCACAGTCAGAACTTAAAAGTTAAAACTTGGACAAGGACTCCTCTTATTTTTTTTTTTTTAAGATTTGTTTATAATTTTTATGTGGTGTTTTGCCTGCATGTATGTCTGTGTGATGGTGTCAGATCCCTGGAACTGGAGTCACAGACAGTTGTGAGCTGCCATGTGGGTGCTGGGAATTGAACCCTGGTCCTTGGAAAGAGCTGTCAGTGCTCTTAACTGCTCAGCAATCTCTCCAGCCCCCCACCCCCTTATTTTTGTTGTCATATATGTATTATGTGCAGAGTGTTCTGTCTGCATGTATGCCTGCAAGCCTGAAGAGGGCACCAGATCTCATTACAGATGGTTGTGAGCCACCATGTGCTCTTAACCTCTGAGCCATCTCTTCTGCCCTATTATTATATGTTATTAATTTGGAAACTCAAATTAGCTTCAGCTATAGAGCAACAAAAATACATGAACACATAGAAAATACATTATTTATAGATGATATAGTGGTATCTAAAATATTTGGTACTATTAAAGGCCTCTATAGTAGTCTCAATAGACACAAAGTCGATTATATTTTATTACCTAATATACTAATTGAAATAAACTAACTATATCCACTGGAAATGGTACAGATACTTTGGAGGCGCAAAACAACTTTAATGTGTGTGGCCTGGAGATTTGACAAATAGAAAAGTATGTTGTATTTTCAGGTAGATGAATGGACTTTCTAAGTTACCCATTTTTCTTGAAATAAATGTGTATTTAGTGGAATTATACTACAAGTGTAACGCCAAGGGATCTTTAGGGAGTTGAATTTCAGCGGAGAGGACTGAGTACCGTGAGCCTGAGGCGCACACAGAAAGTTAAGCAATAATGCTACTTTAAATGTTACATGTTTAAACATGATTGTACATGCTAATGCGTCTCAGTAGTTAGAACAGGGCTGGGCTGACATTAGGTGTCCCTTAAGGAGCAGAGCTAGAGCCCATCGTGCAAACCCTTCATATCTGATCCAAGTAGAGCCCCGTGAACATGGATTTTCTTTCCTGCAACACTGGAGGGGCGCGGTTAACCTCCTCCTGAAGAAAATTCTGAAATAGTGGGTAGACATTGCTTGCTGAGCACATAGCAGAGTTATCCTGAAGAGGGGGGGAAGAAGTAAGGTAAGCACCGAGATTCTCAGCTGCTGCCTGAAGCATTTCGGGGTTCCATGCAAGGATAGGAAGTCTCGAGGGAGCCCGCACGATCTGAACGCTTACACCCCAGAAACTGGGAACTGAAAATGGGAGCTGGTTGGGAGGGACATCAGTCATGGCACTTATCAAAGCTCATTAAATGATGTTGAGCAAGTGATGTGTTTCCATATGACAGTAGATGTCCCTTCTAAATGGAGGGTACTCAGAGCCCAGTAGGCCTCTCAGACTAGTATCAGTTGCTTCCGTGGAGCTATGATGGACTGATGTTGGAAATGCAGATCCCCTAAGCCCCAAATGGCCCCGTTCTCATCTCTTCTCCCTACGTCAGAGAGCAGTCCTGGACATCTGCTAAGTAAGAGTGCAGACAACAGGCTCCTCCCCATCCTGCATCTCCACGGAAACTTGGAAGCTTGGATGATAACTCTGCCTTCACACCCAGGCAAAGCTCTCATCCCCAGGAATGAACACCCCCTCCCAGTTCTATCCCCCACCAACTCACTTTCTCTTCATCTCTAGAATTTTCAATAAGTTCAGGTAACAGAGAGAGCAGTGCCGAATCGGACAGTGTGTCTTTCTCCGAAGAGCGCAGTGTAAGAAAGGCGAGTCAAGGTGAGAGCCCAGGCCGGTGGCCACACTGAGCAGAGCTCCAAGGTGAATACACCTGGAGGCCCAGCAGGGAAATAGGGGGTGGGGTGATGCCCGTGCCACCCCTGACCCTGGGATTCAGCCCTTCTGTTCTTTCAGATTTCATCACAAAGACGTCCAAGTGGACAAGAACCTCATCCTAAATGTCTCCATAGATAGGTGCCCCCAATCCTTTGGTTCAAGTTTGCCTTCTGTAATGACACCCTAGCCTGGGTGTGGCCAGTTGAGGATGCCCTACCGAAGTGAACCGTGAGCACTGCCCACCACCACCACACACCAGGGATTTAGACCCAGTGTTTTAACACTGACTTGGAAATCACACTTAAAACCATCAGATGCCATGAAAATATCTGAATTTCAGCATTCCCTTGAAACCCACCAGACCTGACATCCTGGTTTGAAGGATGTTGCCTGTGGGACAGTCACCTTCCCTGGAGGACAGTCTTCCCTGTTCAGTGATCCTAGTTCTCACAGGCCACCATCCCTCCTGCATCTGGGCCCCCGGTGCTCACCTGAGTTTGTGATCCATAATCCAGGCTGACTCTTGGGAACCTTTCCACGTGTGATCTCGCCACTAAGCAGCAAGTGTATGTTGGGGTTAAGCCAAAAGCAAGATTTGTCTGCCCAGAAATAAGCATTCAGGTAGTTAAAAGTTGTTGTTTTTAAACTTACGAGTCAATTGGAGCCTTTGCCCACTCGAGGATCTGTGGTAGTATGTAGGGATGGAGAGAGAGAGGGGTGAGTCTCAATGGTATCTTCTGAAGTTAACTATAAGTGTTACTCAGTTTAAGTAGCACTTCTTAAACTTGGTTTTAGTAATGTGCTCTAAATGTGTTTCTAAAAGGAAAACATTGTATGATGAGATTTCATTTTTCCCACTCCCCTCCCCTCCCCTCTGCTCCCCTTCCCTCCCCTCCCCATCCTTCCCCTCCCCTCCCCTCCCCATCCTTCCCCTCCCCTCCCCTCCCCATCCTTCCCCTCCCCTCCCCGTCCCTCCCCTCCCCGTCCCTCCCCTCCCCTCTGCTCCCCTCCCCTCTGCTCCCCTTCCCTCCCCTCCCCTCCCCTCCCTTCCCCTCCCCTCCCCATCCTTCCCCTCCCCTCCCCGTCCCTCCCCTCCCCGTCCCTCCCCTCCCCGTCCCTCCCCTCCCCTCTGCTCCCCTCCCCTCTGCTCCCCTTCCCTCCCCTCCCCTTCCCTCCCCTCCCCTCCCCTTCCCTCCCCTCCCCTCCCCGTCCCTCCCCTCCTCTCCCCTTCCCTCCCCTCCCCGTCCCTCCCCTCCACTCCCCGTCCCTCCCCTCCTCTTCCCTCTACTCCCCTTCTCTCCCCTCCTCTTCCCTGCCCTACTCTCCCCTCCCCTCCCTCCCCTCCCTTCCCCTTGCTCCCCTCCCTTCCCGTCCCTTCCCTCCCCTCCCCCTCCCCTCCCCCTCCCCTCCCCTTCCCTCTATACTTTGAAGGCACACAATGCATTTCAGGCACTTTTAAAGACTTGGGGTACAAAGACAAATGGAAGACAGTTTCTGCGCCCGGGCACCCACTGAAGCGTGACGCAGTAGGGTTAGGCAGTGGGGCTGGGTTTTGAAGAATGTGTAGGACGCTGCCAGGTAGAAGCAGCAAGGGTGAGGCCCACTGTGATTCCCAGTGGAATTGGAAACACAACGGTGAACCGTAACGGTGTTGGTAGGTCCTGGTTATGTGGATGAAGACTCTCGGGGCCAATACTGGCCCAGGCATTAGTTTCGGGTGAGGACTGAACTTGATCTTTATGAGTACACAGATGTGGACAAACTAAGTGTCCACGAGGCCCACAGCTGGAAGGTAGGGTCTCTTCGTGAGAAGAGTGGAAGCGGGCATAACTTTTACGTTCTCCCTGTTCTTGCAAACCCTGTGATTAGAAACGGGGTCAACTGTATGGGGAGAACAGAGCCATGGCTTGCTGTCCATTTTTGTCCCTCATCCGTGACTTGCAGCAGTCAAGTTCCACTCAGCCGCTGTGTAAACGGGACTCTTGGGCTTGGAGTCCCATTTCAGTTGAGCAAAAAAGCTGCTTCTGCCATACGGTTGCCACTGTGATAGGCAAACCATGCTTTAACAATGAGCAGGCACACAGTGCCTGGAAGCAAGCGACAAGGGCTCATCTCTAATAGCGTCCCTTTCCTCTCTTGTCACCCACGGACCTCGCCTGGACACTCCGAACAGGACGGGAACAGAGGAAATCTACTTTCAGCACAGAGTCTAGGAAGGCCTCCACGCTCAAGTAGGTACAAACAAACTGAATGGCTTTCTAGACAACTTTTGTTTTTTAGCCTTTCCTCAACACAGAGGGCCTGGTCTCTGAGCTCTTGCCACATACCGTGGAGTGAGTAGTGGCCAAGGCTGCACTCCCGAGGTGCCCCCAGAATTCTACTCTTTGAGTAGCAGCCTAATCATAGAAGCCACCAGACTCCCTTTTTAGCTATTCTGCTAGGCTGTGCACCTACAGGTCTAGCCCTCACTTACCTGCTGCAGTAGGGGCATAAAGCATTTTTCTTTACTCTTTTCTTCCTTCCCTAACTTGATGCTAACTCATCTCATCGATGGCTCACTGTCAACCCTACCTAGCCAGTGGGCGCTTTGAGGAGATAAATGTCTGGGTCAGACATGCTGAATGAACTTGAGGAAGGAAGAGTTCTGAGCCAAGACTGCTGTATCCATGACAACCCCTGAGGGCCACGGGGACATGTGACTCTGATTCCAGGGATGCTGGGGTCACCCCACTTCTGTGGCGTTTAGTTGGCCCTTTTATACCTTTTAATTAAAATTTCACTTTTGAGATCGTTGTTACTGGTAGGACCCCTTTGACTCTTGACCCAGCCTCTTGCAACAGGAATCCTGTGCCAAACGGTAATACAGTACCACAGCCAGGACATCGGCGTTGGCCCAGTGAGGTGCAAAATGTTACTGCTGATTTTTTCATGTCTTTTTTTATAGCCACAGCCTCTTCCCTGGCAGCCACTAATCTGCCCATTTCTGATTGTGTCATTTCAAGAGTGTGATATCAAGATCGTGCAGTGTGTAGCCTTAGAATTTTGTTTTGCTTTTCGAGACAGGGTTTCTCTGTGTAGCTTTGGAGCCTGTCCTGGAACTAGCTCTGTAGACCAGGCTGGCCTCGAACTCACAGAAATCCTGCTGCCTCTGCCTCCCAAGTGCTGGGATTAAAGGCGTGCACCACCAACACCCGGCTGCAACCTTTGAATTGTAATAATTTGCCCATGTTAGACCATGAATAGTTGGTTCTCAGGTTCTCTGTGGTCTGAACATTGTGTTTTTGAACTGTTCACCTACTGAAGAATATCCACCTAGTTTCTAGTTTGGGGCTGTAATGAGTCAAGCCACTGCATGTTTTATTTGTCCAATTTAAGGTTTTTTTTGTTTGTTTTTGTTTTGTTTTGTGTGTGTGTGTTGTTTTGTTTTGGGGGGGGCGGGCAGGCAGAAGAGATGGCTTCAGAGGTTAGGAGCACTGGCTGCTCTTCCAGAGGCCCTGAGTTCAAGTCCCAGCAACCACATGGTTGAGATCTGGTGCCCTCTTCTGGCATGTAGGCATACATGCAGGCAGAACACTGTACACATAATTAAATCTTTTAAAAATGTTTTACATATATGGGTGTTTGGCCTGCATGGCATATTTGCCCCGTGTGTATGCAGGATCCCCGAGGCCAGAATAAGACATCGGATCCCCTTGGAACTTGAGTTGGACACAGTTGTGAGCTACCATGTGGGTGCTCAGCAAAAGCCCAAGTACTGACTGCTGAGCCATCTCTTTGGCGCCTTGTACAGCATTCTGTGTGAAGACAGTCCTTACTTCCCTGGATGAATGTCTAGATGTGAAAGTGGGCTAGATGCTAGATGTCTGTTTCCACAGCGTCTGTACCATTTTACACTCCAACAGCGGTGCGTATGATATGTAGTTTCTCAATAGCTTCAGCCTTTGATCTGTCGTGCCTGTGCATGAGTGTGCGTGCATGTGCTCGTGTTTGTGGGTGTGTCTTCAGTGCCCATGGAGGTCAGAAGAGAGCAGTGGAGCCCTTGGAATTACAGGCATTAGTGAGCTGCCCGATGTGGGTTCTCTGGTAGAGCAGCCAATGATCTTGACTGCTGAGCTCTCTCTCCAGACCCCACCAACTGTTTATTTTCAGTTTTCTGTCAGGTATCACCTCCCTCTCCTCCCTGCGCTTACTCATTTTTCACTCCACTACAGCCTTCATCACCAACTACCTTCCTCTTCCCTTATTCCTGCTGTATTAAAACTCTAATCGTTTTCAGTTTATCTTTTATACAGAATCTTTTTCCGGAGCCAATTGCCAGGACACTTCATTATTTTTACCTACTCCCTCGTGTGTGTGTGTGTGTGTGTGTGTGTGTGTACACGTGTGTGTACATGTGTATGTGTGCACATGTGTGTGTACACACGTGTTGTGCACGTGTGTGTGTGTGTGTACACGTGGCGTGTGGACATGTACCACAGCACACACGGGGAGGTCAGAGGACAGCTTTTATGAAATCCGTTCTCTTCATCCCACCATGTGGGGTCTGTGGATGGAACTCAGGTCATCAGACTTAGTAGCAAGTGCCTTTATTTACCCTCTGAGCCATCTCGTAGGCCCAACACCATTATCCTGTAAGGTTGTATCTTATCGTCCGCCTACCTGGTACTTCCTCACATGATTAGAAACTACTACAAAAAGCAAATCTCCAGAGGACACAGGTAGCTGCCTTGCTGAAAACATTCAGAAGGTGGTGGTCGGTCTTGAGTGAGCACTAGAGTCCACATTTTGAAGTCATGTGTTTGGCCCACTTTGGTCTTGACAAAGTAGCTATGGTGAGGTCGGTAGTCACATGTTTCTTTAGAGAAAGCAAACTAATTTTTTTGATGCTGCTAAAAAACCATTCTGTTCTGTGGGCCTTCTGTGTGGTCTCATTACATGTGTGACTCTATCTGGGACTAAATATGGTTTTCTTTTGTACAGTTGTGGAATTGTGGGGTGAGCAGTCTCCTAAAACAGTAAGTAGTCTAGTGAAAAGAATCTGTAATAGGAGTTGGTGAGGTAGCTCAGTGGTTAGAGCAATGGCTGCCCTTGCAGAGAGGACCTAGGTTCGATTCCCAGCATTCACATGTTGGCTCATAACTCCCTGTAACTCCCATCTAAGGGGATCTGACCCCCTCCTTTGGCTTCCACAGACACCAATTATGTGTGCGTGATGCATTGCCATACATGCAGACAAAACACTCATACACAAATGAAAATTAATTTAGGAGCAAAGGCAAACCTACTAATGGAAAATAACTCAGAAGTGATTTTTTTTTTTACAGTCGGGCTGACAGCATGGCCGCCTCAGAGGACAGTTTGGAGTTCTTTATGGAGGATGAGCCGCTGGAGTTCGATCTGGTAACCAGACTCTCTCTCTTGATTTCAGCTGTGTGTGGTCTCGACATTCATTTCTTCTGAAATACTCTATTCCAAACATATTAACACATTTTCTGGAAGGAAATATGACTTGATGATGATCTCAAAATCCCGTCTTTCACCAATATTTGTCATCAAGCCATCTATGAACAATAAGCATAAGAATATATGCCAGCCCTTCTGAGAGTGAAGCGGGGAGCCACAGATTTCAGGCCAAGAGGCCAGACGGGGCGGAGCACTAGGGAGGCAGGCGTGGCAGCCCTGGGTAGCAAGTGGAGGCCAGGCTACAAGAGACACCTGACTCAATAAAACAAAACCAAAGCAACAACAAAATTCAAGGCCAACTTGGGCTACACAGTGAGTTCCAGGCCAGCCTGAGATACATAGTGAGCCCTGTCTCAAAAACAAAACACAAAGGAAATAATTTGGGACAGATACATAATCAAACCCATCCTATAAAAACTCCAACTCCTCGATGGTGTAGTGTGTTGTGTGTATTTAAGTTTGCCTGTGTCTGAGCACATGTGTGCCTGTGTATGTGGAGGCCAGAGTTAACACTGGGGGTAACCCTTAATTGCATTCCACTCTATTGACGGAGACAAGGTTCCTGGCTGAATCTGGTGCTCACTTTTGGCTACCTAGCCAGCTTTCCCTGAGAGGTCCCTGGGAGGCTGGAGGCTGCCATGCTCACCCATCATGTATACGTGTCCTTCACACTCCAGTTCTTATCCTTGTACAACCAGGCTTTGTCCACTGAGTTACCATCCCAGCCCAGGGTGGTTTTTTGTTTTTGCTTTGTTTTTTCACTTTATTGGGTAAGCAGAACCTCGAAAAATCCTGCCTTAAAACACCATTATTTCGGCAAAACTGCTGGCGAGTTTACCTAAAGCTAAATGCAATCATGAAGGCTTGAAAGTGATTTTAAGCAGAAATGAAACAGACTGGAGGGATGGCTCAGAGGTAAAGTGTACTGGCTACTCTTCCAGAGGTCCTGAGTTCAATTCCCGGCACCCACCTGATGACTCCCAGCCATCTGTAGTGACAGCTCGTGCCTTCTTGTGTCATGCAGGCAGAGCAAAAAGAAAAGCAGCCCACCAAACACCACCCATTTTTACACAGGGCATACCTCACCCAGATCATCTTGCTTTTAAAACCGTGTGCAAACGCATGGTTGTCCATCTTCACATTTTTGGGATGCAATGCGACAGTGTTGACCACACACATCCCATAGTGAGGTGGATTCTACATCTTCATCTTGCAAACCCAAAGCACTGTGCCCATCCAACACCTGCCCAGCCTCCCGCTTAGAAACTTCCTGTTTCTAAGAGACTGGCTATTTCAATATTTATGTTTTTGGTTGTGAGCCTAGCCTTTAACAGCTGAGCCATCTCTCCAGCCCGCTATTTCAATATTTAAATATGGCAATTATACACTATAGGGGTGAGAGAGAGGGAGAGAGAGAGTGTGTGTGTGACTGGGCTCTTTCACTTACTCTAATGATCCCCAAAGCTCATTTAAGCCAGGAGATGGCGGTAGTGGTAGCACACACCTTTAATCCCAGCACTCAGGAGGTGGAGGCAGGTGGATCTCTGTGAGTTCAAGGCCATCCTGGTCTATACATTGAGTTCCAGAACAGCCAGGACTGTTACACTGTTACACAGAGAAACTCTGTCTCAAAGCCAAAAAAAAAAAAAATCAACCTCATTTAAATGATAAGGTAATGGAGCTGGAGAGTGCTCAGTAGACACAGTGCTTGCCTTGCAAGCTTGAGGGGTCTGATCTCCAGCCCCTGAACCATTACAAAAACAAGAGGAAAAAACTCAGGCACAGCGGTTGTGTGCTTATAAACCTAAGGCTTGGGAAGTGGAGACGGGCAGACCCCTGGGGCTTAAAGTGGGAAGTCCCTGAGGGTCCTACATCTGAGGTTCTCCTATAGTCCCCAACACATGTGTACGCACCTGCACACACATGTTCATAACCACAAAATGTACTGTAGAAGAGAATTTCTCCTTTCTAAGGCTGAATAGTGTTCCATTGTGTGTGTGTGTGTATAAATACATATATACTGTATTTCCTTATTTACCCATCTATGAATATTTTTGTTGCTTTTGTGTCTTGGTAATTTAAATAATAACACATTATGTTAATATATGTGTTACTTTGAAAATGCTTACTTAAAGCAATACATACTTTATTTTGTGTTTCTGGGTGAAAGATACACATTTATTTTGTATGGAAGACAAGCCATATTTTAATTTTTATATGGATTAACTACAATTTAAAAAACAGCTTGTTGGTGCTTAGTTATAATCAGGATTTAAACATTGTCAACTTTTTTTATATTTTCCTTTTTTATTAAATTTATTATTTTCTTATGTTACATATTGGTCCCGGTTCCCTCTCCCTCCTTCTTTCCCTCTCTCCCCCCTCACGTGCACCCCTCCCACTCTCCCCTCCCACCCCACCCCCACTCCACATGTAGGGTGATGCCATCCAGGAGGGGTCATCTAAATCTGTCAGGTCATTTGAAGTAGGGACTACTTTTCTCCTGTCTCTAGGTTAAGAGTGTTCCTACATGGGGGATGTGCCCACAAGGTCCTTTTGTGCACCAAGGACACATCCTGGTTCCACTGTCAGAGGTCCCTTAGACTGCCCAGGCCTTCTAGCTGAGACCCATGTTCAGGGGGTGTGAGTCAGTCCCATGCTGGATTCCAGCTATCAGTCTGGGGGCCCATCAGCTCCTCTTTGTTCAGGTCAGCTGTCTCTATGTGTTTCTGCAGCCTGGTCTTGTCCTTTCTCTGCATCTGGATTCTAGTTTGACTAAGTGTCTGCTTCTGTTTCCAACAGGTACTAGATGAGGGCTTCATGATGGTGGATACGTTAGTTGTTGATCTCACTATCAGGGAAGGGCATTTATGGTAGCCTTTCTACTGTTGCTCAAATTGTTAGTTGGAGTCAGTTTTGTAGGTTTCTAGACATTTCTTTAGGTTCAGTTTAATCTTCAAACCAATAATGGCTCCCTCCTTTATGTTCTCTCTCTCCCCATTCTCTCTCTCCCTCTCCTATTTCTCCCCTGACTCAGTCTTCCTAGTCCCACATGCTTTCCTCTCCTCCCCTTCTCTTTCTCCTAGTTCCCTCTCCCTTCACTGCCCCCCTTCCCCTGTGCTCTGGGGGACTTGTCCCTTTCCCCTTCTGTGAGCACCTTTATATGAATCTCTTAAAATCCTCCTTGTATCCTAGTTCCTCTGGTGGTGTGAATTATAGGCTGGTGATCCTTTGTTCTAGGTCTAAAATCCATATATGAGTGAGTACATACCATGTACCTCTTTTTGTGACTGGATTACCTCATTCAGGATGGTTTCTTCAAGTGCCATCCACTTGCCTGTGAATTTCAAGATTCCATTTTTTTTTTTTTTTTTTTTTTTTTTTTGGTGCCGAATAGTATTCCATTGTGTAGATGTGCCACATCTTCTTTATCCATTGAGGGGCAGCTAGGTTGCTTCCAGGTTCTTGCTATTACAAATAGTGCTGCTATGAACATAGTTGAGCACATGTCTTTGTTGCATGGATGTGGATCATTTAGCGTAAGAGGGGGATTGCCGGGTCCTGTGGTAAACTAATTCCCATTTTCCTGAGCAACCGCCATACTGATCTCCAAAATGGCTGTACAAGTTTGCACTCGCACCAGCAATGGAAGAGTGTTCCCCTTTCTCCACATCCTCTCCAGCATGAGTTGTCATTGGTGTTTCTAATGTTAGCCATTCTGGCAGGGGTAAGATGGTATCTCAAAGTTGTTTTGATTTGCATTTCCCTGATAGATAAGGATGTTGAGCATTTTCTTAAGTGTCTTTCAGCCTTTTTGATTTCCTCTATTGAGAATTCTCTCTTCAGTTCTATACCCATTTTTAATAGGGTTATTTGGTGTTTTGGTGACTAGTTTCTTGAGTTCTTTGTATATTTTGGAGATCAGCCCTTTGTCGGATATAGGATTGGTGAAAATCTTTTCCCAGCCTGTGGGCTGCCGATTGGTCTTGTCAACTGTGTCCTTTGCCTTACAGAAGCTTCGAACTTTGAGGAGGCCCCATTTATTAATTGTCGATCTCAGTGTCTGTGCTACTGGAGTTATGTTCAGGAAGTGGTCTCCTATACCGATTTGTTCAAGGGTACCTCCTACTTTCTCTTCTAAGAGGTTCAGTGTGGCTGGATTGATGATCAGGTCTTTGATCCATTTGGACTTGCATTTTGTGCGTGGCAATAGACATGGGTCTATCTGCAGTCTTCTACACATCATCATCATCCAATTGTGCCAGCACCATTTGAAGATGCTTTCCTCTCCCCGTTGTATACTTTTAGCTGTTTTGTCAAAAATCAGGTGTTGGTATGTGTGTAGGTTAATATCAGGATTTTCAATTCGATTCTATTGGTCTACTTGTCTAGTTTTGTGCCAATACCAGGCTGTTTTCAGGACTATAGCTCTGCAGAAGAGCTTAAAGTTGGGGATGGTGATGCCTCCTGAAGTTCTTTTATTGTACAGGGTTATTTTGGTTATCCTGGGTCTTTTGTTTTTGCATATAAAGTTGATTATTATCCCTTCAAGGAAGAATTGTGGGATTTTAATGGGGATTGCACTGAATGTGCAGATTGTTTTTGGCAAGATTTTTACTATGTTTATCCTACCTATCCAAGAGCATGGGAGGTCTTTCCATTTTCTGGTATCTTCTATAATTTCTTTCTTTAAAGACACAAAGTTCTTATTATATAGGTCTTTCACTTGCTTGATTAGTGTTACCCCAAGATGTTTTATGTTGTTTGTGGCTATTGTAAGGGGTGATGTTTCTCTGATTTCTTTCTCAGCCTCTTTGTCGTCTGAATATAGTAGGGCTACTGATTTTTTTGAGTTTACCTTGTATCCTGCTAGTTTGCTGAAGGTGTTTATCAGCTGTAGGAGTTCCCTGGTAGTTTTTTGGGTCGTTTATGTAAACTATCATATCATCTGCAAATAGAGAAAGTCTGACTTCTTACTTTCCAATTTGGATCCCCTTGATCTCCTTTTGTTGTCTTATAGCATTAGCTAGAACTTCAAGTACAATATTGAAGAGATATGGAGAGAGAGAGCAGACTTGTCTTGTTCCTGATTTTAGAGGAATCACCTTAAGCTTCTCTCCATTCAGTCTGATATTGGCTGTTGGTTTACTGTATATTGCTCTTATTATGTTTAGGTATGTTCCTGTTATCCCTGATCTCTCCAAGACCTTTATCTTGAAAGGGTGTTGAATTTTGTCGAAGGCTTTTTCAGCATCTAGGGAGATGATCATATGGTTTTTCTTTTCCAGTTTGTTTATACGGTGGGTCATGTTGATAGATTTTCATATATTAAACCATCCCTGCAACCCAGGGATGAAGCCTACTTGGTCATGGTGGATGATTTTTCTGATGTATTCTTGGATTCGGTTTGCCAGTATTTTATTGAGTATTTTTGCATTGATGTTCATCAGGAATATTGGTCTGTAGTTTTCTTTCTTAGTTGGGTCTTTGTGTGACTTGGGTACCAAAGTGATTGTGGCCTTGTAAAATGAGTTTGGTAATGAACCTTCTATTTCTACTGTGTGGAACAATTTGAGGAGTATTGGTATTAGCTCTTCCTTGAATTTCTGGTAGAATTCTGCACTGAAGCCATCTGGCCCTGGGCTTTTTTTTTTTTTTTTTTTTTTTTTTTTTTTGGTTGGAAGGCTTTCGATGACTGATTCTATTTTGTTGGGGGTTATAGGTCTATTTAAGTTGTTTGTCTGTCCTTGATTTAATTTTAGTGATAGTTATCCAGAAATTTGTCCATTTCCTTTGAATTTTCAAATTTTGTGGAGTACAGGTTTTCAAAGTATGACCTGAAAATTGTCTAGATTTCCTGTGTCTGTTATGTCCCCCTTTTCATTTCTGATTTTGTTAATTTGCATGTTCTCTCTCTGCTTTTTTGTTAGTTTGAATAAAGGGTAGTCTATGTTGTTGATTTGTCTCGAAAAACCAACTCTTTGTTGCATTGATTTTTTTTTTTTTGTATTGTTTTCCTGGTTTCTATTTTATTGATTTCAGTCCTCAAATTGATTATTTCCTGGCATCTACTCCTCTCCTCTGGGGCGAGCTTGCTTCTTTTTGTTCTAAGGCTTTCAGTAGTGCTGTTAATCCTCTAGTGTGACTATCCTCTGTTTTCTTCATATGGGCACCTTGTGCAATGAACTTCCCTCATAAAACTGCTTTCAAGGTGTCCCATAAGTTCGGGTATGTTGTGTCCTCATTCTCATTGAATTTTAGGACGTCCTTAATTTCTTTCTTTATTTCTTCTTTGACCCAGGTATGGTGCAATTGCACATTGTTCAGTTTCCATGAGTTTGTAGGTTTTCTGCGATTTGTGTTGTTGAATTCCAATTTTTAAAGCATGGTGGTCTGATAAGATACAGGGAACTATTCCAATTTTTTAAAAAATCTCTTGAGGTTTGTTATGCTGTCTAGTATGTGGAGCAGAGAAGGTATATTCTTTTGTGTTTGGATGGAATGTTGTATACATGTCTGTTAAAACCAATTGAGACATAACTTCTGTTAGTTCTTTTGTTTAAGTTTCTGACTGACTGGTGGTCCTGTCTAGTGGTGAGAGTGGTGTGTTGAAGTCTCCCACTATAAGTGTGTGAGGTTTTATGTGAGGTTTGAGTTTTAGTAGTGTTTCTTTTGCAAAAGTGGATGCCTTTGTATTTGGGGCATAGATGTTCAGAATTGAGACTTTGTGTTGATGGATTTCTCCTGCGATGAATACGAAATGACCGTCTTCATCTCTTTTGATTAATTTTGGTTTGAAGTCTAACTTGTTAGATATTAGGATAGCCACACCTGCTTGCTTCTTGGGTCCATCTGATTGGAAGATCTTTTCCCAACCCTTTCTTTACCCTGAGGTAATGTCTATCTTTGAAGCTTAGATGTGTTTCTTGTATGTAGCAGAAAGATGGATTCTGTCTTCATATCCATTCTGTTAGCCTGTGTCTTTTTATAGGTGAGTTAAGACCATTAATGTTGAGGGCAAGGACCATTGATTGTTAATGCTTGTTTTAGATTTGTTGTTGGCAGTGGTATTGTGAATATATTTGTTCTGCTTTACCCTTAGTTTCTGGTGTAGTGAGATTATTTGTTGCCTATGTCTTTGTGGGCATAGTTAACTTCCTTGGGTTGGAGTTTTCCTTCCAGAACTTTCTGTAGGGCTGCATTTGTAGATATGTATTGTGAAAATCTGGCTTTGTCATTAAATATCTTGTTTTCTCCATCTATAGTGATTGAGAGTTTTGCTGGCATCTGTGGACTCTTAGTACTTGTAGAACATCTATCTAGGACCTTCTGGCCTTGAGAGTTCCATGGAGAAGTCAGGTGTAATTTTGATATGTCTGCCTTTATATGTTACCTGTCCTTTTTCCTTCACTGCTCTTAATATTCTTTATTCTGCATGTTAGGTGTTTTGATTATTATGTGTCGAGGGGTCTTTTTTCTTTAGTCTAGTCTATTTGGTGTTTGGTATGCTTCTTGTACTTTCATGGGCATTTTTTATTCAGATTGGGAAAGTTTTCCTCATTGATTTTGTTGAATATGTTTTCTGTACCTTTGAGCTGGGTTTCTTTGCCTTCCTCTATGCCTATTATTCATAAGTTTGGCCTTTTCACAGTGTCCCATATTTCCTGGATGTTTTGTGTTAAGGATTTGTTGAATTAAGATTTTCTTTGGCCGATGAATCTATTTACTCTAGTTTATCTTCCGTGCCTGAGATTCTCTCTTCCATCTCTTGAATTCTGTTGGTTATGCTTGCATCTGTAGTTCCCGATCGTTTGCCCAGTTTTTCCATTTCCAGCATTCCTTCGGTTTGTGTTTTCTTTATTGTCTCTATTTCAGTTTTCAAGTCTTGAACCGTTTCCTTCACTTGTTTATTTTTTCTTGGCTAAGAAATTTGTTCATATCTTCCAATTTTTTTGTTTTTTCTTCCATTTCTTTAAGGGATTTTCTCACATAGTCTTTGAGGGCCTCTATCATTTTTATGATGATAATTTTTAAGTCGTTCTCTTCTGCTTCAACTGCTTTGGGGTGTTCAGGTCTAGTTGGTGTTGAGTCCCTAGATTCTGGTGGTGTTATGCTTGTCTTTCTATTGTTAGGTGTTTTCTTGTATTGCCGTCTTCCCATAGCTTCTTCCAGTAGGTGTAGGTGTGGTCTCTCTCTTTCTCTCTCTTGTACTCCCCAGGTGGGCTTAGGTGGGTCAGAGGTTCGATGTGTAGCTCTGGGTGGTCCAAGCTCTCTAGGAGGACTCTCCTCAAGCAGGGGCCCAGCGATGGGGGTCAAAGATCCTGAAGGCTAGTATTCAGGATGTTCTGTGCAGATAGGCAGGTCTAGCCTGGGCTTGGCACTCTCCAGCTGAGGCCTCTTTGGCAGAGACCCGGCGATGGGGGTCAAGGATCCAGCCTGCAGGAACTCAGAGTAGCCCAGCAGGAATAGGCGGATCTCTGGGAGGGGCCCGGAACTCCAGTAGAGGACTGGTGGTGGGGGTCAGAGACCAGGCAGATGGAAATTATGGGTGCTCCTGCGTGGATAGGCAGGTCTAGTGTGCTCAGAGCAGCTCCAGGAAGTTCCCAGAAGGTGGCAGGATTGTTGGCTCCACCCTCTGTCCCTGTGCTCAACCAGAGCCTAGGACAGTGGGCAGGGTAGGGCAGGCTCTTGGTGGGAGGGGTGGGGTGTATCAGAGCTCCAAGAGTGTCCTCTATGGGGACAGGACACAGGGGCAGCAAGATCTGGGGCCAACCCAGGGAGTTTCCCCGGGGAAGGGTGTGTGGGGGGGCATTCAACCTGAATTGGTCCCAGACTCACCTCTAGCCCAGGCCTGGTGATGGGGGTCAAAGACTGGGCTGATACTCAGGATGTTTCAGCACAGATGGGCAGATCTAGCTGGGGCCTGGCACTCTCCAGCTGAGGCCTCTTTAGCAGAGGCCCAGGGATGGGAGCAATATATATTCTTAAGAAGCCAGGGCATATCAGATGGGATTGAGAGGAAACAAACATCCGTCAGTTTCCCATCTTTCCTTTGCCCCTCCCTCTTTTACTTCTCTGAAGGTCCTCATCTCTCCCCACGCCCCAAATCATCTTACCATCTCTCCCTGGGAACAAGATGCAGCTCCCTTACAATCCTCTGCCTCCCTCCTACTCCCTCCAGGCGCTCTAGTATAGACTCCGAACCTCCAGTGCTGGGGAGGGTGGGGATACCACTGCAGACCGCGTGACGTCTGCAGAGATGTAACGTCTTTGCAGATGGGGCCTAGTGCAAGGGAGTTAGGTCTTTGAAAGGGGATTGGGACCCTGCTCGCTCACTTTCTGTCTAGTTTGTTTTGAGATGGGCTTTCTCCGTAGCTTTGGAGCCTGTCCTGGAACTCGCTCAGTAGACCAGGGTGGCCTTGAATTCAGAGACCCTCCTGTCTCTGCCTCCAGGGTGCTGGGATTAAAGGCGCGCACCACTACTACTTGGCATCTCTCTCTGTTTTTGCCTCTTGGCTCCTGTGAACAGGCCTTCAGCATGTTACCTTGCCACAATGCACTGTGCCCTCGTACGTCTACAATAGTTCCCAAGCAAAAGTGATTGGTTTCTCCTTAAAAGTTGATTTTTCTCAAGGAGTTTGCCACATGCGTGGAGAGTAGATGAGTGTGACAGCTCCCTCCCTATAGTGTCTAGACGAGTCACATGACCATGTGTGAGACACTTCACTGTTGATTGCTTAGATGCCGGAGATTTACTTCAAGGAGCCAGAAGAGTTGCTGCAGGTCCTTACAGAGCTGGAGGAACAGAATCTCACTTTGGTTCAGTATTCCCAAGACGTGGATGAGAATCTCGAAGATGTCAACAAAAGAGAAAAGTTTATCCAAGATAAGATGTGAGTGATTTCTCCTATTCAGCATTACTAACCAGAGGCCACATCCAACTCACTCAGGATGTCTCTTATAGTTCATGCTGGGGTTGCAATTAAAAACGATTTCCAAGCTGGACACGAAAAAGATAGAACTTACATTTGTACACAATAGACTGGTTTTCATTTAATTTTCTTCCTGTCTCCTATCACTTGTTGAAGTTTGATGCCCAATGCCTTCATTCCATCCAGGACCGCTGTCAGCTGGCTAGCTGTCACACTCCCTAGATTGAGTAAATGCAGTTTTCCTTGGGTGTGGATCTGAGCAAAGTGACTTTCTGTGATTTAATACTATAACATCTTGTGTCTAGCAGCATTGCAGGCCTGGCATAGAGGAGACTAGATATGAGTCAGAGTCCCCTTCCCCTAAGATTGCAGTTTCGAGAAAGCTTCAGATTAGAGAATAGGACTTGGATTCCATTTGTTTGCTAGTGTGTAAAACTGGCAGTTTTTGTTTCCTGCATCAGAAGATGGAAAATCTTTTTAAGCACTAGGTCAAACTACATTTAACTTCAGAGCCAATTAATTTGCCCAGAAGGCAAGAACACCCCCAATAATCAATGCTTCCCAGCTCCCCGCCCCATTGTGCCTTCTGTCCTTCCTGACCTAGAGTGTGCTGGCTCAGCCACAGTCCTCCAGGCATGTTTGGGAGGGAAAGGAAGGGGGCTGTGAACTTTTCTTACTCGGGAGGATTTCTTTTTAATGCTCTACCTGCGTGTACACCTTTACACCAGAAGAGGGCGACAGATCCCACTATAGATGGTTGTGAGCCCCACCACGTGGGTGCTGGGAATTGAACTCAGGACCTCTGGAAGACCAGCCAGTGCCCTTAACCACTGAGCCGTCTCTCCAATACTTGTCCTGCATTATTTCCACCAGACTCTCAAGGCAAATTAGTCAAGTGTCTCCATTTCCCCTGCAGCTGGGGCTGTTCTGATCACTCTGCCAGATGTGGGGCACTCAACAACTTGCAGCCCTGATGCTACACGCTTCCCATTTGGGGTCTTGGGGGACCACAATAGCAGAGAAAGGGAAGAAATGTCTTCTGATGGGAGGAAAGCCTACATTTAAGCATTTATTTGCCTGGCTGCATCATGAGTGTAGACCTGAGGAAATGACACCAGATAAAACACACTGAAAAGCACAAGGACTTGAGTTTGAATCCCAGAACCCACTTAGAGCCAGCTGCAGTAGCGCACATCTGTAAACCAGGGCTGAGAGTCCCCAGGAGCCCAGGGGCCAGACAACCTGGCATTTGCTTCCGTGAACAAAAGAGAAACCCTGGGTCATGCAGATGCTTCAGTGGGTAAAGGTGCTGGCTGCCAAGCAGCCTGCAAGTTGTCGCTGATTTCCACATATACTGTAGCATTCACCCCCAACCCTGCTTAAACCAACACTTGTTTAAAGGAAAAGGACCTGTCCCAAGGTAAAAAGTGAGGATCCATATCTGAGGTTGACCTCTTGACTTCCATGGCAAACATAGGCTAGGCTCTCACTTTTACATGCATGTTCTTCTACACGGGCCCCACTCACACACGAATGCACTTTTATCTCCCTCCACACACACATGCATGCGTGCACACATGCCCACACACGCATGCGCGCACACTATGTGTCCTGCTGGGCGCCAGGTGCTGACACGTGCCCAGCAGAGGATGAGGGCTGAGTCCCTCAATCTTGAGTTACAAAGGTTCCCTCCTCCTTTTGCTACAGAAACAACAACATTGAGTTTCTGCTGGAGCACAAGCAGATGCTTAAGGCCAACTGTGAGCGAGAGGAGGAAAAGGCGGCGGAATTGGAGCTGAGGTCCAGGCTCTTCAGTTTTGGAGAATTCAATTCGGATGCTCAGGTACATTCTTGGCCCGTGGTAACTTCGTCTCCTGGTAAAAATCTGGCCTCTCTGTGTACTACTGAGCACCTGACGGGGGAGTTAAGGCAATCCACAAATGTTGACAGGGATGGAAACCCAACTTGGAATTATTTTGCCAATATGAAAGTCAGTTTCCTAGATAGGAACCATGTATATTACCTTTGGGGTCCACGGGAAATGTTGCTGTAGTTATTTCAAACTGCATTTGTCAGTGTGTGTTTGTGTGACGCTCACTGCCTTTGACCATCTTGCTGGCAACCCCAGCAGACAGCAGCAGAGTGAACTGAACACACAGTGAAGCCACAGTTAACAATGGAAAATGTGCCCAGCACTGAGCTTAGGAAATGTGTCAACTTCTTTGGGCCTAAAAAGACTGGCTCACTTCCCAGCATCTGTGACACATTGTATGGACAAGTTCATCCCTCCTGCTGGCTGGATGCAACCCGTCCACTCAGGGACTCTCCTGTTAATGAGCTCAGTGTCCCCATAGTGTCAATGCTCAATAAATGTTTGTTGAATGAATGATCAGGGTAGTTTTCAGATCCACAAGAAACTTCGACTACCACTGGTTTCTTGGAAAGACTTGAGTGAAATTACTCCAAAGCTTCTATGTGGGGCTAACACTACATTTATGACCGTGAACTCAGACTTTTTAGATAGAGGTAGATTTGGGGAATGGGCTGCAATAGAAAACAGGAAACCACCCTCCCCTACCCCCAGTTAGTCAAAGCAAAAGCTGTTCGTGGCTGCTGGGCATGTTCTAAGGTAGAACAGCACAATGTCTTAGGCTTACCACACTCCCTGTCATACCATTTTTTACTATGATGCAACATACATAAAAGTTACAATCTAATCATTCTGAGTGTGCAAGTTGATGGCATTAAAAAGTTACGAAACATAACTGTTATTTCCAAACCTTCTCCATCATTTAAGCATAAGCTTCAGTATCTTAAGCATTTTTTTTTTTTGATAGTTTGATGGTAAGTACAGTCACAGTATTGTGTAACCAGTCCTGAGAAGGCCTTTCATCTTGCACAAGATAAGTGACCTACTCATTAACCATGCATTCCCCATCCCTTTGTCTCTGAATGTGAATCTTCTGGGTAGTTTGTGTAAGTGGATATAATATGTACAATACCTGTCCATTGTCTGGAGCTAATGTTACAAAGCTTAATGTTCTCCAGATTCATCCAAATCATGGCATGTATCAGAATTTTGCCCTTTTTGAGGCTAAATAATATTCCATCTTGTCTTGAAAAAAACAAAATTCCATCTTCTGTACCATACTTTGTTTACTAATTCACCTACTGGCAGACATTTGGGTTATTTCTATTCTTCAACTCTTAAATAATTCTGAAGCAGACTACTCTGTAAAGTAAAAGATAAATTATTTGCGGTATTTAATGGTACCCACACCTCAGCCAAACCCTTTTAGTCTCAGGTAGGGAACTATGAGAAAAAGGCACCTTCAATACTTTTTAACATTGAGTCAATAAGAGAAGGGAGACTCCAGATGTGAAAGGCCCAGGACTCAATACCCAGATGGTAAGGGAACTGAGGATTGATTGGAAAATTCCTTCTTAGGATTATACACTCTTGGCGGTAGTGTATACCTTTAATCCCAGCATTCCGGAGGCAGAGACAGGTGGATCTCTGAGTTCAAGACCAGCCTGGTCTACTGAGTGAGTTCTAGGACGGCCTCCAAAGCTACAGAGAAACCTTGTTTCGAAAAACCAAAAGAAAAAAAAAAATTAAAAAGATTATCCACAAAATAACAGTCACAAGAATAGAACTGGCATTCATGCACAATTTGCAGGCCCACTCTGGAGCATGAGCTAACTCACGGTCTTCCAAAGATATGGAGTGTGGTATGGGAGGAGAGAGGGAAACTGAAAATTCAGAAGTAGGTGGGTTTTTTTTGTTTTTGAGACAAGGTCTTATAATCTAACGCCGGCTTCACACTATGCAGCTGAGGATGGCTGTGAGTTTCTCTTCCTCCACTTCCCCTTGAGGCCACCATACCCAGCTTCTCGAAATTCTTGGGTGCCTCATGCATATACTGGACCAAAGCTGTACCCCCTAGATCCATATTATATTCTTAAGAGTTTTCCAGTTTCCTCCAATCCTTCAAATCTTAAAATATACAAACATAGGCCTTCATGAATAAACATCCATTATTCCTAATTTAACCCCCCCCCTTCTCCCCAAAGAGCAGATTTATTGGGGACAATGTGGCACATCTAATTTTGGTATCCACAAATAATTAGGGACTGCAAACCTATAACAATTAGTATTTTTATTTCAAAACTTCCACTCTTGACAAATATATTCAATCCCTTAAATTTTTTTTTTCCTGACTCAGTATTTTTAAAGTAAAATTTTAAACTCCTGAATAACGTTAGCATTGAAAAACATGAGTTTACCTCTTAAGGGATTTTCCCAAGTGAACACTGCCCCTGGCAGCCCACAGATGAGGGACTAAGACACCAGAGTGTCACCCTGGATCTCTGTCCTTCACAGATGACCACTGTTCTGACTTCTCACTTTGAACTTCACAGAGACAGAACTATGGCCTCTGTCTTTTTTCCTTTCCTCTGGTTTGTGGGGTTCACTCTGACGGTTTTCAGTAGCAGTGGTTAGCAGCCTAAGGACGGAATGTTTGCTGGCCCATTGTTCAGTGTGCTGAGTGTGATAGTCTCTGGTTTTATGTGTGCGTTCAAGGAGCTCACAAAGTTCAGCTGGAAGGTATATAGTCAGTCTACCATGGAAAGACACATGGATTAGAGGTATGGACATGTGATGACATCCAGGCAGCTGTCCGGTTTGAAATACTGCTGTGGTCCCATCAGGGCCCATTCACTGTTGACAGGCACCTTACGTGATCTGGGTACCCAGTCTTTGATCCATCTTCCTGCCCACTGGCCCTGGGCAGCCAATCTGAGCAGCGGCTCCTCCCACACACACTGGTCTGAGCCTGCCCTCTAGTGGCAGGTTAGAAGATGTGCACATCTCTGTCACTATTTGGCCTCAGCCTGGAACACCTTTTCCTTGGCCCTTTAGCTGCCCAGGACCAGGGACCCAATCTCATTTTCATAAGCTGCTTTCTTTCATTTCCTCCTTAGTTCTTAATCTTTCTTCATCTTGTTTTAAAAGAGCACCTCATTTTGTATTCCCTCTCCTTTTCGACGAGAAAACGTAAAAAAACAGCATGAAAAATCACCATGTGTCCATCCCCAACTCTGTGTCCAATCGAGGACCTTCAGAAACACCCAACAAAATGAACACTTTCCTACCAGTTTTTCTGAAAACCGGAATACTTTAAATTTCCATGTACATTAGAGTAAGATCTTTTCTCTTTTCAAGATAGAATCATATTGATGCAAGCTTCATGGCACTCGCCTGCCTCAGCCTAGGCGCTAGGATTTTAGACGTGAACTACACGCTTTGGATTTCTCTTTTTTTAATGCAGTGTTGCCCACCCTCCCTCTTGGTGGAATTCTTCCACTTTTTCCCTTTCATACTTTTCTTCCTTTTAGCTGTCTCCAAGGTTTCTAAAAAGAATGTGTGGGTCTATAAATAGGGAAGAAAATAAGTGTGGAGGGGACAGAAGAGGCTTCATGGTAAACAGGACTTTCGTTTTTCTTTTGCATTGTTTTGTATTTCCCTAAGTTTAAAAAAAAAAAAAAAAACTTTACTATAAATGGAAATACAGTTAAGTGCTTAGAAAGTGAGGCACGAGGAGCTTGGCAATATACAGGTCTTCAGCACATTTGCAAAAGCAGGAGACAGGAGCAACAACTGTTGGAAGCCCAGACCTGGGCTTTAGTGACAGTAGCTCTGTGAGGGACCTGTGCTTCCAGGATGGGAGTCACATCGGCCTCGGGTGGGGTTCTCTTGACTGTATGATGATTCTCATCTTCTTGAGCAGAAGCATGCAACCCCGAGGCAGGAACCTACATGGAGAACGATTTACTTTGCTGAGAAGTTTATTGAGTTCCTCTTGGCGAGTATCAGCCAGCCACTGAAGAGAAAGGATGATTCCTTACATATCCCGCATTACGTTATCTACCAGCTCAAGAGACTGCAACAGCAAGTAAAACTGCACAGTGGCGAGGTACAGGGCTTGGCGGGCTTCGGCCAAACTCTCTTTAGACTAGAATACAGCAGTGGATTCCCCATGGAGAGCTCTCAAACTCTAAAACTCGACTCCTAAAAGGCTCCATTTGGTCAGCCTAGGGATCTGTTTGCTTGAACATACATTTCTTTGAAAGAATGAATTCATTTATTCAGCAAACATTTATTAAGTGTATAGCTATGTGTAGGACACTGTTTTAGGTGTGCATGGTAGCAAAAGCAGTAGCCCCTGCCCTCCAGCGCCCCCCAAGGGGACAGGGCACATATGCAAATAACTATCATGCAACATAGGCTGTTAGTATATGTCATTGGTGGTACAAAGTGATTTTAAATGTGCATTTTGTCTGCTCTCGAAACATTTAGGGAATCTGGTACACAGTAATTTGAGCCAAGATATATTGTATAATTACTTCTATAGACATACTTGTACATATTGGATATACTTTAATAACTGTAATAATGACCTGAGTATAAATACAACACAAACATTACCTGCTGTATGTTCTTTTAAAGCATTTAGGGGGTTGAGGGTATAGCTCAATGGTAGAACATTTGCTTACCATGCAGCAGGCCCTGGGTTTCTGCCCAGCACTGAATAATGATCCTCATGGGACTTTTCATCGTGATGGAATGAATGTTTTCTGCTCTTTCTTCTTGAACTCAGGAAAAGCTGATAGACTCACTTAGTAAAAAGATCAATCAAGTGTACAGAGTCTGCATCGGAGATGCTGAGGTTGGCAGCCTGAATGCAGTTCAGAAGCTGGTCAAAGTAGAGTCTCGCCTGGTGGAACTCAGTGACCTCATTGAATCCATTCCCAAAGAAAACGTGGAAGCAATCGAAAGGATCAAACAGAAGGAGCGACGGCAAAAGTAATGTCACAGTCTTCTCGGCAGTCGGCTGCTTTTGCATAAATCCCACCCCACTGCTAGCATCCTCTATGTGGCAAGCACTGTAGTATGGGGATGCTGCAAGGGGCCAACCCAGCCCCGCTCTTCAGAGACTATTCTTGGGAAATGAATGTTATTGTTACTATAGGTAATGAGTACTCTGAACCAAAGGAGCGGGGGAAAATACAGTTCACCAGGGACCCGTGATCTAACTAGGATGGCTGCGGGGGGTGGGGGGGTGTCAATGGCCGTCCTGTGCAGGAACAGCACTATGGGGAAGGTCCTCTCCTTAGAAGACCACGGGGCAACTTGGTGTATGAGGGGAATGGCTTGAGGCTCGGAGCTACTGGATGAGGGGTTTCCCCTTGACAACACTTAGCTGGCACTGACACCCACCACGCACTGACACCCACCCACAAACACTTATGGGACCGTCACCCCTGAAACCTCCCCCTTATACTTGTACAAGTTATAGATTTTCATAGCACTTTGTTCGGAACTAATATCACTATAATGTGGTCGCTACATTCACATGGCATGTGGGGAATGCATGCTGATCAAGTAGTCACAATATTCTTGTTTTAGCAAAGGGAAAAGTGTGCCAGGTATGGGCACGGAGCCTGCCTCCTGCCCTTTTACTACAACTACTGTGACCTTAAAGGAGCATCGATCTCATCTATTTCATTTTTTAAAGGCAGAAGCTGTGATATTTAGTTCATAGGGTTGATGTATCAAATAACCAATGTAAGAATCACTGAGCATGTTTGACACATACTAGCCATTAGTATCGTTAATATGATTGATGCACAGAGGGTATCATTTCTCTTGTGTGAAAATGAAGGTGACTCAGATGGCTCTTTACAGAGCAGGAAGCAGACGACTTCAGGTTCTTTATAATAGCAGTCCTGAGAATACACTTACAACTGAAAACTACAACAGTTGTAGTTTTCAAAAGATCTTTTTCTCCACGCACTAGTCAGTCCTCAACCTTCCTAACTAACGCTGTGACCCTTTAATACAGTGCGTCATTATTTTCTTTGCAAATGTCTGATGTGCAGGGAGGGGATCTGATGTGTGACCCTGGGGTTGAGAAGCACTGCACATTCAAGGAGCTAAAGTGGCCGTGGCATGAGGTGCTTTGGTGGGGTGGAGAGAGGAAGGCCGGGCCTGCCTCCTGACCAAACCGGGAAGAGGCACTGCTCCAAAATAAATGTCTTGCCAGTGCCGAATTATATTTCAAAGCCATCCTTATGGAAATCTTACACTTGGACAGTTCATTACCAAACAATACAGATAGAATCTCTAGTAAGAATGTTTCTCCTTCCCTACAACAGGTTGCGTGAAGAGAAGATGAGAGAAAAGCAGAAACACCAAGAAGAGCGGCTCAGAGCTGCTCTGGAAAGAGCAGTAGCACAACCCAAGAAGAAGGTCTGTGTTCTCCCTCCCACAACAGGGCCCTGGTCCAGTCCCCTCTGAGGCACACTGGGGATTCGCATCACCCACACCTAAGTTACACACATTCACCTGTAATTGCAAAGGGAGAGTACCCTCCCGAGAGAAGGGAGGTATGAATCAAAAGTTTCCTTAAATCCTCCTAATGAAAGTAACTTCCAAGACCCAACAAAGCCACCTTTGGCAGCCATGGAGGAAAACCCAGGTACAGCCCTAAGGAATGCAATATTAAGTCAGCCATATTTGAGCTGCCTGCTCCTTAACGGCTTTCTGTAAATTACTCCACTGTACACACAAGCCAGTTGCTGTCTGTCTTGTTAGTCTATATCAATCTCCTGTAACTTTTTACCATTTTAATCATGTAAATATTCAAGTTATACTGACACTATATACATAGTGCAATAGAAAAAGTTATGCCAAAGAAAACTATTTTTTCCTGTTTCAGCTGGGAAGACGACTGATCTACCGTTCAAAACCTCCATCTGCTACCAAACATGAGCTACTCTTAGTCAGTGATATAAGAACAAAATCACAGGAGGAAGAGTATTTTTTTAGTTGAACAGGAGCATGAAGACATTTAATTAGCAAATGTTTTATGTGAATGCTGCTGGCATTCAGTGATGTAAGACTATCCTAACAAATTCCAGGAAGGCAGACCTTTACGCTGAGGTTTATAGAAGTAGGAATGACAATTGTTTTCTTCTGCTAAGACTATACTCATTGGTATTATTCCATGAGCTAAGCAATACTGTATTTAGAGTTGTCCCCTTTGGAGACCTACATCAAAAGTCAAAGTATTGACATAATTTACATGAAGCATGACTTACAGCACAATGGCCTCCCTAAAAGCATGAGAATTTTAATATTTCTAATAAGGATGTTCATGGCTACAAATTACATTTTAATAATGTACAGTTCTTAGAATAACTGGACAGGTTTAAACGTACAAACTATATATAGAGTAGGGTCTCAGATCATGAGACTGGTTATTTCACAGTAAGCTCTGAAAAACCTCATCAGAAAACTTTAGTAGTGAACAAACCACACACCTTAGCCAAATGTCAGTTTGTATTATGCTGTCTCCATAATTATTTCAATTTGCATGTTTTGACTTAGCTACAATATGTACATTATTTAATCTTTATTGATATAGAGCTAATTTATTAATACTATATAAATACTACTTAACTTTATGCATGTTACAAGTGGTTTGAAAACCTTAAATACAGCTGCTTTTAAGTCTCAATAGAATTATAATGGCTGAAACTCACCTTCAGAAAAGTTCTAAAGCATAAACTTATTTATCCTTTAATGAAACTGGGTGGCTTTTAAAGCATTAGTTCTATGAATTATCCATCCATTGTTTCAACACTTGCGCTCCGCATATGAATCTGCATATAAATAATTCACAAGTCAAGTTGAAAAAAAAAAACCCCAAATCTTTTATTGTATAGAAATACATATATATTAAAAAAAAAACCCCAAAGATGCTATTCTCTCATTTCCCCATCTTCCTCCTCCTCTTCAACACCTCTGATATAAAGGACATTATTACACCTGTAACAGAAAAAGTGGTCCATTGTGATGTTTCCACTCAAGCCATCCATCATCATCATCACACCGCTCCGCTCTGTCCCTCTTTGAACTACTAGACTTACAGCTTGTCATCCTCCTGTTGGTGCTATACAGATGTGTTTAAAAGCACACAGCACAGTCATCAAATCTACCCCCCTCTGCAACTTATCAGTACAGGTGGTTGCTCACACTAGAAAATGAATGTAACAGAAATCCTTAGCAGCTAGACTCCACTAAAAGTGAAGCTCTGTAATCCAGGACACTGAATAAGTTACAGGAAAGCCTGGAAGATGGATAAACTGAAATCCCCCCAACAAATTCAGTAATTTTGAAGGTTTCTGAAGTTTAGATGTACTGCTTTTAAAGTAATCCGACTAAAAGACTAATTTAAACTGGTTTAGGATCACCAGCAACTCCTCACATACAAATGCGCATATTACCTTATTAGAACTTCACCCAGATGTCCAGACAATGCACCATCTATGTATTCTTCTGTATTTGCAAGCTTTAGATAAAAAGAAAGATGTTAGCGTACCTACTCCTGGTGAGAGAGCACATTAACTGAGACCACTCTATACCAACAACTCAGACTATATCCATAATTAGTAAGTAGAACTTTCTATTACTCTTAATCACTGGATCTTCTGTATTCATTAAGACATGCATGGTACAAAACTAATGTATAATAAAGCTTGTTTCAAAGCTGTTAAGCCTCCTAGATGTTAATTTCTATTATAGCTTTTCGACTTTCTGAAAATTCAATTCCAAAGAATCAGACATTAACTTTCTCAGAGCAAAACGTTATAAATCATGTTAAGTAATTCAAATGGGTGTACAAAAGCTATGACTAAAATAAGATTTTGGAAGTTTCATGTGTACTGGGGACGTGGGGTGGTCAAGAATGAGTTGTAGAATTTCTTCTTTAGCAGGGGAACGTTGCACAAGGCACTTCAAATCTCCTAGGTGTTTCTTCTCTGTAGGAAGCAAAACACCCAGACATGTCACCAAAATTGTGAGACTATTCATTTTGTAAATAATTGTTATCAGAAAGTATATTAAGAGCCACTAATTTTGTAAGTAATTTTGAGGTGTCCCTCAATGCTTAACTGGCTTCTAAATTACCTACACTAATGCCCCGACGCCTTCACTATTGTGAAAAGGCTCTCAGTGACTACCATTCCAAACCACCTACCATGGCCTTCTTTGTGTACACTAAACACAGTGAGCATGCCTCTGCTGCTCTTTCCAATGGAGACGACTTCCCCCAGGTGATCATAGTCTCCTTAGAGGGGCTAGATTATCCCTATTACTGCACACTCTAGCCCCTCATTTTTGCTTTATGTCATACTGTGTATCATACCTAATTATCTGTGTTAGGTTGTCCTCTCCCACCGCTCACACAGGCATAAGGACTTCATTTTACTCACTGTTAAAGTAAGTTTGGCTAACTGAAGCAACTCAGAAACTGGGCACACTCAGGCTCCTTGTAACTCGGAGAAGCCACACACTGGGAAAGCAAACATTAAGCAGTTTGCTTTTTCTTCAACAGGGTCTCATGTATTCTCAGCTGGCTTCTGACTCTCCATGTAGTTTTGAGGGTGTTAATTTCTGATCCTCTACCTCTATCACCACACCCAGTTATGCTGCTCAGGGGTGGAACAAAGCTAACCTTTAAATGCTTCTCAGCACATTTGTAAAATTGAACTTTAATCACTAATTCCTCAGTATTTTCCTCCAGCCTTTGAGAATGACTGATTTCAAGAATTTCCCAGAACAAGAGCTTCTGTATTATCGTTCCCTGGATTTCTGGCTAAGCTATCCACATAAGTAACCTTTTAATTCCTGGGCAGAAACAACAACTAAACCAACCCACACAAATTAACAATAGGCAAAGACACCAGGCATGGTAGCAGTACATGCCTTTAAACTCAACACTTGGAAGGCAGAGCAGGCAGATCTGCGAGTATAAGACCAGCCTGCCCGGTCTACATAGCAAGTTCCAGCCAACCAGGGCCACACAAGGAGACTTTTTAAAAAACTACAAATATAAAAGTAGGCAAAGCATGTCAATGCAGTCCTCCAAAGATGATAAACACATGGCTAATAACACATGAAAAGCTACTCAATGTCATTGGGGAAATGCAAACCAAAAGGATACACTACTTCTAATCCAAAAGAATATTCTATACATTAAAAAAAGAAACTTCACAGAAACAAGTGTGAGTGCATATGTGGGCAAACTTGAACCCTCGTACACCACTTGAAGGCATTAAAACCATGCAGGTGCTATGCAACACAGTATGACAGCTACTCGAACACATTAAGCATGTATACTCAAGAGTTTAAAAAAAAAACCTTGTTTGCGGCTGAAGAGTTGGATTGGGGTTAAGAACATTTGCTTTTCTTCCAGAGGACCTGAGTTCAATTCCTAGCATCCACATCGTGGCCCACAGCATCTGTAACTCCTGTACTAGGATGTCCAATGCCTTCTTTGGGTACACATATTGTGTGTACATACATACATGCTGGCAAAACACCCACACACATAAACACCAGAAATGAGTGAACAGGCTGAGAATGCTTATAAAACATGTACAAATCCCTGGGTTTGACCTCAGTACTTAAGGAACTGATGTGTACACCCACACAATGGCATGTTACTCACTCATAAGAAACACATTCTGACATTTTACAACACCAATGAATGCTGAATGAATAATGACACCAGACAAAAGAACAAAATGCCTGTCTGGAGGTATTCATGGGGGGTTGGTTCCAGGGCCTCTCAGTTAACCAAGGATGTTTGAGCTCTTTATCTTAAATGCCGAGTACTTACATATAACCTAAAGTCCCAGATCACACATAACTCAGTTTGGTGTATTAGATAAATAGCTGCTATACCGTATTATTTATGGGGTTAACAAAATCTTTTGATCTGAAGTTAGCTGAATCTGTAATATATTCCACTTACATGAGATGCTAAGAATAGAAAACTCGGACAAACGCTCACGAGGGACTGGGTGGGAGGAAGCAGGTAACGGGATTTTTTTAATGGGCACAGAGGTCTACTTGGTGAATGAAGAAAACATTCCGGAAATGAATAATGGTGATGGCCACACAGCAATGTGACTTGTAGTAACTCTGAATTAGAGCTAAGTGCTGAAATAGACATGTTTTAGAATGTCTTTTACTACAAAGAAAAAGACTGGCCAAATCATTTACAGAAACTAAGGCACAGCCAGTTATCAGTTCCTTTGTTCCATCGGTCTGCCCCACGAAAAAATGCTTTCAGATTCTAAGATTCCTCAAAGCTGTTTAAAAATTCCCCTTAAAAACTCTTTGAAAGCAGAGTGTTGGCAGCTCACGCCTTTAATCCCAGCACTGTGAGTTCGAGGCCAGCCTGATCTACCAAGTTAGTTCCAGGACAGCCTACAAAACAATACAGAGAAACCCTGTCTTGAGAGAGATTTAAAAAAAACAAACAAACCTCTTTGAAGGAGGAAGTGCTGGACAGTTTGCTTTCCGTAATAAACTAGTTTTTCCCTCGTGGTATTAGAAACAAATGCCAAAGCTTTCCTTTCTTTGGCTGCCATAGTAAGGACAATGGCAAGGTTCTGCTTTAGTACTGGGACTCAGTACCACGAAGTTCATCACAGTTTCAGCATCCTCCCTTGAGTACACTTCAATCCTGAATTCTGCTTTATGTTTGTCATTTAACTGCATATGTTATCAGTCAAGAGTTAAACTTTGAGGAGTGAGGCAAAACAATAGAAACTCTGTTCTACAGCTCTTGTAACTCTTCCCCACAATTCCTTAGCTTACCTGCATGTTCATGTAGCCATCTACAGAGACCAGGTAGCCCTTATATTCCATTCCCCACTTGAGTTTCACCATCACTGGCTTTCCTGTCAATCCATTGAGGAAAGGCTTGGGATTGAGGGGTAAACTCTGTAAGAAAAAAAAAAAAAAAAAAAAAAAAAAAGGAGCATTCAATAATTTTTGCTTAGCTCAGCCTCTACCACCCACCCTCTACCCAAACATCAATCAAGACTTCAGGGCATCTAGTTAGGGCAAACTCTTGATTGGCTGGCATGCTACAACTTGTTGGAGGTTGTGTCCAAGTACCC